CGATCGCTGTGGGACTGGAAACGATGATACTTACTTGATAAAAGACCCCAGCTGATAAATACATGTAAAAGCGCTCTCGAGGACGGGGCTCGGTCCTGATTCACGGTATCTGGCGAGCAGATCTATAAGGCTTGTGCATCGGGGGAAAATTTTGCGCTGGGCTGGTGGCAGCTTCGAGATCTCCTGCCGTAGTGCGTAAAAGGATTGTTGGAAGAAAGATTGAACGATGGTATTGTTTTTGGCTTGGATAAGACGACGCAGACCTGTTTCGAAGTCGCTGGTCTGGTCTCCAAAGAGGTAAACACGGTACGGGCCCTCCATTGTTAGGAGCGGCGTATTCTTCACCAACAAAATTTGGGTTGTTGAGCCTGAAATCACCACACTTGTTGGCCCCATGTTGAAGGGCAGCAAGCTTTATACAGAGATAGAATTACCCAGCATCCCAGAGTGGGGGGAGCGTGTCTCATCTGCGGCATGTTCAGAACTGGTTAAGATGCATTCCCTGCGCATCTAGGGGGCCGAAATCTGAGCGTTGATGCCATGGCGTTGACCCCAGTGCGTAGCATTGCCACATATCCAGCAAACCATGAGGTCAGCAGCGAGTGACAGGATTGTTCTCGAATTCTGTATGGTACGCCTTTCCTCTCATGGCTAACACCATATCGATATCATTTACAACTGAAGGAGGAGCCGTGAGCGGATGCCACCGTTACTGTGGGTCGAATAGTATCCCTATCCGAGGGGGTTGGTGGGGACTCCATACTTCCAAGTATAGAGAATTCTAGACTTACTAAATTGCCTTCGAAATAAGTGTATGTGGGCTCCCTGCACCAGCACACTTGCAGCATGATCGTCAAGGGGTGAGGTACCATTGTCTTAACCCCTGCTTCCACGGCTTCCACGGATGGGTAACCAGCGTAGGCAGCCAAGTATTTGGTAAAAGGTGCTGCAGCAAACTTCAGGGTCCAGTGATCGCATCGTGGCCATGGATGGGTGGGCTTTGCGCGGGGGGGTAGAAAAAGACAAAGAAAGACGAAGCAAGTATATTCCGACAGAGGAAAGTCGTTGAAACCGTATTTGGCGACGATCAACCCGTGGAGTTTGCATACGATCACGTGTCAATGCCTTCTTTCGGTTGTTTGGACACCGCAATCACTAACTTACTACCTTCTCCTCTTGTCCGCTCCTCTCCTCTTTTCTCTTACTCCTCTCCTCTCCTCTCCTCTCCTTTCCTCCCGAGTCCCCTCGCTTTACTTCCTCATGGAGTATGAGACACAAAATTCCACGGCACAGGCCGTAAGATTTCTGGCTTGGCGGAATCTGTGGAGTTTACCGGGAAACATGCCTAAAACCTCAGGGTGCGTGCCTTGACGGTGAGCTTACCAGCCTTGCTTTGTTGACACCGCCAAAAGATACTATGATCGATCGATGAACTGAATCAGGGGCGTGGAATGTCACTAGCAAGGCCTTGATTGATGTCATGACCAGAACCAAGCTCGAATCATGATTACAATATCAAATAACCCGCCCGTCATGAGCTTGGCCCAGACAGCCACAATGAGACAACCCATAGAACAAATTGCTTGTCGTGGAGTAAGCAATCTCTGGGCTGTCGTGGCCATAGTATGACGGTTCATATCGACCAAGCCATGCTTAGCGCGCAATTCTTCCTCGATGAGTACGTGACATAGTCATCAGCAGCTCATGGGAAATACCATTCTTGCTGACAGTGAGAAGGTATTCCCACCCCTAGGCACCCGAGTTTCTCCTCCCGTCAGTGGCCGGATAGATTGGATATGCCATTGTAGGATTCCTCAGAAAGTTACCTTCCTGGGAAGCCGCTGGACTTGATATCCGGGGTACTTATAGCTCAATTTGTCCTGGTTGCCAAGTATGATGGTCTTTGAACCACGAGAGAGAAGATGGGCAATATCTTAGCAAGAGCTTAATCGACACCGGTAGCTACCACCTACTTTGGTCCTGTCGACTTCTTTGAACCTCCGCATCTGCAATGACGGGGTAGTCGTTTGTTAAGAAATTTTCTGTTTCTGATCAAGGAAGGCTCTATTGGTTAGGTATACCGTTCTGCGGACCTAGTAAAACCTTCATTAAGCGGGCATCATGGACTCGCCTTCGCAAATGCTTCCCCAACTGATGTCGTAAACAACCTGCTTTTGATTAAAGGAGAACGGCAGCAGTTTCAATTTAAGGTAGGGTCCAACACAACCCTCCTAAAGTGACCAATGTTATTGTGTCACAGATAAGATCAAAATCTCTGTGACAGCTCACATCAAGCAACATAATCAATCGACAGCACTAATGCGCCACATACCAAATTGAGCTGTATGAATGATACATCACTATAACATCTCCGATGTACCTTGTCGGTCCTGATGAAGAGGTCCGGTTCTCTGGTCGCTACATCGTACTGCAGTGGGCCTGATACCCAAGTGCCAAATGAGAGGTGCCGGTCCATCTACTAGGCATCAGAAATACGCCCTGAATTTGGCTTCCAGACTCGGGCCATGGGAATCTAGAGCTCCTCTCTAATCAAACTTGGTCAACATTAACGGCTCTGCATTGTTACGGCCGTACAGAGTCGGTCGCTTCCTAGTAGGGTCAGGTCGTGACTGCGAAGCATAGAAACATATAGTGTCCTTCTTGTGATGAATGTTAAATCGGTCACGAGAGCAGATCGGACACAGGGATATATAATCAACATTCTAGGAGACCCTAGTGGTATCGATGGCCAAACTGGATTTTCACGAACTGCCCTTGACAACGAGGCCAAAGCTAAAGCATCAGTGAGAGGACACATAGAACGATCATAAGACTACCCTCGAAGCTTCAAGGCTTGTCTCATGACGTGCTTGTTAGAGAGACTCCCTTGTGCTTGATTTGCGCCCGCAAATTGAACAACATTGGCAGCATTCCTGCCTAGTCAGGCATGCACAACGTTTAGCACATGAGCTCAGTGGCTGTTGAGCAATTTGCTTCAGATATGGGTTTGCAACAACCACCGATCAAGGTCGCTGCACAAGGACTCGTTGCGCGTCATCTTCGGCTAGAGCAGGACAAACGCTTGATAATGGGTTGTTTTCCAGCCTTTGTTCCAGTTTTCATCAGCAGTCTGTCTGATAATGTAATTATTTGCAGGGTTCAGTGTTTGTGGTACGAGTCTCGAAAGCAACGACGCGGTGCTTGCTTCTCTTAGGCTGTATTGAAAGTCTGGACCCCTGATGGTTGTTTTTGGTTTTAGACAAGCTTAGTGGAGCAGGAGAAAGGAACCATGGATCGTAGATAAGGCGTCAAACAGCAATCGGGGGAACCAGAGACGAAAGAGAAGCTGGAGACGAATGAATGAAACCGACGGCGGCGAATTGAACCACGGGGACAGTGCGCAATAAGCTTATCGATAAGCCGCCCACTAAGCCCGATCGAGTGCCCACGTAAACACCAAAACATCGATCGGGCCTCACCGTTCACTTCAGCTCCCGTCGTCCCTCTCTCTCTCTCTCACTCTCACCCTCTCTCTCAACCAATCCTCTCTCCCTCCGTCGTGTCGAGATCCTCTGTCGCTATTCACTCTCGCTATCTATCGCTCCTGCTCGTCTTTGACTTTCGTCTTCTCCTACTCGCTCTTTTGCATTCATCCCATCTTCCCCTCCCCACACCCTTTCTCGCCCGCGCCGTGTCCTCGGTCTTTCTCCCTCCCTGTTATGACCGAGGCGCCCTGCTTTCCCAGTACTGCTGCATGAGAGCAGTCTCTTTCCCCGTCGCATTCCTATAGCCCACCGCCCCTGGAATCTGATACATCATTCCATCTCACCGGCTTGCAGTCTACCATGCTTGGGTTTGCAGCTCCACCTCATTGTTCTTGATGTTCTCGTTATCGTTGCTTGATTGACCCACAGCGCGCCTCGGACTAGACTCGTCTCGTTGCCTTGTATTTTCCGGTTCCACCTCATTCACTCCAGGAATATTCTTGTCCATTGACGTGATACCAAGCCTAAGTTAATCTTTGATTGACTCGCACTATACCGGTCGCTGCCACGATACAGTCGGAGGTTCGTGGGGAACCGCAGTCGCAATGGCGCCCGCCGCCCCCCAACTCCCCGCCCGGTTTCCATGCTGGTGTCGAGCCATATACTCGTGGGGAGGCGAGACAAAACGTGATCTGGGGTTTGTGGAAGGTGATCTTATCGAATGTTTGAACGCAGGAGATGGACAATGGTGGATGGGTCGATTACGGCGCGACAGGCGCATGATGGGTCTGTTCCCATCCAACTTCGTCGAGGTCCTTGGGGAGGACTTTGTACCCGTGACTAGGTCGACAAGCCCCATGATTTCCGCAACGGTCTCTCCGATAACGAACCCTACTTCGGCGCCGAAGAAGACGAAGACCGTTTTCCGGAAACCATTTCAGGCCCATAGGGAAGCTCTTGCGCCAACGGGCGAGTTGTCTCGTGGCGGCATGTCGTCTTCCCCCGTGATGACAAGCTCTATTCCACAAACGCCACCCCGGGATGGCAGCCTTTCTGGAAAGGTAAAACCATTGCGAACGCCAACCACCGCAGTCAAGCATCGGAGCTCTGTATCGAGGCCGCCCTCGCGGTCGCGGCCTCCATCGCGCGCAGCGTCACCTCGTCCTCCAGCTGAGCCTGATCCGCTCCTGTCATCGAGCGCTCCGGCACCATATAACCCGCGCATGAGACCCCCGTCTCGAGCAGTATCACCGTATCCTTCCGATAGTCCCCGCAACAGGCCCCCGTCTCGAGCTGTATCGCCTTACCCGTCTGATAACCCCGAGCTTCACATGCCACTGATCCCTCCCGTGCGAACGACAATGCATCCCACTCCTCCATCTCATGCCGCGTCTCCCCATATCCCCGCCGACTACGACTACATGCCCTCGCCATATCCCGATCGGCACGGTATAGCAATACCCGGGCGATCTTCCCGAGAGATCTCGCCCTTACAGCTGCAAGAACGGGAAGAATCTCCGCCTCCGCCCCCGCCTCCGCATCGCGTGGCGGTACATCGACAGCCATCTCCTGGGCCTCTTGTCCCATCGCGGTTGGATATGAACGACCGTTATGCTACCATGCCCAGGACACCATCGCCTGCTGCCCATTCTGAGGGCCGCGGCCTTACGCCCTCTCCTCTCCGTGATGCAATGGAGGATGTTATGACTTCTCTGGAGGATATGGGGCTGTCTCGAAGCACGCAATCACCATCCCCACAGCCACAGACACAGCCACTGTTCAATAACCCCTGGTCACCAGATGCCTACGAAGGATTGAATCAGAGTCGACCCTTGCGAACTTCCAACCGACCCGTAACATCCATGGGATTCGACGGGTACAAGGAATATCAGCAACCTGGGAGCCAGAAACATAGGAACAGCGTTTGGACGCATGACCCCTATCCGGATGGCCCTCCGCAGCTGAACAATTACGTACAAAGAATGGAGAGCCGCCTCCGTCAGATGCAGGAACAGAATCGACAGGGCTCGGAGGAGATTCAGCCAGAGGAGGACGAAGAGCCTCCACCGCCTCCTCCAAGAGGCGTCCCGTACCATGGCCGACATAACTCGATTCCGGCACAATATCCATATCTTCGAGGACGACGATCAGGACAGGACCTCCGTGAGGATCTACTCAATCGCAGCTACACAAATAAATCTAGCACCACGACTTCCTCGAGCGGGGTGCAAAGCATCAGCACTAGTCTCACAGCAAGTACCGAGCGAACCAATTTCAGTGTGATGAGCGGTCCATCAGCTGGTGGATTTAGCGCAACAAGTGCCGGAAGCTACGCTAGGAGAATGACGCCAGCTGAACGACCAAACACAGCGACTGATACGTTCCGCTCTCGAGGGTTCAGCGATGTATCTCGGGTATCTAGACCTGAGACGCCACTCACAGGGATATCATATCATTCGAGCCACAATACCTCTCGACAGGGCGCGTCTTCCGCCATTCCATGGTCTGCTGCTCAAGCTGCACCGGAAGAGACCGCAGGGGTGCTTGGGGGTCTGTCTACTCCAAAGGCCAAGAAACCAGGATTCTTCAAGAAAATATTCGAGTCGGCGAAGACAGGAGCAGCTAACGCTCGGAGCAGCATTGCGGTTGGTCAGAGCGGTGGTACTTTCTCCCCCTCTAAAGGACGAGGTATCTCGCCGATCCGTGCCTTGCAATCTAGCCGGGACTCGGCTCGGGATGCAGGAAGTGCCTCTGCCATAGATTGGGTGCAGGTGCGGCGTGATGTCAACCGCGCCAGCTCTCCGAGTCACAATGAGCGGGTTGAGAGAGCGGAGCGATGCCAAATGATGGACCACCCAGTCATCTACGCGGTGGAGGAACTCAACGAGACCGCGGAAGGTGACGAAAGCATTGATGGGTTGCCCATCAGCGAACCTAACAATTTTGGCTCCTTCAATCTCAGTCTGGTCGACAAGAGCGCCCGCTTCGTCAACAGTCTGCCACCAATGACGAATCCGGCCAGCCTTGCCCATGGGTATGTGTGTCGTCCGTACAAGAGTGATATTCAACGGTTGCGGGCTATCTTCACCTGGGTTAGCGAGAAGATTGCTTGGGACGAGCCGGTTGAAGAAATTGGGATCGACCTGAAACGCGTACTACAGACGAAACGGGGAAGCCCTCAAGAGGTTGCGTTTCTGGTCAAGGAGATGTGTGCCGCCGTTGGTCTTCATGCTGAAGTTATCAGAGGCTTCTTGAAAACCCCAGGAGAATTGCACGAATACGACGGCGTTGCACGCGCGAACCATTGGTGGAACTCAGTCCTCGTGGATGGTGAATGGCGCATCATGGATTGTTCTCTAGCCAGTCCTACCAACCCGCAAAGGAATCTATTCGTCACCAACAACTCTTCCGTTGCCGAGAGTTGGTACTTCCTAGCGCGTCCTCTAGAGATCTGTTACACCCACCTTCCGCTCTCACCCCATGAGCAGCACATCTGCCCACCCATCTCGCCCGATGTCCTGATGGCTCTTCCAGCCGCCTGCCCGCCGTACTTCAAGCTAAACATGCAGTTCCCAGACTATGATACCAGCGTGGTCCGGATCGAGGGACTCGAGGTCATGCAGATCCGTCTTCTCGTTCCCGCAGACGTCGAATGCGCAGCCGAAGTCGAAGCGCCCGGTTTCGCCTGCGATGCGGATGGCGATTGCTTCGAGAACGGAGAGACGGTGCGCAAACGGGCTCTCGTCCAGCCTGACTGGATCAATGGACAGAAACGGATCACCGTCAAGGCGGTCTTACCGGGCGATGAGGGACAAGGCATGGTCAAGATCTATGCAGGCAAGAAGGGGCTCATGCACTCCAGCCGAGACATCCCCCATCCCTTGGCTCTTGCCCTTCCTATCATCCACACGGGAGACAATCCGCCCTACGACTTCGTGCTACGCCATCCGACCCCTCATGCCCAACGGCACGATCTATACATCATCCAGCCGCAGTGCGCCAAGCTGGCCGTGAGCAACACCTTTGTGTTTGCCGTGCGCCAGCACCCCGCTTCGTCCCCCTATCAACCGGGCGGCAGCGATCTCGGGGTCAGTGGTGGTCGTGTGTCGCCGTCGGTCTACTCGCGGCCGGCCAGTGCCTTGAGCATGGTGTCCAGCTCCGCGGGAGGATCGTCGGTCTCCGCCGTCTCGAACGAGTTCTCGGCCTCCACCTCGGCCATCTCCTCCGGTCGCTCGCTGTCCGGGCGGGAGAAGCCGGCCAAGCTGGCCATCCAGTCTCCCTCGGGCAAGATCCTGCGGTTGACGCGCAAAGCCGACCACATGATCAGCTCCAACAGCCTGGCCGATTCCGCCACGGACGCCACGGCGGATGGCAGCGTGTGGGAGACGGTCATCAAGATTGGGGAACGAGGTATCTGGCGGGGGTTGGTTCTCGCCGACCGCGTTGCGCGATGGTGTGTATTCTGCGAATGGGAATGCTACTGACGTAGCAACTTACCCTCCGTCAGTAACTTTATTCTGGCTATTGCATTACCCATGCGAATCCTTTGCAACCCAACTTAACATGCATATCCTTTTTTTTCCTACTGTCTTCCTTACCTTGATGGTTACATCCAGCATAGACCGCATCGTCTGAAGCCCCAGGGTTGGGTTTTTTTTCTTTTCTGTTGCACCCTTGCATTTGTTTCACTGCACTTGCATCTACACTCTGCAGCACGTGTCCCACTGCTGCAGGGTGTACATTATTCCTTGCTCGGAGGGGAGAGGGGCCAAGTCACACCCTGTTGTGTTTGTTGCTTTTCCTCTCCTTTTTTTGCATTGCATTCGGGATTGTTTCCCTTCCTTTGGGAATCTGAATTATATAATCATAATTCCCCCCCTTCCCCAAAACTCTTCCCATTGTGCGGCGTTACTCGGTTTCGTCTTGACTCCTTTTCGTTTCTATAGCACGCAAAGCAAGCACGCAAGCAAGCAAGCAAAAAACGTTGCATTGCATACCTTCCCTCAACTTACCTGACCTGTACTTTCTGTGTCTTGTTTGTTTGTACTATTGTATGATGTCTGAATGATCTACGGCTGGTCACATAGATACACACACATGAATCTTCTTCACATTCGAATTAGGATTTACTAGGGAATTAGTAGGATACTATACCGTCCTATCCAATCATTATGCTTGACTATACTATACTAGGCTGTCCTATCCTGTCCTATCCTGTCCTATCCTGTCCTATCCTGTCCTATCCTATATAATACTACTATGCTATACGATACTATAGATCGGTCTAAATGCAGGGGATATATACACCGCAAGAAACGCACCAACCACCAACCACCAACCACCAACCACCAACCACGCACAGCGAGAGCGAGAGCGATAATGCCTGCGTCAGACAGCAAGGACCGCCTCCCTGACCAACGGAGCGACCTGCTTCCGACTCTTGGCCACATCGCCCTGCACCCACACCCCCATCCACATGTTTTCGTGTCTGTGGCTGTCGTCGTGCTCCATGCAGTCCAACCACGTCTGCACGGCCGCCTCGTCCTCGTCCAGCAGCGCCCGCCACTTCTCCAGCCCCAGCTCCTTCCGGCCTCGCTGCACGAAAGCCTCCGCTGCCGCGATGGCGGTGGGCCTGCGCTCCGAGGAAGAGGGCACGCCGACGAGAATCTCGCGGTGGAACCGTCCTTCCTTCCCCGGGGACGTGGACGTTCCCGGAGACGCGGGAGACGCAGAAGCAGAAGCAGCAGCCGGCCCCGCGAACGCAGTCATCAGCACGACGATATCCAGGCCGCGGTGGCGTGCAAACGCGACCAGCTCGTCCAGGAACCGATCCGGCGAGGCGTTGGAGTCGGCCTTTCGCATCACCCAGGGCAGCGACTTGACGACCGAGCAGATTCCGATCTTGATTGCCGCGTTGTCGTCGTCACCCCCATCCTTGCTGCTGCTGCTGCTGCCATCGGCAACAGAGGAGGATGAAACAGAGGAAGGAACCTCCACCCACTCCTTGTAATCCCGCCCCAGCACCTCGGGCACGGTCAACAGCTCCAGACTGTTTTCCTTGGCCGTCGCGATCCGCCGGTAGAACGCGTGGTGGTCCCACAGCTTCTCGCCGGAGGAGATGCCCACGGCGATGGACCCCACCTGTTGCTGGCAGTTTGTGCTGTTGATCTTCGCCCGGAGGAAGCTGTAGGATAGCGTGTCGGCGTCGGTGACTTTCTCCTTCGCGGTGAAATTGGCTGTGTCGATGAGGATGGGCGCGAGGGCGAGTTTGGAGAGTTGGTGCTCGTGGGCCGCGGCGGTTGTTAGTTCCTCCGGGCTGGTGTCGGCGGTTGCTGGGTTCTGGGGGGATGGCGTGGTGGTGGAGGTGGAGGTGGAGGAGGAAAGAGGGTGCGGCGTCCACCGGCCCATTCGCTCTAACATGCTCACTACCAGGGAGGCACAGGAGCCCGTGGGCTGGATGAGGAACGGCTGGTCGGCCGCGATGGGCGGCAGGAAGTCCTCGTCGACGTGGTGGTCGATGCAGCCGACGACCTGGAAGGTGATCGCCTCGAGGCCGGGGAGCGTGCCTTGGCCCTTTTGGGAGGGGGAGCGGTTGGGCAGCGCGTTCCAATCGACCAGGACGGCGTCGACAAGCGGCAGGGTATCGGCAGCATTGGACTGGGCGAGGTGGGCGGCGAAATCGGCGACGGTGAGCAGGTGGCTGCGGAGGAGGTCCGCGGTGGTGTCCGCCTCAATCTCCCATGGTTGCTCGGTCGGGGCCGCGGGGTGCGTGGCCAGGTGCAGGGCTTCGAGGAATTCCGGGCGGAGACGGCGCAGCTCGGGGCCGGAGGGGACGTCGGGGAGGTTGATGAGGGGAACGTGAGGGCGTGGATGGGCGAAGTAGGCATACACCAGCGCGGAGACGATCGAGTCCACGTCCGCCGACGGGTTGCCGATGACGTAGATCGGAGTCTCCTCCGGGCGCGTGATGCGACCGGCCAGGAAGCGGTGATGTGTTTGCAGGGATTGAGCGAGGAATCTGAAGAGACTCCGATCGAGGGCTGGCATGGTGAGCTTGGGTGGGCGTTGACTTGGCAGCGTAAGAACGAAGCTCGTCGTCGATGTCGATATCAAGAAGTTTCTCCTCTCACCGACTGGATTGCCATTAAGACATCATCGCGGCAGAATCTCACCGCTATCGTGCCCATCCTTTAACACACGATGTATGTACTCCGTACACTCCTCTCCAACAACTACAAACTATTCCAATCCCACTACTCCCACTTCAGTCCTCCTCCTGTCCGTTCCCGGGGGAGAACCCCCGGACCCCCCTTTCTTTCAGCTTCCTGGGAAAGCGCAGCCCTAAGTTCTACGTGGAAACCCGCTGACGGAGACCCCGCAGACATCCGCTATATACTAACTACTCCTCTCACCTCTCAACCTCACCACCTCAAAAACACATCCATCAATCGATCCTCAAACAATGGCACCCTTAACTCTCCCCCCAGCATTCGCGCAAATCCCGCGCCATCCCCTCCTCTACCCCCACCCATCCCCAATCCACCCCCTCCCCGCCCTAACCAAACACCTTCTCCCCAAACCCCGACCCCAAACCCAAATAACCCTGCACGCCAAACGCGAAGACCAAGCCTCCCCACTGGCCTGCTCCGGCAACAAATACCGCAAGCTCGAATACCTCATCCCAGACATCCTCTCGCCCGCCCCGCAATACGGGGGACTGGGCCCCAGCCCCGAGCGGGGGAGTGCATGTGCACCGGCACCACCGCCATCATCAAGCTCCACCCCTCCAAAACCAACCCTAATAACAGAAGGCGCCCTCCAAAGCAACCACACCGTCCAAGTCGCCGCCCTAGCCACCCACCTCAACCTCTCCGCCGTGCTGTGCCTCCACAAAACCACCGGCGGCGGATGGCGCACCGCGCCGGACCCGCGCGCCTTCGCGCGCATCGGCAACGTCCAGCTCGCGAAGCTCCTTGGCGCAGACGTCAGACTGCTCGACTCGGCGAATGTCCAGGCCAAGAAGGAAGACTCAAACGCCGGCGGCGGCGGCAACAACAACAACAACAACCCCGACAACGACCCCATCGCATCAATCATGCACACCCTCCGCACCCACGAGGGCAAGATCCCCTACTGGATCCCCTCGGGAGCCAGTCTGCACCCCCTCGGCGGATTGGGGTACGCGCGCGGTGCGTTTGAGATTGCCGCGCAGGAGGGAGATGCCCCACAGCACGCCGAATCTTGGCCGAAGTCACGGTACGACTATATCTTCGTCGCCTGCGGCAGCGGAAGTACCCTGGGCGGATTGATCGCGGGGTTCAAGTTGCTCGAGAAGGTAGAGGGACAACAATCACGAGCAACCGCAGCAGCAGCAGCACGGCAGCAGCAACAGCCCCGCCCACCCCGCAAGATCATCGGCGTGCTCACGTCGCCCACCAGCCCCAGAGCCTACCACGAGGAGCGCGTGCTGCGGTTCGCGCGGCAGGCGGCCGAGTTGATCGGGTTGGATGATCCGCAGCGCGAGATCACGGCGGCGGATGTGACGCTCGAGGAGCGGTTCGTGGGTGCCGGGTACGGGGTGCTGGATGCGGAGACCAAGCAGGCCATGAACGTGGTGGCGCACACGGAGGCCGTCGTCCTCGACCCCGTGTATACGGCCAAGGTGGCGCGGGCGATGATGCATTGGGTGGGGTCGGGCGAGTTGGAGGAGGATTGGCGGCGGCGGAGGGGGAGGGGAAAGTCTGAAACTGGGCCTGGGAAGCTCGCGGAGGAGCCCGGCGACGCGGTGAATGTGCTGTTTATACATACCGGGGGCCAGTCGGCGTTGAGTGCGTATGCTGATGCTGAGTGATTTACCTAGTCCTGAAGAGTGGTGGACTGTTGTAGCGTTATGTAGCCTGGACCACGACCTGGATTAGATACACGGGTCATACGATGAACTAGCACGGTATACGAACAAGCACGGGTATACAAGACTAGAAAATGATAATACCATGAAGAGATAGGAAGATGACATTGTACATCGGGCGCTCAGGCCATTAATAACAAACACGAAACAAACAACGCATGGATGAGACCCTGCTCGCCTGGTCCTTTTAATACACCGAGTCCATAACAAAAAGTATTAAAGCACCGTAGTACTCGAAATCAAACCCCAGACACGTCAACACCGTTACTCGTTCATGAACCACACACAGAAAACCACCAGATGAAAATTTCGGAACGCCGCCGAATGCCTGAATGCAAGGTCAAGGAATCTAACAAGGAAGAGAGAAGAGAGGAAGAAGAGGGGGGAAAAGCGCGCTTATTCGATGTCGTCCACATCCACGTGGCCATTGACTTTATCATCACTAGACTCGTCATCCGGAAGCTCGGAATGACTCTCGCCGTTGCTCACATCAAGAACCTCCAGTGCCTCGTTGGCATGTGTGTTCTCCATGGGCTCGGGCTCGGGCTCCGCCTCCTGATCTCCTTCGGTGTCCTGGTTAGTAAGATCGGCAAACACATCGTCCAAGTTTTGCCGAGGACTACTGTCGAAGGGATCCTGAGAGTCAACAACCCCAGGAGGGCCGTCGTGATGATCCCGAGTATACCGTGGGGAGCTGAACAGAGACGTATCCAGACCCGAGTGATGGAGGGGAGGCGATCGAGGAGGGAACGACGGCGAGTCTGCCGAGGAGACATGGGGCAAGAAAGCGGAGGATCCCGGCGCAAAAGCCGGCGTCGAGTCAGACGCAGAGAGAGTGTAACTGGCAGAGAAAGGATACGGCGGGTTCTGCGGATCGCCCATGGTCAAGGTAGGCCCTGACTCCGAATTGGAACCGTCACCGCCGCCAGGAGATGCCTGAAGCAGGGTAGGCCGACCCGTGGTGATATCAATGGACTTGCGTTTGACTGGGTTGGGCTGCTTGGAGCGTAGATGCGGGGGAAGATCCTCGGGTCGCTCCACGCCAAGTTGTGCCATGATCTTCTGCTGCTTGGTCGGCCGAGGTTTGCGGGTGGAAAGTGACTGTTCCAGGATAGGCGGGGCCTCCGGTGCAACAGGCGCCCATTTGTGGATCTCCTGACGGAAGAAGTTCGTTTCGTACGCCAACAAAACCTCCGCGCCCTCGATTTTGCGCAAGTAGAAGATCAGCGTGGGCACTTCCTCGGTAGTCGTGCAGGCAGCATTCGTGAAGCTCTGGAGGAAGTCGCGGAACGTGGTTGCTTGATTGACGATACTGTCCAGGATCTCTTCCTCGTCGGGTTGGAACGGCAGACCAGGGATCTCGGCTTGCCACTCGAGGAGATCCTCTAGCTTCGGACGAGCAGCATCCCTAGGGATCTTCTGTCGCCAGTCGCAAATCGGGCAAGTGTACTTGTCGAATTCCTTGACTTTTCCGCGGGCAATCTTCAAGCACTTTCCATGATACCTATGGCCAACGTTAGAACAACATCCAGAGTACCGATTGAACAGTGAACTCACCACTCATGACAGACCTCGCACTCAATCATCATGCCTGCTTCCGAGTGTCGGCAGATGCAGAACACATCTCGCTTGCGTGATTTCCCCCCGCCCCACATGCTAGGAGCGGGATTGCTCTCCAGCAGACCATCTGGGCTGTTGTCTCGCGACGCAGGCTCAACAGGAGGCCGGCAACGATCTTCCAGATCAAAGCAATAGGAATTCCGCTTCTCCACATACTCCATGTGAGATTTCAGAATATGCAGCGGAGCATTGGCTTTGCCAAAAAGCTTCTTTCCTTTGCGCATCCAGTCTTCATGGCGCTTTTGTTCCCGCTCTAGGTCAATCGCGCCGGTCGGCCGACTGTTCAATCCCTCCAAGGACTCCATTAGTTCTCGGACATCCTTGTATTTGGGACGATTCTGGTAATCCGGGTCCTTGCTTTTCTCATAGAGGGTCTGGATCCTCTTCTGCGCCTCACGTTGTTTGGTTAATATGGCATCTACAGCGGCAAGGGTCTCGGGGGAGACAGGGAAGCGAGACGCCTGCGCAGAGAGAGCCTCCAATTGCTGGTAGTGAACGGATTCCACGGCCATTAGTTCTTTAGCCTTCGCTTCCCAGGCCTCACCAAGGCGAGCGAGTTCCTTGAGGTAGATCAGGTGGTCGTTGGTGTCTGGTAAGTTCAACTGGTCGCCGGCGAGAATCAGCTCCTGGCAGTCCTTGAGGGTCAAATTTTGGTCGCGCCTGCGGCGCACGTCTTCTTTCCATTTCAGTTGTCGGAGGATGTGCTCTAGTCTTTCAACCTCGGGTATTTCCACGTTGAAATTGCGAGAGGATTCCACCAGATCTTCGACTTCCTGGGCCGATCGGATGTGGGGGTTCATGAGGGCAACGTTAACGTCCTGGCGGAATTGCTCGATCTCGCGGGTCTTCTCTTCCAGTGCCGCCATCTGTGGACAGTCGAACGACAGTTTATCAGCCTCTGTAAGAAGGGCGTAGATGTTTTCTACTCTGCGAACTTCACGATCACGTTCTTCCAGCTGCGCAGCCTTGGAAGTACCCTTGCGCCACGCCTTCTCGTTCTTCCTCCGGTTCTGCTGCTTGCGGGTAATATAATTGGTTGCTTCTTCAACCCATTTATCGCAGCGCTGGACAAAGGCCGCGAGATCTGGGAGACCAGGCAGATGGTATGGGATTTTCTCACCTTCGCTTAGTAGGTTATGGAGGACCTTCAATTGGGGTTTGGGCTCGTCTTCTAGGATCTTGTCGAGTTTCTCCCCCCATGCCTCTGGGATCCTGGCGCGTTCCTGGACTTTCGACACCACGGCCTTCAGGGTCTCGTCGCTCAGGCGGTAACGCAGTACGTGATCCGGGCCAAGTAGTCGTTGCGCTAGTGATTCTCCGCAACAGTCGTATGTTTCGGCGTGTGGCAAACACACGGTTTTCCCCGTCTTCCGGCACCGGAACTGCGCGAGATAGGTATATGCCTTGCAATGATGGCATTGATAGTCATCTTCGGGAAGGTCTTCCTCCTCGACAACAAACTTCAATTGGCAGTCGCCAGTTGCGGGGTCCTCGGAGTACAGGGCGCATTTGTGCGGAGCGGCTTCACGATGGCGTGCGGCGAAGGCGGCCCGATCATTCAATTCCCTTACGCAAGTACGCTGCAGAGCTGGTGCTAGCCACTTGGCGGTGGTGATAGACGAATCGCGGGCGGCAGCTGTCAGGAGCAGCTCGTCATGCGAGAAGCACGGGTGTCGCCGAAAGTCCTGCAGGCGCAAAACACCCCTGGCGCCCCAAGGCTCCCAGTCAGCCGGAGCGAAATTGACGGCCTCATTGAAATTGAACCCATGGTTGAAACCTGCATGGTAGGCCTGAGGGAAGGTGATGACAAACTGTCCAGCTCGCTGATCGAGAGCATAGACTCTGACACCAGCTTTCCTGAGCTGATCGGGTGGCATCAGGGTGACCAATTGGAAGAGAAGATCCGGCTGGCCTTCGAACAGTTCAGGTACTGCTTGCCGCATGGCGTCTTCGAACGCTTCCGCATCGGCCCCGGGAATGCCATACCAGGTTTTGGTGGCACCAAAGTGCTGGTAATTGGCCGAATACGCGTAGTGATCCTCATTGTGCCAACAGAAGGTCGAGAAGCACATACCAACGTAGACCCAGGGAACCGTCATTCCGGAGATATCGGACTTAATATGGCGGAACAGCGAGTCCCCATGGAACGGCAACACGTTGAGATTCCAGGGGTCAACCGAATATGGATCGAGAGGGTTGCGTTCAATTGTAGGGAAACCACTTCCATGGGTGGTCGAATGGATATCGGCACCATACTCGACTTCAACGGTTTCTGTCAAGCTCTCCACCAAGCGCCAAAATTCACGCTCGACATCATCTTCAGACTCGCGTCTGTGAGTGTTGAGGACAGGATCGAATGGCATTTTGGACGCGAAATACTTTTGCTTAAATGTATTCGCCTTTTCTTGGAACTGCTTGAGCGAATACACCCCACCTTCTTCGAACCCAAACTCCCCTGTGCCGACGAGACACTTGGGACAATGCCAATCGTACTCGGGAGTTGTGGTGAGAGGCGGATCGAGGCAGGACTTGTGATATCCATGATCGCAACTATCACAGAGCAGGATTGATGGCCGGTCTTCGGATTTACCGCAGACTTCACATTTCTAGGACTCATTAGCAAAGGCTCTGCAGCCGTACACCCAAGAAGGCCTTACATCTCCATTTTTCCGAATGTCCGTCTTGCGTTGACGGGGCGGAGCAGGGCGGAGAAGACTCATATGAGACCCAGAGACAGTTGGCAAAGGCGCGTCTGTTTGTGTCAGTTAGGACCAAATGACTCGCAGGCAAGCGGCAAATACCTTTACGAAGACGCTTGCTGCGACGGCCATTGGCATCGAGCTCGCCACTCTCCGTTTGAGAACCACTCTCGTGGCTGATCGCGCGCTTCATGGGCGGAGCGCCGTGACCATTGCCCGGGTGTTCGGCTACACTCTTGGGAGTGAGTGAGCCATTATCAGCCTCGCGCTTCACTGCCGGCACGCTATTCACCGCCACAAAAGACGGAGACCGGTTGACCGCAGTAAAGCCACCGGAAGTGTTAACCGCAGTGAAACCGGAAGCAATCGGCCGAGGCGGTGTAGGCTCAACTGGTGGAGTGGGTTTCTCTGGAGTCGCTTCCACCTCCCTCGAGGCAATGACAGGTGCGCTTGCTATCGGCTGCGGCGTTGCCGAAGGGGTGCCATTTTCTAAGGGAGCTGGTTTCTTGGGCATGGGCGACGGGTGGGGCGACGGCGTATATGGGCCACCATGCTCAAGCTCCAGTTGTTGCTGGACCCCCGGCTTAGCCACACGTAGATATTCCTCATACGGCTGTAACCATCTCTGATAGGAGTTTTTCAACGATGTGGAGAGGGACGACATGATTTTGCCACTGTAGCCTAGATCGCGACCAATCTCCGCCCATTTCTTCATCTTGCAGACTGAGTCGAACCCGCCACGCACCTCGACTGCCTTTTTCAGTTTATACAGGTCCAGGGGGCGCTTGTCGACGCTGGGGAAACGATTGAGGTTGGTACCATGTTGCTTGTGAAACTTGGCTAGCTGATCGAGGTAGTTCAAGTTTGCACGAGTCCCTGGCTCCGGGTCAGAACTGGGCTGCGGAGCTCCACCGGCGGCAGACGTGGCTGAACGCGGGGGCATACCTCCTTCGACCGAGTTGAGCTCCTGTCGACGGGTTTTGAAATGGAAACGCTGTTGGAGGGTGATCTGGTTAGCCGCTTCACTCTTCGCGAGGCACGTTATCCCACGCGACTCTTCCCAGTTAAGGAACAAGGGGCGCGTCAACGAAAGCACGCAACGAACATACCTCAGTGTCTATAGCGAAGGGCGGTTGCCAATTTTCCGGGGGAATGATTCGGCAGATTCCATATTTACTGGCCTCCGGCGCGATTCTGCGGATGTATGCTTCAGGGTCCTTGAAATCCTCCTCCGTCGGACGATAGGTTGGTGCCTCTTCTAATCCATGAGGCCGAACTCGCTTGGTTGGTTCTCGGGGGGCATTGGGCTGGCCACGCCGCTCTACCGTGGACAAATCGAGGGGCGCGGACCGTCGAGCGCTCAAGGGAACATTGTGAGAATGCGAAGGATGGGTACTGGAAGATCGGGTAGGCTGGCGACTCGCTGAAGGCTGAATGCCCGCGGAGGGACCTCCTGCTGAGGCCGGAGCCACCATCTCTCACAGCGTAGGCGCGGATCGAGAGGAGGGCGAATTTGCGCGTAGGTTTACCGCGGACGGAAGGGGGCCAGCATCCGATGCGAAAAACACATGGATGGAGGCCAAGGCCAAGAGGAAGGAGAGGATTGTCAGCAGCAGGAGGGCGGTCAGCAGAGGTTTGGACGAAGATCCTTAAGATCGGATGATAAGATGGGGCGGGAGGGTAAAAACTGGAGGGAGGGTCGAGAAAGAGAGTGGAGGAGGATAATTTGATGATGGGGGGAGGGGAGTGGGTGGGAAGGGAAAGGGTAGCCAGCAGATGTTCCCAGGGAAGGCCGAGATGAACCCGGGAGGGTTAGTGTGGAGAATCTCGGAAAAGGAACAAGAAGTCGATCAAGCTGGTAACGTGCCCACCGGGAGGGAGTGATAATGATTTGTTTGATGGGGGGCTGGGGGTTAGGTGAGAAAGGAGAAGAGAGAGAAGGAGAAAATACTGAAAGAGTGTGGAAGTAGGAAACGAAGCTGATGCCGAGTATGAGTCGAGCAGTTGGGGGGGAGGTTCAGTTGTTGACGACGGGAGGAAGTCAAGTAGACCTCGTTATTAGCACGGTAGCAGCACGGTAGCTAGTATGTAGCCTGAATATGGGGGGGATGGAAAGATAGGTGAGTTAGCTAGCACTTAGCAAGTAGCACTTAGCAGTGACGATTGGCAAATGGCCGTAGCCGGAAGTAGTAGTAGTAGTGTAGGGACTTAGTGAGAGTAGTGTAGTGTAGTGTAGTGTCGTGTGTAGTTCAAGTGAGTGTTGGGTGAGAATGAAGTTCTTCCCATGACTTGCTTACCTTGACAGGAAACTTGACAGGCCCAATGTTTGTGCAATGACAGGCCAAGGCAAGAGAGAGAAGGAAAAGGAGGGTGGTGAGAGAGACAAGCGAGTCCGACCAGAAAAGAGAGGAAAAGAGAGTTTGCAAGAGCAAAAAAAGGTCAAAAAAGGTCAGGATCCAATCCATCAATGGAGGTAATTCCATCAACTGCGGACGGCCTCAGGCTGGGTACTCAATTACAATGAATTACCGCCGATGTATGGTAAGAATGGTAAGATATTCTCCCGCAACCCGCAAACGGTGATGTAACGACTTGTGACTGAAACAGGCGGACTGCCCGGTCTCGGATAGGAGGATGAGCCTCTGGTCGGTTCCGGTCAATAGAGATGTGCTTCGATGATATAATAGGATTGTAAAGTTCGCCTGCTCTTTCTCCAGCTATCAATCACTTGGAATCTACAGATTCTCACCAGATCAAGAGAATAAATAAAAAACAAGAGACGTTCCTATATGCTAAAGAGGGTCCCAAAGTATTGTCCTGTACGTACTCTGCTGACTGACAGTACACTTACATTACAGTACACAGCGAGCCTTGGCCTTGACCTAGACTATTTTGTATCCTGTATCCTGTATCTTGTATCTTGTAATGTAGTCCTGCCAGCCTCCCAGCCCTCACATTTCCGAGGGAATGCCACCATGACAAACAGAATGCTCTTGTGCCAAGTCAGTCAGTCATCGACCTGAAGAACAACTGAACTGTCCAGATCTCTCTCTCTAGTGTCGTCGAATCAAGCTTCTAGAAACCAGGTTTGAGAAAACACCTTTGACCACATCACCGCTCAACAGACCACCCCAAACAGTATGGTTCCGGTAGTCGATGCTTCAACCGACGAGGACCGTGGACCGTGGACCGTGGATCGTGGACATCAAGTTGGTGGGATGGAGGAGACTTGGCCGGCCTTCATCCCCTGGTCAGATAAAAATCAGGCAATGCTCACTTGAGACGGACGGACTACCGATCCAGCTGCTAGTCGAGCCCCGAGTCCGCATACTATGCCTATTTGATAATCACATGCAGTCATTCACCGGGCAGAGGATCGGTGGCTCAGCCCTTTGCAATGGCAAATCCCTTTGGTATGTGGCCAACGAGGCAGTCATCATGGCAAATGGCTCAACCTTGGAATATAGCTTGCTCACTTGAGAAAACAGCCGTGAGATACGAGTAGGCATGGCATCTAGTCCGTAGGCGAGAGAAATCCGGACATTCCAGCTGCATCGGATGTACGCCATAGATAGTGCTTAGCAACTGGCGTCCCTCGGTTAGTAAGGCGGAGGATTTTGATCATGCGACACCTGAAACGAAGAAGGGTTTTCTGGGGGTCCCGGAATACCCTTGACTGCTTGTTCTGCAGCATGGGTTGTGTACGCTGTACTCTTTGTTTGGTTCGTGGTGCGGATGGTACCTGAACTGGTCCGGGTCATGCAATGCTGATGATGATTGATGTTCCAGTTGGCTAGCCCACCACCCTATGTTGGCCGAGGCCAGCCTTGGGCTCTCGTTCATGCCTCAGGCCACAATCAATCTTGACACACACCCAGATAGAAACAAACTCTACACAGCATAAGAGTCATCGATAGAGCTACTTCTATCTTGTGTATGATGGTTTACGGTCGCTAAGAACTTACGTCCTTTCACGAATGCTATGTACCATAGGAAGTATCTCGAGAGAAATTTTACTTCTGCCAAACTCCCCTGTCATGTGACTCTGGGACTTTTGTTTTCAGCCTACCATCCCCGTCAACCAAGGCCAAGAATCTCCGCGGTACGGTAGGAATTAGAAGCACTTCAAATAAACCCCGATCTCAAACTACAGTAGGCCGAGTCAAATACCCCAGCTTGTGCGTGTGTCTGTCAAACAAATGGACCTCGATCACACCAAGCCCATCCCAGCATACTACTGCTGCTATCTCCTCCGCTCCACCAAGAAGCACGCTTGTCTATACATCGGCTCCACTCCACACCCCGCCAGACGCCTGGCCCAGCATAATGGTGAATCCAAAGGCGGTGCACGCAGGACACACCACGACGACAAACGGCCGTGGGAGATGGTCTTGACCGTCGAAGGGTTCACGAGCCGAGTGGCCGCGTTGCAATTCGAGTAAGCAACCTTCCCCATGCCCTGCATGCCCGCGCAAATCTAACCGGTCGATAGATGGGCCTGGCAGAACCCCAAGAGGGCAAGACAGATCACCGCGAACTACCATCCAGACAACGCTGGGGCCAGACCCAAAGGCCGTGGTTCGCGGAGGTCCATGAACGCTCACCTGGAGGATCTACATATATTTCTACGGTCTACGCCCTTTGCGCACTGGCCCCTCAAAGTGCGCTTCTTCGCGGCCGATGTGCATCAGACCTGGAGAATCCTGGCAGATCGAGTGCAGGGGTTTCTTCCCGATCATATTGGGGTGATTGTCGATGGCAACTGTGCTAGACCGCCCTTGCCACGTGATGAGGAGCAGGCGCAGGTCAAACGTGTCGCCGGGATTAAAGTGAACTACACGCATATGCAAGACTACATAGATAAGGCCATGTTCCTTCTAGAGGACTCGGAGAGCTGTCGGTGTGGGGTGTGCGCGGCACAGCTGGTGCCAGACGCAGAAATGGTAGTGGTTTGCTCCCAGGATAACTGCTATTGCACAAGTCATCTATTGTGTTTGTCAACAAGATTCTTAGAGACTTCTGATGAGCCAGATCGGCTGGTTCCAATCAGTGGCGCTTGCCCGGGGTGTGGAACGACGGTTCCATGGTCGCTGTTGATGCAGGAGCTGACGCTGCGCAACTGCGGAGCGAACAATCCGCGAGCGAAAAGGAAGAAGACTAAAGCGGACGCGACTCAGCGAGGCTCCAGGGTCACTTCAGAGCAAGGGCGTGTCGGCGTCGATGATACCAGCAACGAGCGTACAGCAGTTGACCTTCGAGAAGCGGATCTCCCTGACGACGTCAGTCTAGATGAGAACTGGACTGAGTCATTAGATGCGGACCTTGAGTCGGAAAATTTGATGGAGTCACGATCCCAGCCTACATCGACCAGAATCGAGATCATTATAGAAGACAGCGACTGCGAAGAGATATACACGCTAGAATGAGCAATGACGCCACCGCCAGCCGCTGCTCGCTAGTGTGGGTAGAATAAGAGGTCAATGGGCGATTGATTCAAATTTCCTCAAAGGACCAATTGCATCCAAGCCTGCAATGCAGTCGATGACGCTTGTCTCAACATCCTGCGCCACTTCCTCGAATGTCCTGCCCGCATCGATGGTGCGGATATTCCCGCTCCGTTGCACGCGGAAGATCGTCTGAAACAACTCGCGCACGCGGTTCTGCATGGTCGCATTCTCGTAGCGTTCGACACCAAACCCTCCACGCTGAGCAGCTGCTTCCGGGGAGATACTCAGGAACAGACACAGGTCAGGCTGAGGCAGTCCAATCTCTGGCGTCCATGCCCATTCCAGGGACAGCGTGGGATTCATCTTGGCGGCCGAGTACACAGCACCAGAATACGAATACCGATCCACAATGACGGTGACTCCATTGGCAATATCTTGCTCGATGCTTTGAGCCAGCTCCCAGCGGTTTGCGGAGAAGAGAAGATGAATAGAATGGTCGTCCAATTGTGACTGGCCCCGCAGATAGCCATCGATCATCTTCCCGATGGCTGTGGTTCGGTCTTGGCAGTGGTTAGATATAGTTTGCCATGCCTGTGGTTTGTAAGAGTCTAAGGAGTACCTGGAAATCGAACATATTTGACTGCACGGCCTTTGTGGTGGAGCCTTTTGTGTAGAGACTCGCACTGGCTGGATTTGCCTGCCCTATCCAAGCCCTCGACGACAATTAGAGCACCACGTTGAGCCGGTGTTTCCATTATGTGGGAAGATCACAGTAGGATTGGTGGTGAGCAGAGAAGTTCGTTGTGAAAGATGATCGGCGTGGGGAGGCTTAGAAGACGGGCTTCAGTTATCGAGGGTGGATTTGGTTATCAGCCAGAGAGAATCTAACACTTAGCCTGATCGGGACAGACCGCGGGGATCCCAGCAACTTCCCGCATTTCCACATGAATCTTCTTTCTATCAGAACTTCCAACTCAACTTTTTCCCTTCTCCAGCGACTCTCAGTCGCATACAGCCTCGCACTGATCGTCATGGACCCCGAGTCATCCCTTCAGTTACCGCAGGAGATGCTCAACTTCACCACTACAGCCTCGATTCTGACCCCTCGGCTGGGAAGACTGGCCGTGGCGGGCAGGAAACCCATCTCCACGCCGCACTACATCCCTCTAACATCTCGAGGAATCGTTCCGCATATAACACATGATATCATGCGCGATCAAACTGCTATTGGCAGTCTCTTTATTGGACTTGAAGATTGTACGAGCGTTTCCCAGCCCCTTCAACCAGTCAACCGCCCAAGAGCAATATCACATACCAACCAAGAAAAAAAGAAAACCGCTAACATCAATGCCCGTGGGGGCGCAGATCAGTCATAGAAAGACAAACCCCGAAGCATCCCTTCCCTCCTGCATATACGATTCCGACGGCAGCCAACGAGTCGGCGCTGCGCAATTTCATCTGCCAACCCGACGACCAGCTGTTGATCATGGGCCCGCGTCGCGAACCGCCGATCAAATGCCCGCCCTCGAACACGCCCAACTCGGTCGCCATCCTTACCTCGGTGGGCTACCGACAACTGGAGGCGACGCACTACCTGGATGCCATCCGCCACCTGCGGCCGGATATTGTCGTCGGCCTCGCTGACCTGGTGCGCGGCCACAACCCAGGACTGAAGCGGCGCGGGAAGATGGTCGACCGGACGCACGCCTACACAACGCACGCCACGGAACAGCTGTACAACCACAAAGCCACAACGCAGCGATCGAATGCTGTCTACTTTGCCCCGGTGCTGCCGCTCGAGAACGCGGAGCAGTCCATCTATTTGGAGGATTTGGAAAATGACCTCCGCCCGTACATCTCGGGCCTGGCGCTGTACGAGTCGGCCTCGCTCTCCGCCGTGTCGGAGGGGCTGGGCGACCTTCCGCGACTGCTGTTTGGCGCGCCGGCCACCCCTCACGATATCCTCCGCGATGTCTCGCTGGGCGCGGATCTGCACACCATTCCTTTCGTGGGTGTATGTTCCGACGCCGGCATTGCCCTGGACTTCACCTTCCAGCCGCAGCAGCAGCAGTCGCAATCATCTCCTACGTCCACTCCATTAGCCTACGACCTCTGGTCCCCCGACCACAAAACCGACACCCGCCGGCTCTCGGAATCATGCGAATGCTACACCTGCCGCAACCACCACCGCGCCTACCTGCACCATCTGCTCTCCGCCAAGGAGATGCTCGCGTGGTCCCTCCTGCAGATCCACAACCACCACACCATGGACATCTTCTTTGCTCAGATCCGCGAGAGTATCGAACGGGGTACTTTTGATGTTGATGCCCAGACCTTCTCGCGGACATACAGCTCGGAGCTCCCCGAGCCGAAGGGTCAAGGACCACGGTGCGTGCCCTTCTGGAAACAGATCCTCACATACATACATACCTATTCAAATATACCATAAAAGCCAAACCATGCTAACTCATTATACCCATGAACAGACTACGAGGCTACCAACTCCCCGCCTCCGGCCCCAACCAACCCCGCCGGCACGCCCGGGTGTACGGCCGCCTCGACGACGCGGCGGAGAAATTCGCCGAGTCGCAATCCTCCGTGGCCACGCCCGATACGGGCGCCGAGGGGCTGGAGGAGCACGGGTTTGCGGAGAGGGCTAGCGGACTATGACTAGAGCATATCATTTGAAAATTGCATATACGATATAATTCAAGAAGCATTGCGGTAGAATAGCTTAGCTTGGTATAGCATAGCACAGCATAGCACAGCACAGCATCCCACGATATGCATAATGCAGCAGCATACCATATCATATAAAACACATATATACTAGGGATAGGGCAGAGCCCGGCCAACAGACAAGACATCGCCCACTATTCGACAGCCCCCTCCAGTGCCCCCTCCAGCGTCTTCAAGCTGCGCGTACAGCTTCATCACAGAGTAAATGGATAGACTAGACCACTTTCGACGAATTAAGCAATTGGCCGTCATCCCATCTCTTCTTCTGTAAGAGTCATCTACCGAATACATAAATCCCCATATTGCAGCCTTATCCCACAACTGAGAGATCAACAGCGGGTGAAGAGTACACAGTGCAGGACCCAGGACCTTTTAGCCCACCACATCGAAATACCACATCCTATCATCGATTCTGACTTACCTTCTACAAATGACATTCAAGAAGATAGAATCAAGAGCAAGAGATCGGACAGAAGAGATAAAGAGAAGTTTTGTTGCTTTCGCTCAGCATAAAACCCTAGCCTTGGAGGTACATATCTAGATAGCATCATACGTTCCGCCCTGAAATGAACACGACCACCATTTTACATTCAATACCGAACAACTGCACAAGCTAACTACTTCGTATCTACAGTACATATCCCCTCTATATCGCCAATCCCAATCTGAACCCCCAAATCAAATCGAACTCAAGACACAACAATCGACCGGAGTCATGCCGTCACCACCAAGATTCAAAGTTTGCAGGACTATCCGGGCGGGCGCCGTCATTGTATCCGGAATGGACGGCTAACTACAAGTGAGGAGAAGAGACTGAGATAATTCTCCGTAAGATGAGAAGAATCTCAAAAAGAGGAAGAAGGAACTCATGATGAGTCGATTACGTCTAAGACTTTTTCTGGCATGGAGTAGATTAGATGAAAGGGTTGCATCCGGAGCCAATCCCGCTAAACCCCATCGGTCAAGCGTGGGAAGTATACACAGTCAACACCTCATTCTTCACCTTACCTCCACTTCACCTCTTCACCTCTTCAACCACTCAGACCAACTCTACAACAAAGCTTGGCGGATGAGACTCCACACTCTGGCAGCTGTCATGGCGTCCCCCCTCTTTCCTCGTCACTCCTCGCGTCCTTACCTGGTCGACACTCCTTCCGATCCTTGGAAATCCCCAAGTCAATTCACCTCACTCATCGAATGGACAATCCCCAATAGTCCGCTCGGCCCGGCACTCTCCAGACGGGTTCAGTCGGTACACCCACTGAAAGCACCATGTCTCATACGTCAAGACCTCTCCGAGTGGTCGAATCAACGAGTCATACCCCATTCGTTGGGGGAGCATGGCGGTCGGTCGAACCAAACCACTGTTACACCACCACCCACGTAAACCTGGGGAGGTTAAGGTACAGTACCGGGCCTCTTACACCGAACTCTCACTCCGCAGCAACCCGGGAGCTTTTTGTAGAAAAGACAAATCTACTACGTCAGCATGATTATCTGCACAAGGGTGATTCTCCGCACATGTCGTCCGCGCTGCTCCCCTGCACTTCCGCCGCTCACTGCTAGTCAAGCCTTTTCTCTCTTGCATCTTCTCTTTGTGCTGTAGGGGAAAAGAGGCCTATGGTGAATTTCTCCCAGCCTATCGTTTGCTTTCGCTTCTTCATCCTCTTCTTTCTAGCTCTCTCTCTCGCTTTCGCCGTCTTTTCCCTCCCGGTTCGTAATACGGAACGGAGGACAGCAGAGAAACAGAAAGAGAGAGGGTAACCCCCACCTTCCCCTCCCCCTGCTGCATAAGGCAAAGTGATTTGATCCAAGACACACCATGGCTGAGCAAGGAGCGCCAACCACGGCGGCCAACACGCTCGACGTCGAACGCGGCGGCGGCGGCGGCGCACAACCGCAGCCCTCGAGCTCGGAGCAGCGCCGTGACTCGCGGCGGGTTTCCCGCGTCTCCTACAAGGAGGACTACGCCAACCTCGACGAGTACGGCAAACTGGTCAAGTATGCCTCGACCTATCGCGAGGGTGGGCGAGGCGACGAAGGGCAGGGCGAGGAGGAGATGAAGCGCGTGTGGTACGCGCCCTGGAAGAAGCGCAAGGTCTTCGTCAAGCACGTCGATCAGCAGCAGGGCTACCCGGAGGAGTGGCTCCTCACGGACATCCGCCAGGGCTTGTCCAGCAGCGAAGTGCCGGACCGCCGGCGTCGCTCGGGCTGGAACGAATTGACCTCCGAGAAGGAGAACCCCATCGCCAAGATCCTATCCTACTTTCGGGGTCCGATTCTTTATGGTATGTTGCTGTGCTGCCTAGCCCAAAAAAGTAGAGCTGACTTGGTGAGGTAGTCATGGAACTCGCCGTGCTTCTTGCCGCGGGCTTGGATGACTGGATCGACTTTGGTGTCATCATCGGTATTCTTTGCTTGAACGCCGCGGTGGGTTGGTACCAGGAAAAGCAAGCCGCGGACGTGGTCGCCAGCTTGAAGGGCGATATCGCCATGAGAGCAACGGTCATTCGTGATGGCCAGCAGCAGGAGATTCTCGCTCGGGAGCTTGTTCCAGGTGACGTGGTAGGTTCTCTGGCCTCTCAGTAACGCAGTCCAGAACTAACACGCGGTGGAGATCATCGTTTCCGAGGGCCATGTCATCCCTGGCGACGCTAAGGTGATTTGCGACTACAACGACCCCGATGGATTTGAGGAGTACAAGAGAATGCTGGAGCAAGGCGATCTCAGCAGTACCTCCGAGTCCGATCTCGAGGACAACGAGCCCGAGAAGCCCGGAAAGCAAGCCGAGGGCGGCGGGGAGGACCCCGAGAAGGACCAACCGCAGTCGAAGCCCAAGCGCGGGTACCCCATCCTGGCCTGCGATCACTCGGCCATCACCGGTGAGTCCCTGGCCGTGGACCGCTACATGGGTGGGATGATCTACTACACCACCGGCTGCAAGCGCGGCAAGGCCTATGCGGTGGTGCAGACCGGTGCGAGGAACTCGTTTGTCGGCAAGACCGCCAGCATGGTGCTGTCCGCCAAGGGCGCGGGCCACTTCGAGATCGTCATGGATAACATCGGAACGTCGCTGTTGATCCTGGTCATGGCGTGGATTCTGGCGGCGTGGATCGGTGGCTTCTTCCGCCACATCCCCATCGCCTCGCCGGGCCAGCAGACGCTGCTGCACTACACCCTTGCTCTGCTGATCATCGGTGTTCCCGTCGGTTTGCCTGTAGTCACGACGACGACCATGGCCGTGGGAGCCGCGTACCTGGCGAAGAAGAAGGCCATCGTGCAGAAACTGACAGCCATCGAATCTCTAGCAGTATGCACCCTCTCAAACAGCAAAACACGGAGCGACACTGACGAAGACTAGGGCGTTGATATCCTTTGCTCGGATAAAACCGGCACACTGACGGCGAACAAACTCAGCATCCGCGAGCCATACGTGGCGGAAGGCGTGGACGTGGACTGGATGTTCGCGGTGGCGGTGCTGGCCTCGTCTCACAACATCGAATCCCTGGACCCGATCGACAAAGTGACCATCCTCACGCTCCGCCAGTACCCGAAGGCCCGTGAGATCCTTCGCCGCGGCTGGAAGACGGAGAAGTTCACGCCGTTCGACCCGGTGTCGAAGCGCATCGTAACAATTGCCAGCTGCGACGGCACCCGGTACACGTGCACCAAGGGCGCGCCGAAGGCGGTGCTCCAGCTGACCAACTGCTCCAAGGAGACAGCAGACCACTACAAGACCAAGGCGCAGGAATTCGCGCACCGCGGGTTCCGTTCGCTGGGCGTCGCTGTGCAGAAGGAAGGTGAAGATTGGACGCTCCTGGGAATGCTGCCGATGTTCGACCCGCCGCGCGAAGACACAGCGCAGACGATCACGGAGGCGCAGAACCTGGGCATCAGCGTTAAGATGCTGACGGGCGACGCGATCGCGATCGCCAAGGAGACGTGCAAGATGCTCGCCCTGGGAACCAAGGTGTACAACTCGGACAAGCTGATCCACGGCGGGCTCAGCGGAGCCATGGCAGGCGACCTGGTCGAGAAAGCCGACGGCTTCGCCGAGGTGTTCCCCGAGCACAAATACCAAGTGGTGCAGATGCTGCAGGACCGGGGCCACCTGACGGCGATGACAGGCGACGGGGTCAACGACGCGCCGTCCCTGAAAAAAGCAGACTGCGGCATCGCGGTCGAAGGCGCGTCCGAGGCCGCCCAATCCGCCTCGGATATCGTCTTCCTCGAGCCGGGCCTGTCGACGATCATCGACTCCATTAAGGTCGCGCGCCAGATCTTCCACCGCATGAAAGCCTACATCCAGTACCGCATCGCGCTGTGCTTGCACCTGGAAATTTACCTCGTGACGAGCATGATCATTCTAAACGAGAGCATCCGCGTCGAACTTATCGTCTTCCTGGCCCTCTTCGCCGATCTCGCAACAGTAGCCGTCGCTTATGACAACGCCTCCTTCGACCTGCGACCTGTGGAATGGCAACTCCCGAAGATCTGGTTCATCTCCGTGCTGCTGGGCCTGCTCCTCGCCCTGGGCACATGGGTCGTCCGCGGGACGATGTTCCTGCCGTCAGGGGGCATCATCCAAAACTGGGGCTCCATCCAAGAAGTGTTGTTTTTGGAAGTCGCCCTGACCGAAAACTGGCTCATCTTCGTCACCCGCGGCATGGACACCTGGCCGTCCATCCACTTAGTCACCGCCATCCTTGGGGTCGACGTCCTGGCCACAATCTTTTGTCTGTTTGGATGGTTCAGCAACGAGGACATGCCGACGATCCCGAAAGACCAATTCGTGGAGACCACGAACGGCTGGACGGATATCGTGACGGTGGTGCGCGTCTGGGGCTACTCGTTGGGCGTCGAGATCGTGATCGCGCTCGTGTATGTGATGCTGAACAAGTTCAAGTGGCTCGATAATCTGGGCCGCGCCAAGCGCGACAAGGGGGACCTCAAGATTGAGAATCTGTTGGGCCATTTGGCGCGGTTGACGGTCGAGTACGAGGAGCCCGGGAAGCCCAAGGGCCGCTTCTCGTTGGCGGCCTCGAAGGAAGAGGAGGAGCTGGAGTAGATGGGCTGGGGACGTGCGGGAGCGCGAGTGGGTGATTTCGGTGGGGTGGAAGGGAGATAAGCTGCTGGAGGATTATTTCGGGGAGAGAAGAAGCGAAGGATAGGAGCCAGAGGTGGGGAAGGAGTAGGGTGTTTGTGTTGGGTTTGGGTTGAGGAGGAGTATAAGAAGTACGGGTACGGGCTACGGGGGATTTGTTTGATGCTGCGCTGCTGCTGGGTAATTAATTGTTCAGTACTTAATTATAATATAGGGCTGTCCGACAGGGCAGGTCATAGTGGGTAATTGATTTGAGTTTTTCGATGAGAAGAAGTAAAGCATACGGTAGTTAGGGCTGGAATACGATGAATGACCTGCCTAGTATCCGATACCCATACCCTCCTGAGCACGAGCATAAATTGTTGGTAGGCTACATGTCACCAAGCGAAGCTATAGTCTATCACTCTCGACCGACTGAAGAGTATCTTACGATAGACCTAACAGCATCTTCCCAATGAACACAGTGTTTCCTCACAGAAATAGGTATTAGGTTAGTCTCAACATCAAATCCAAGCTAAATAGTCATCTGGTATATAGAGCCCTCACGAGGATGTACATGAACGGTATATAAAATACGAAACTCCCCAAGTATGGGGGAAATCACCACCACCACCACCACCACTGCTACTACTACACCAACCCACTTACCGGATACCGAAACCTATGATAAACCCTCGACATGGTCTGCGTCAACGCGGAGCGGATGCCACTCAAGTACCCGGGATTGGCATACGCCTGGGTGACGTCCCACAGCATGACGCCGCCGAACGACTTGAAGGACTTCGTGTACTGGATGACCTGCTGCAGCTGCGCGATGGGGACGTAGCCGGAGCCGGCGGCGGCGGTGTTGGCGGGCGCGCCAACGAGGACCCTGACGTTCTTGTTCTGCGAGACGGTGCGGGCCCAGGTGTCCCACTGGGCGAAGTTGAAGGCGGGCTGGGAGGCCTGGCCCGGCTGGAAGGCGGCCAGGCCGCAGGGGTTGTTGTAGAACTGCACCCAGACGGCGTCGATGGCGACGGGCCCGTTGAGGATCTCCTGGTCGGCCAGGTCGGGGTACGGGCACTGCGGCGCCGCGGTCAGGAAGTACGGCTTGGTGGGGTCGGCGTCGGCGAGCGCGCGCAGGCGGTTGGCGAACGGCGCCATCTTGGTGACCGTCGCCTCGAAGTCGAAGTCGAAGCCGTCGACCGAGGCGTTGCCGAAGGGGCGGAGCGGTTGCGTTTTGGATGGAGATACAGATGATAAAGGGGGCGGGCCGAACGTCTGCCACACCAGGTCGGCGGCGGCCTGCGCCGCCGCGTCCGACGCAAACCCGCCTTCGCTGTACGTCGCCCCGCCGATGGAGAGGATCACCGTCTTGCCTTTCTGCTGGCACGTCGTGATGTCGTTGCTGGCCGTGTTAGTGTCAGTTTCATCCACCCCCTCAGGCAGAGTGGCACTTACCCGATCTGCGGACAGTTGGGTAGATTGGTCCCGTTGAACAACGGACAAGCCTTGCTGGTGTCGGCGAAGTCATACTCGGGCACCCCGCCCGCCCCGTTCACCCGCATCACAAACGCCAGGATAAGAACGTCGATGTTGGGATCTGCTCGCGGTTAGCTCTGTCTATGGTCCCATGGGGCAAGGCAAGTGACAAGTGGCAAGTGGTGGACAGCGTACCGTCGCAATAGTAGGACAGGTTCTGCTGCGCCAAGTTCCCCGACCCCCGATACGAGTTCTGGCCTAGCCCTAAGTCAGTTCGAACGTCCATCTGCCACGGTATCAACTCCACCCACCCCAGTATACCGCCACATTGTTCGGGGACGAAAGATCGAGTTTCGCGGACGCTCCGCTCAGCGAAGCCAGCGCCGCCGTCCAGGCGAGGATGGATTGGAAAAGCATGATGCTGTGTGGTGTTGCTCTTGATAGGCGACCACACGAGTGAAACGGTGTGCTGGAGGTAGACAACACGAAGGGAAGAGTGTGAACAGATATCCCTGCACAACCAAAGACGAAAGAGAGGGTATAACTGATGCTTCCTCAGGTGGTGGTGGTGGTGACAATGCTTCCCCCAAGTCAGTATCTCGTGTGTCGCTAGTCGAGCCTCGTTTCCGAATAACCTCAACTTCCATCCAGCCCAACGAGACAGCAACCTCTACTTTATATCCCCATACCCCCTGTAAACAGCTAACCTTGACGACGTAAACGTAAACGTAAACGTACACAACCCCATTTCCCCTCTAGACAGCCAACCTCAACAACGTAAACGTAAACGTCAACAACCCCAAACCGGTCACCCATCAGATAGAGCCAGTCATCATTGTCATGCGTTCTGATCGCATGGTCTTGATTGAGGGGAGAGTGTGGTTCTTTCCGGGATCGTCAGGGCCAGGATCATCCACACATTCCTGACACTTACGAGTACAGACACACGCGCAGCCGGACAAAAGAGGCGCCAGTGGGACGAGGCGGGGGGAGAGCATCCCCTGACGGCCGGAACTGTCATGTTGATAGCCGTAGCCGTGCCTGTGATCGGGTTAGTCGGGGGAGTGGAGTGAGGGAATAAGGTCATGCTGGATTGGGAGTTGGGAGCGGAGTTGAGGCAGGCCGGGGGGGGGCAGCAAGTTCACATTCCACATCCCTAGTCCCTGGGCAACTGGCCTCGAGCAAGAATGCTGCCAGGTTGATTAGGTAGAGCCCAATTAACTTCGTGAACATAATCTCGCAGACGAGAGAGTCGAGCTCTCGCTGAGGTAGCAGAGCAGTTATCAACGTGTAGTTTGGTTGATCCAGCTGAGGGAGAGGAGAGCCCAACTGCTCTAGCCCTAATTCTTCAACCACGCCATGATAACCACACCCCATCACCAGCACGACACAGCACATCACAACCACAGAGCCAAACTCGATTCGATTCCCCTTCCGGCTCCCCCCAGGCCCAGCCTTAGGCCTCCTTCCATCGCAATGCCAAACCCCCCCCCACAATCCCAACGAACGACGCAAAACCCACCCCTCCGCAGTCTGCCGGTTGACTGCCCAAGGTACTTCCTGTTCCTGTTCCCGTCCCCCCATTTCATCGTCATGCAGAAGCCACGCGCCCACCATGCAAGGGACAAGATGATCATTGATCATCGATTGACCGGGGTAAGTAAGTAAGTAAGTGAGTGAGAACAGAAACGGCGACTCACCACCAGAGCACGCTTGGTCCAGACTGTTCCAATACGCCAGACAAGACAAGCGTTAATCAAATCACACGCCTTCGAGCCCTCCTCCCGGATACTCTTACCCTCCCCAACTGTCACAAAGGCTCAGTATCATCAGTCGATGGGGGCAGGGGCAGGGGCGTGTGATACGGCACTTGACAAGACCATCCCGCCGATGATGATGATGATGATGATGACGACAAAAGGGTAGGATGATCGAAATATACTTTTCTGCTGGAGTATACAACCAAGCACCAGGGTTAGGTTTGGTTTAGTATACAGCCCGCGTAGCACAACCACAAAACAACCACAAAACAGCCACAAAACAAACACAACAAGCACAAGCACAAGCACAAACAAAGGGATGGAACCAGAACCGTGCAAACAGGTTTATCTTCATCTTCATCTTCATCTTCATCCCCATCCCCGGCTCTGTCTGTCTAGGTCAATCCTAATCCCGCGCACGGACAAGCCTTCAATTGCTTTGTCCAGACCCGAAGTCTGCCGGTCTGTACCTGCGTCTGACGGATGTGCTTTCAACCTAAATTCTATTCCGGGGGACGGTTGCGGATGGGATCCTCTGAATGAGAGGGCGGGGAGGAATGCGCTGCGGGAACTGTTGGCTTGTTGGGCTGTTGGGCTGTTGGCCCGGGGATATATGGTATGCTAGGTGGCCTGGCTGTATCGCTGGGATTGGGGTCTATTCTTTGATATTCCACGGTTGAAGATTGATCGGTGAGGTGGACATGTAGTTACTTACTGTAGACTGCAGCGACAATGAGGTCATTGGGGCCAACGTTAACGTTACCTGCGCTACCCACCGATCCTTATGGTCTTATGGTCGAACAGCAGGACATGGGTTGTGGAACCGCACTTGGTCTGGACTATGGACTAGACAGCATCAACGCTGGGTTGACATTCCCTCCGTGGTACGGAGGACTCGGCCTGCCTACGGAGTACTCTCACGAGATATGCCACTGGGTCTCTTATCCGTGGGCCAAACAAACTATCCTCAACAACAATCTACCGCGCAATCCCCACCACCCGCTCAAAAGCGGCCTCATTCTCCACCTCCCCATCGATAACCCCAGCAACCTTCAACACATCCACGACCCCATCCACCACCTCGCGCTGGACCCCCCTCGTCCCCCGACTAAACCGCACATCCTTCATCCACTCGCGCGCATCCTCCTCCCCATACGTACACCCGAGCTCCCCGGTCCCCAACAACGCGACCACCCTCTCGCGCTCCGCCTCAAACTCCTCGATCCCGCGATCCAACACCTCAAACAGCCTCTCCAACCGCGCCTCCCGCCCCAACTCCCCGACGGGGAACGTCGCCGTCGACGCGACAATCATCCACGACGGCCAGGGGGTATAGATCTCGCCGATCTTCTTCAGCGGCGGGTGGGGGTTTGCGGGGGTGGGCCGGAAATACGGCTTCGTCGTGAATTCCTCCCACATGAAGAAGTCGGCCGTCGGGTCGGCGCCGGCGCCAGCGCCGGTGACCCCGTCGCGCAGGGACCCGAACGGCCCCAGGATGGTCGGGGTGAGGGCGTCCTTCTCCGACCAGTGGTGGGTCTGCGAGAGGACGAAGGACATGATGTGTGAGCCGCTGTAACCCCACCGAAAACACCATGCACTTGTCAATCGTGGTGATCTTGGTAGGCGAAATCATTTTTTCTTAAATGTAGGATGCTTACCTTCCCAACCGACTCACGCCCACCCTCCCCCCCTTCAGATCCTCCACGCCCCGGATCGTCTCCCGCTCGCGCCCGGTGACGATCGCCCACCGCAGCGGCGTGTCCACCCAGTGGCCCACGATCTTGTAGCCGTCCGTCGCGGCGGGCCTCGGCGCCTGCTGCTTGCCCACCAGCCCGGCGACCCAGCCTTCTGTCAGCCCGATCGCGAGGTCGATCTCCTGGTCGCGGAGCGAGGTGATCATGTGGCCCGTGCCGGAGGGGAAGGGGACCAGCTGGACTTCGAACGGGAGGTCGGCGGCGGCGGAGGAGCGCAGCGCCAGGTGCAGCGGGCCGAGATAGTGCTCTGCTTCTCTGTTAGGACCTTGGTAGGAAGTATGGGAGGTGTGGGTGGTTGGGGGGGTGGGTGGTTCTGGTTTTCCTCGTGCAGGAGGAGCAAGGCTTGGGATGTATGAGGGGTGGTGATGGTCTTGCTGGAATACGAAGGGTAGACATACCTGGCACATAGCCAATTCGGATCGTTTCTGTGTTGGAGGCCATGGTTGGGAGCTTTCGATGCGGTGCAGTACGGAGAACAGGCAACGGACTGACACTTGAGAGCGAAAGGATGGATGGTGGGGGATGGAGTTGACCCCGCGAACTGAGCGGCAGCGGCATGTCATCTGCCGCCCGCTCGGCGGTCCCGTTTCCACTCTACTGCAAAACAACAAAAACAGCTGTTGAATGAATCTATAATTTCAACAAAACAGTCTGTGTAGTCTGAAGATCCAGTTGAGCATCTAGCCCTACAGCAAATTGCCAAATCTATATACACACCCCAAAAAGCATCAAGTCATCCGAATATCCTTCTCCTCCACCTCCCACCCCTCACTCGCACCCCGAGAAGGACTGCCCGCAGCCCCAAACGAGGGTCCACTATACATCCAGAACTGCAGCCCCAGGTACAAATCACAGATGCACTGGAACATCGCGCACAGCCGGAACGACCACGGGATCACCTCCGCGCTGCAGAAGAAGTAGCTCAGCTTCGTGATGTCACCCAGGATCCACGCCGCAACCACCGAGAGCCGGAACCCCACGCAGGACCGCGATTGGTGGTTTTTGATGACTTGAGGCAACGGCAGCGTCGCCTCGACCGCGAGGCCGACGTATCCCAGCAGACCGATATAGGACTGCGAGTTGGCGAGCGGCGGAAGAAAGACTTGAACGACGGCGAGGGCCACGGTGAAATAGGCGAGGAACATCCAGTAACTACACAATCGGTTGGATTAGCAGCCACATCGCAATTGGGGGGGGGCAACAAGGAAACATACGGCTTCGCGCTCCGCCACTGCCAAAAGTCATACGGTCTCGTGAACCCCTGCCCGCTGTCCACGCTGCTGAAGGGGACATGCTCCACGCCATTCTTCAATCCAGGGGCCGGCCGGTTGTCGAGGGCTACCTTCAGCAAGATAATCTGCACTCCGATCGTGAGGACGGCCTGGATGAGGAGCGAAAGAGAGTACTTGGCGCCGAACCAGTAGAAGACCCTGAGTATTATGTGTCAGTCCCCGTCGCGTCACTGCCCCACGACACGTCTTACTTCAGAATCGACGCAATAAGCATGATCAATGGGATGTCCATGGAGAAGCCAGCCGAGCTTCGGCTGCGGTGGATGCTGAGGATCTGGTCCGCATACGAGGTGACCGGCGAGGTCATGATACTGTTTGAGATTCATTATCAGTGATCTGGTCAGGCCAACAGCGGACATAGAAGCGCACAATAGAGGAGCTCCATATTCAAGGGCTTGCGATAAAAGATTCATGGTGCGTTCAATAGCCCGTCGAAGCGTATGAGAACAAAGGTGTCACGGTTGAGTCCTGGTGTTGAGAGCGGAGATTGCGTTTAGGCCGGAGATGGATGGGATGATCTATAACTTTCGGCCAAAAGAGGAGTCGCGCACAAAACACACCGAGACCCTAAGCCACGCTGGAAGAAACGAAGAGAGTGAAAGGCCGGATGATTGCAACGGCCGTGTTAGATCTCCAACCCCTCGAGAGTCGAGCCACCACCGGATGCGTCTTTCCTCCCTTTTACTTTTTCCCCTGGCGCCCGCTGACTCAGCCCCACTGATCGGCGCCAAAAATCGAGCCTCGTCCCAAACGGGTAACAATATAATCTGCCGCCCAGTGCCCAGAGTGCTTATTCGCCACTTGGCTCTACATTACAGTACTACGTACTGAGTACTACATTCTACCTGAGCTTGTTGACACTATTGCTTCTGCCAGAATGGTCATGAGGTTCAATATACTATTGTGACCCGCTAGTCTATCGCCCCAAAACTCAAAACTCAATCCGCCACGAGTTGCCGATGGCCACATTGGGGTTTTTGACCACCGCATACGATGCCTTGCCATCTTGCTGGCTGTGATATTCAATCGAGGCGGTGGTGGCAGCTTTGGCATTCTCCTCAATCACCGTCACGCTGCTCTTGTCCTGCCAGTCCTTGGGCGGATCCACAACAATGACCCGCTCCACGCGAACCCCAGCCATTTTCTTCAGATATTCGTTCGTCTTGGGGCCCTTCGCACCAAGATCTTCGGACGACAGAACAGAATCACGGAAGGCGAAGCGGCGGTGGATGTAAGCGCCACGCTCGTAGTTAAACGTCTCGCCATCATCAACATAGAGGGTACCGTCGGCGTGGCCGTCCTTGTCCAGCACAATAACAAGAGTGTAGGGATCCCACCTCATAAGTCCGCTGCTGCGGCGTGGGCGATCCTTGCGAGGAATGACATGGCCGCCCTGCATCAGCAAAGGTACCTTCTCCGTCGGAGCGGGCACGGTATGCCGCTTGCCTGCTCCTTGGTAGACGGTATAGTCGAAGTAATCATAGTACTTCTCGTCGTCAGCAAGATAGATGTCAACACTGGTAGCATCCTCGGCCACCACCGGCTTGGCAAGGAGACCCGTGTTGCCGAGATAAAGCTGATCATCAATGGCAAAGCCTGCTTCGTCGGTAGGATGAACATAGTATTGGGGCCGCACAATCGGCATCCCGTTCACCGAAGCCTCATGGAAGGCGGTATACCAGGCAGGCAAGAGCTGGTATCGCAGGCGGATGGCCTGCGCAATGATGGACCGGAAAGGCTCAGCAATCAAATACGGCTCACGTCTGCGAGTGTCAATGTGAGCGTGGGCGCGGAAGAACGGATACCAGATACCGGTCTGGTACCATCTGGTCAAAAGTTCCTTGCTTGGGTTCTGGAAGAAGCCACCGACATCAGCACCGGCAAAGGGGAAACCCGCGATACCATTGTTCAACACCATTGGAAGCGAGGCAGCAAGGTGATCCCAGGTCGCCTGGTTGTCGCCCGTCCACATGGCTGACATCCGTTGAGCACCGGCATAGTAAGAGCGGGTCAAGATGAAGGGCCGGCGGACTTCGCCCTTCTTGCGCTCCAACAGGGCATTGTAGGTGGCATTGACCAAAGTGACACCATGCACGTTGTGGATATCGCGATGCTCCCAATTCTCATGGTGTAGGTTGTCCTTGGGCATAGTGGTTTCGGGTCCGTTGAAAACGGATGGCTCGTTCATGTCATTCCAGATGAAGACATTTGACAGGGTACCCTTAAACTTGTCATACTTGAACAAGCTCATCCACCACTTGATGGCTGCCGGATTGAAGGTATCAATCCAGTTCGATGAGCCAGGCCAACACCAGCCATCGTAGATCTCCCCGTCCTTGTTCCTAGTGGCCAAGTTCTTGCTCTTCAGTTCTTCCGAGATGGTGTATCCATCCTTATTCTTGATATGAGGATCGATCAAGACCACGAGCTTACGCTCAGACTCATCGAGCTGCTTCTCCATGCTGATAGGATCAGGGAAGGTAAGCGGATCCCAGGTGAAGTACTTCCGGTCATCAGTGTACTCGAGGTCCAGCCAGATGATGTCGTAGGGGATCTGGTACTTGTCAAAGTTGCGATCAACCTCTTTGACGTCCTCATCGGTGATGTAATTCCAGCGACACTGGTGGTACGCGATAGCAAAATGTTGAGGCAACTGAGTGAAACCAGTGAGTTCACCATAAGTCTTACTGATGTCTTGCGGTGTCGGTCCCAGGAAAACGAAAACGTCGATCTGACCAGACTCCGAGAACCAGTGACTCTGGGTGTCTGTCTTAGCGCCCACACCAAGGGAGAGAGGGTTTGGAGACGACGTGGTCTTGACAATGTCCACCCAGGTTTCTGCGGCGTTGAGCCAAAAGACGCCGACGGTAGAGTCCTTACGATGAGCCTGCATGAACGGAATGGAGCCATAAAGGGTCATCGGGCTGTTGAGCTCATACTCAAACACATCCGAGTTGTACATGCGGTAAGGTTCATTGTGGTTGCCGTCACCACCGCTAAGAGTCGGTTAGCGTCTTCATGATATAGGTAGTAGGTCCGCTTACCGAGTCTGCTTCAAAGACATGGAGTCGGCGTGCTCGGGAATACCAAAAACATGGCTGTAGCCAGGGAAGGTGATATCCAATCCGACACTTTCGGGGCCCTTGGGCTTCGAGTCCGTGTTACCTCCGAAGCTCTCTTCCCACCAGGTGCTCTCGTCTTCCGAAGTCTCCTGTTCGCTGCCCTCCGGAGCCTCGACCTTAGGCCGCCAATGCTCCAAGTTCAAGTATCCCTGGTGGTTCAGTTGGACGTGAGTTTGTCCGTCCCGCTTGAACTCCGCCTTGAAGGGTTTGTGGTGAATGATCGCTTCGAACTTGTTGTCTGGACCGTACAAGACCCGGGTAACTCCAGCTTCGGTTTCTGGCTCCAAGGTCGCGGTCTGGCTCAAGTCCAAGCCACCAACCAAAGCCCATTTTTCCACCTCATTGTATCGTTCCTTGCGTGCCGGGCTGTTGTGTCGAAGCTCGATTTCGCCCTTCAAGCGCTTCTCCTCGTCGACGGTGACCCGTGCGACGCCTGACTCCAGGAAAGAGACCACGAGGGGCAACCGGACCTTTTCATCCGCGGACAGAGATTTGAGAACGGTTCCGTGCAGTTGTCCATCCTTGAACTGGATAGAGGAGGGCTCGAGTTCGTAAGGGGAGGACCAAGTTGAGCCCTTCGCGGTGACATCGTCGGCGAACGCTCGGTTCCGCTTACAGAACCCCGATTGTGAGCATGTCTTGAAACTCTCGTGTTTCACGGCAACTATACGTTGCAATTAGGCTTAAGCACGATACCATAAAGAACCCTGAGAGAGAACTTACACCCTGGGATGATGAGACATCCAAGGACAATCACCAACGATAATAACAGGGTCCATCGGGTGGACGATGGCCGGGAGCCGGCCATGTTGCGAGCTTAACAGATAAGATGCAATCAGAGACACTCAATCTCTGAAAACAATAAACTTCACCAGTCACTAGGGGTGGGGACCTGCATCTACCAGAGGTGAAGGTCAAATCAAGCAGTGGCAGGCTCTGGGACGTTCGGATAAGAGTGACATGTGAACATGAACCTTGATGGAATAATAGTTCCAGCCTGGCCAGATTGGCGATGACCGTGACGGAAGCTCCCTGGATTGGGGTTAGTGTGCCTCTAAACTCGATCGGGAGGTTGGGGTTAGACACCTCAGGCGGTGAGGCGGTCAGGCCATTCAGCTGGCCGCTCCAGGCCACAAGGCCCTCAATGATTGAAGGCATTGCCCCTCCTTTTGCGTCCCTTTCCGTCGAGCCCCACACAGCGCGTTTGCGGTCCCTCCTTATATTTTTCGCCCAACTCACGCCGGCTCTGCTTCCTTTCCCTTTTCCTCCTCTCATTCGAATCTCCGTGAATCGTCATCATCCACATCCTTCAAAATGTCCAACGAGCAGACGTATGTTAATGCTCCTCATTCCCCTTCCTCATGCGTTGACTGGTCTCGTTCTCTCTGTCAACTATGTGTCGATTATCTACCCACATTGACAACGCTTGACCTCGACCCAACGCCCATCTGCATTGACCTCGAAGCTAACAACCGGACACAGCTTCATTGCCATCAAGCCCGATGGTGTCCAGCGCGGACTCATTGGCCCCATCCTCTCTCGCTTCGAGAACCGTGGGTAGGTGTCCCTCAATGCTGATCATTGTCCTCCCAAGCCATGCTAATTGTCCTGCAGCTTCAAGCTCGTTGCCATGAAGCTGTGCTCTCCTTCCCAGCAGCACCTCGAGCAGCACTACGCTGACCTCAGCGACAAGCCCTTCTTCAAGGGACTCGTCTCCTGTGAGTAGCCTGGATGGCTGTTCCGATACAACAAACACATGCTAATCTTTCCCACAGACATGCTGAGCGGCCCCATCTGCGCCATGGTCTGGGAGGGCCGTGATGCCGTCAAGACCGGCCGCAGTAAGACTTCTCTCTCCCTATCGTTCTACTACAGCGATGCTAACAACGTCGATCAGCCATCCTCGGTGCCACCAACCCCCTTGCCTCCGCCCCCGGCACCATCCGTGGTGACTACGCCATCGTAAGAGCCCTTTGCCCTTAGATGCTCTTAAAACACCACTGACAATTTGCCCAGGATGTCGGCCGCAACGTCTGCCACGGTTCCGACTCCGTCGAGAACGCCAAGAAGGAGATTGCCCTCTGGTTCAAGCCCGAGGAGCTCCAGAGCTGGAAGCAGAGCCAGTTCGACTGGATCTACGAGAAGGCCTAAATTTTCTCATCTCAGCTTTACCATTTCGGAGCCTACCGACCCTCGAGCATGTGGGAGGCGGCGCTCTTTAGATGAAACAATCTAGAAAACCCAAAAGCCCCATGAGAAATACAAAGTCATTTCCAGATCTAGCTCTATTCAATCCCCCACCTATACAAAATAATTCCCGCCGCGTAGAACCTGGCATCAGTATCACAGCACTGCTATCTACTTCCTCCCCAGTAGCCCCCGGACCCCCTTCCCCAAGGGCCCCAGAACCACCCTCGCAAACCACGGCGTAGCCCAAACACTCGCCGCAATCCGCACCGGCAGGAGAAACTTGGTCACCGTGTACGCCGTCGCAAACTCCAGCACGAGACGCACGCCTTCCGTCTGACTGCGGCTGTTCCCGGCCACTCGCTCCGAAAGGGTCAATTCTCCGCCACCCTCAAGGGAGGCCAGTTCCACCTGCGTATCCGCATCCACCCAGCCCTTCTTGCGCAGCCACCGCTGGAACCGCTGCGTGCCCTGCTGGAAGGACTCGCTCGCGGTCAGATCGGGCAGCCAGTTGCCGTAGTGGAAAGCGGCCGCCAGCCCGAATAAGGGCACGATGGCGGTGAGCTCGTGCAGGATGAGGAACGAGGTGACGTGCGTTGCGGGCGCGCCCAGGAGCGGCGTGGTGTAGGTGCGCAGGAACGGGGGGAGGCGGTCGTTGAATCGCTGCAGGCGAGCGCGGAGGTCTTTCGGGGCGGCGGGCGGAGAAGGGGAAGGCGGGGTCGAGGTGTACCGGCGGGAGGAGGGCTTGAGGTGGGAGGTGATGGAGGAGAAGTGGGTGAGGCGGGAGACTGAGCGTTGAGAGGCCATTCTCTTTGTTTTCGGGGTTATCGCAATGTCATTCCCGTCGGACGGGTGGGTGAGGGGGATACCGGGGAGGTGGGATTCGTTGGGTTTCGTCTGGGAATCTTGATCGGTAAGGTTGGTTTGAAGCTAGGGGGACATTAGGTCGATCACATTGACAGGTTGACAGGCTGCAGGAAGGTGAGTATGTATGTATGTCTGAGGTGGACTGCATCTGGCTCGAGTAACCTCGTTGTTGCGATACACTGCTGGTGGTGGTGGTTGATGTTTGCCCTGTTTGCACGACTGATGGTTGTTTGATTGACAATTGATTTAATCTCTATAGTTGGATTCCCCTGAGAAGAACAATGGACCCTGTCCGATATCCTATGTTCTATCATCAGTAATCCAATTGTCTGCCTTCTCGTGCTTTACCACCTATTGCGACAAGAGTTCCATGGTTCACCAGTTTCTCACACGCCCGATTGCCTCGTGGAGCAAGCAGCAGCCAAGCCCAGAGGCCGTCAGTGAATGTATAGTTAATGCAGGCAGTCGGCTAGGACAAAGAACGCATGCTTTGACGGATGTGCCACACCAAACAGTCAGGATGAGTGATTGCATGTACATTCAGTGAATGTACTGTACTTGTACTTAGTGAACAAGTACAGAACTGGGCAAAAGATGAAATGGGGTCGCCCGACCAGATCGGCAGTTCGTCATTTTGCCTCTTCCGGAGGGCCCCTCAGAGTCCGCGCCAGAAGCAGATCTTCTTCCCCACCGCCGCCTTTCTTCTCTTGCGTCTTCTTCTCCTCGGTCACTTCTCCCTCCTTCTCTCGCCATCGTCTCCTACTAGATCTCGCAGAAGAGCCGGGCTTCACCATGGAGAAGATTACCGATAAGATCGCGGCTTTGCCGCCCGATGCGAATTACTTTTCGCTGGAGTTTTTCCCTCCCAAGACCAAGATGGTGGGGCTTTTCTTTCCCTCTCCCCGCACCGCAAGATGACTCCAACCCAAGCCATATATACTGATTGTTCATGGATTCGCCATTAGGGTTTCGCCAACCTCCAAGCCCGTCTGGAGCGTATGGCCCAGGCCCTTCGTCCCTTGTTCGTCACCGTCACCTGGGGCGCTGGAGGAAGTACCGCGCAAAGGTCCCTGGAACTGGCCGAGATCTGTCAGCGCCAACTGCAGTTGACCACATGCTTACACTTGACTTGCACGAACATGAGCCGCGCCCTGGTGGACCAGGCGCTGGAGGAAGCCAAGGTCCTGGGCATCAGGAACATCCTCGCCCTCCGTGGCGACCCGCCCCGCAGCGAGGAATACAATATGCACGGCGAGGACGACAGCAACAAGGACTTTACATTTGCAGTGGACTTGGTGCGCTACATCCGCAAGCATCACGGCGACTACTTCTGTATCGGTGTGGCTGCCTACCCCGAGGGACACCCGGCAGACAACTTCCAGGACAGCCAGGACCCCGCCAGGGACGTGCCATACCTGGTCGAGAAGACCCAGGCGGGCGCCGACTTCATCATGACTCAGTTGACCTACGACATTGACGCCTACACCAAGTTCGAGAACATGCTACGAAACCACGAATCCGGTGCCTTCAAGACCATCCCCATCATCCCCGGCTTGATGCCCCTCCACAGCTACAAGATCCTCACGCGCGTGACGAAGCTCAGCCATGTCAAAATCCCCCCGCACATCCTGTCCAAGTTGGAAGAGATCAAGCACGACGACGACGCGGTCAAGCGCGCCGGTGTCGACATCGTCTGCGACCTGGTCGACGGCATCCGCAGCATTCCCACCCCAGGCCTGCGTGGTTTCCACTTCTACACGCTCAACCTCGAGAAGACGGTGTCGTTCCTGCTCGAGCGCTGCGACCTCATCGGTCCGTACACGGAATATGACGAACCCACCGAAGACTCCGCGGCATACTCGGCCGCCCGCCTCGAGACCCCGGCGCTCGCGCTCGCCAGCCGCCGCTCCTCGGTCAGCTCCATGCCCCACAACCGCGTCATTGTCGACAAGTTGCAGCCGTCGGATGTCTCCTCGCGAGAGTCCGTCAGCCACGAAGCCACCGCGCTCAGCGCCGGACTGCCCGCCATGCCCCCGGACCGCAGCACGACGCTGCAGATCTCGGAGGGGCTCGGCGCCCTCGGACGAGAAGCGACGTGGGACGACTTCCCCAACGGACGATGGGGTGATGCGCGCTCGCCCGCCTTCGGCGAGATCGATGGGTACGGGCCCTCCCTGCACATCCCGCCGGCCGTGGCCCACAAAGTCTGGGGGTACCCGGTCACGCGCGACGACATCAGCGCGCTCTTCCGGCGCCACGTGTCCGGCGAGCTGTACATCGTGCCGTGGAGCGAAGGCGGGGCCGAGGAGGGGTCCGGCACGACGCTCAACGCCGAGACGGAGATCATCCGGCCGGAACTCCTGCAGCTGATCGACAAGCGCGGGTGGTGGACCCTGGCCTCGCAACCGGCTATCAACGGCGTGCGCAGCGACGACCCGATCTTCGGCTGGGGTCCGCCCGGGGAAGGGTTCGTGTTCCAAAAACCGTTCGTCGAGTTCTTCTGCCCCAGCGCGGACTACCACACCATCCTCAAGCCGCTGCTCGAGCGCCACGGCCACGAGAAACTGGCCTGGTTCGCCACCAACGTCCGCGGCGACTTCGAGTCCTCCCTGCCCGGCTCCAACTCTGAGGACCCCGACCCCATCGACATCAACCCGGCTAACGTCAACGCCGTCACCTGGGGCGTGTTTAGAGGAAAGGAGATCGTCACCCCCACCATCATCGAGGAGGTCAGCTTCCGCGCCTGGGGCGACGAGGCCTACCGCATCTGGGACGAGTGGCGCCGCATCTACCCCAAGAACTCGGCCACCGAGCGTTTCCTCGACGCCACCAAGAACGACGTCTGGTTGGTCTGCGTCGTGGGGCAGGAGTTCGGCGCCGGGACCGAGGTCGGCTCCAAGGAGGAGGAGGAGGAGACCAAGTGGATGTGGAGGGAGCTGGCGGGCTGGTAGGTGGTCGATATGGTTGGCTGTGACCTACCCAGGAAGGGGGGATATTCTGCATCTGAACACTAAACATAAGGGTTCTTTTCTCACCCTTATTTTTCGGGACTGTGTATTGAGATGAGAACATATAACCTTTGTGAGTTATACAGAAAAGAGGTCCTGTTCGATACCTTGTTCGATTTGGCTCTCTTCCTTTCTTCTCCGTTAACCGCAGTCGAATAAGGTAGCTCCGAGATAAGGCTGCGTCTAGCTGTCAGTGCCCCGATTCGTAGTCCATACCAGCCTCTCTTTGCATAACCATTTAGTAGCTGTAGCTGTAGCTAGTAGCCTGTGAGACAGGTAGTGCAGTGGCTGGTCAAGGTGAAAGAACTTGAAGTATCCCAGCCCTAAGTCCTTTCCATCCACAGTAGGTAAGGTACCGACGTACCGTACTAGGTTCCTAATGCACTCTTCCAAGTTCTTATGAAGCCTAGCCCCAATTCAGCAGCTGAACTGAAATTCTACGAAATCCACGAGATCGGTCCCTAATAGCAACTTCATCGAAATGGACGCGATAAGCTATCCAGAAACTCAACCCTGGAGAGACACGATATGTGTCTATAAGGAGGACTACAGAACCAGAAACGCTCCATTATTTGTAGTAATTCCCCTTGTGTCTGATTTCATAGTGGGCACTATACGTGTTTCTACCCCGAGAAAGAAAGGAAGAGTAATAGAAAGCCTGCTGTAAACAAAGAACGGATTCAATAACTACTAGCTCTGATATAATCATTAACAGTGTAAGTCATTGTGCGAACGAGAGAAACCAATGAGTACCGAAAACACAAATTACGTTAACGAGTGAAGTATCGAACGCGATCAAAAAAAAAACAAAAAGTCGAACCACCAAGTCCCATCACAAGAATAATCAATCTGCCTAGATGCACCTGTTCGATAAATGCCACAGGGCAAATCCTCCTTTCCAGCGCTTGCGACACTACCCGGTACAACAATCTGCCGCACTCTAGAGCTCCTTTGGCCTTGCCTCGGACTCGAGCGAGCTTCACACTGCCCCGCGGCTTCCAGCGATCGTCTTCCTCATGATCAAAATCCTCTGCCTCGCCGCAGGAACCTCTTCCACTCAAGTGCCTGATCCTTTTGCTCCTTCAAGCCGCTGCGCCGCCTCAGAAGCCACCCCAGAGCACTCCGCGGCACCCCAATCTCCCTTTGGCTCCTCTCTTCGTGCGCTAGACGATCAAGGAGCATCCTCACATGGCGTAGGAACGCATCTATGAGCCCATGCGCCTCTTCTTCATCTATCTCCTCAAAGTGCTTATGCTTCCTGTGATCACAGCACAATTGGAAGCCTCCTTTCCACCGTTGCAGACGCAAAGGGATCTTACACTCTCGGCAATGCGGGTTGGTATACCAGAGCCCATCTCCATCTCGCCAGTTGAAATCACGGCAGTCGGAACACTTCGAAAATGGACGGCCCCGATTCCCGTTTTGCCACTTGGCTGTCTTCCTGAACACAAGATGATTGCCCCGGCACTTCCGACAACGAAGACGCACTCGACCAACATTGTCCGACATCTTGCCGTCCTAGTGCCCGCTCGCTCACCGGATACAATACTTGGTAAGTTAGGAACAGGTGTCGGGACCACTTCGCGAAGGTGAAGGTGAATGAAGAAGAAAATCCTCAGACTCGAGGAGGAGGGAAACGGCCCCTTATAAGCTATCTGCCACCATCGCACGGACGACGACCCCGTTAGGCTTTCTTTCGCCTGCTTGAGACTTTGGGCTGCTTGGGCTCTTCTCTTCTCTTCCCTGGCAGACACCCTGGCAGACACCCTGGCCATAAGACAGATGGGGCAACCAATCAACAGGGAGATGCATACACCTTCTCCAGGTTTTTTTCTGGCCATAAGCACACATGCAAAGTGTCACCTGGAATCGACTGGCAACTTCTGCACCATTCTGGCTGTGACTCACTCCGAAGTGCAAGAGAATGCTGAAGGCTGACATGCCCTCATCGCCATACCCCAGCAATAACCGCATGAGGAAAGTGCTGTGTACCCTTTCCTCCCAAATGTTCAAAAAAAAAAAGGATTGTATGAATCAGGAGTGACTAACTAACAGAAGGCATGGCCGGAGCAAGGCAAGTAGATGATGATGATGATGTATCGTATTCATCTGCATGTCTAGGACCAGTGGCGCGTAATCACAAAACATATTCCATCGCCTCGTGCTGCTGCGGATTTGTCCTTTGCCCGACCAGAGGGCCGGGGGAAAGGGGGGGTTTCTGTTCAAAAGAATCCCGGTAAGAGTAAGCATCAGCCTCACTGAATGACTGGGGAATATGACTTGAATGCGCCATTTGATGTGTTGTCTGCGGCTTCGACGCAAAGCCTCGTCCCAACCATTCAACCCACTAGATCTTTGAGAAACCACTCCGGGAAAAGGTCTGTCTGTCACCAACCATCATGGACTGGAATTCGACATCCGCGGGAGTCGCCCGATGATGCAAGTGCTTTTGTCCCTGGTCATGCTCGTCTTGGGCACTCCGCTCTTTTCGTCGGTTTGCATGTCAGTTGTACGTAAACTGAAGCGTGGCGGGAGGAGGGGGGGGGGGTCCCCCAATTCCCGATGGCTTGCTTACTTGCGGTCGTAATCACGCTTGCCAGGCTCCGTCCTCATTGTATTGTGTGTCATCTCTTACCTTACCGTACTCTGGACTGCCCCATCTCCTTGTCATTCTCATTACGATTTCCACAGGCTCTTGGATTAGACTTGGCGGTTCTGCAGAACTTTTCTCATTCTGCGTGACATAAGTTTGCTGCGCCATGGTGATTATTGGAGGGGTTGAAATGAGAAGAGACGGGGGGTGGGGGTTTGGGATGGTCCTTCCTGGTATCGTACCGGTTGAGATATCCCGGTAGTACAAGCTACGGCGACTGGGGCTGGCTTGGCCAAAAAAGTATTTTGATTGGACATGGGATGAGATTGGGAGCAATAGACAAGTACCATTGTATGTACAGATTATTTTTATACTGTTCTTATGGAAGCGGCGGTACTCTAATTGGAAATGCAAATGGGAATTGCAGAATTGCAGCTAAACAGTTCACTTATACACTAGGTAACTAAACCTACGAATGTAGGGTTATCCACCGAATCCGCATCTCATTGGCTCATCAGATCTACGGAGCCTGCCATCAAGTTCTCCCGGGGCCATCGACCAACCTAACTTGATCCAGAGTTGCCAGCCCTGAGCCGAGCCCGCGCCGCATCCACTCTGAGCCTGTCCCATTCATGATTATGGATGGGTTAATGATGGATTCGGGTTCCTCCGTCCTAGGTCCTGGGTCAAGGGCTTACCTACACCTTGGTTTGTGGACGAGCTGGACCCGCCAGAACGCGGTTGGACCATACGACTACGACTACGACTACGACTACGACTACGACTACGACTACGACTACGACTGACCCGTGATCGTCTACGTACGGAGAACTGGAATGAGAGAACAAGAAAGAACAAGAAACACAAGAACCTTGAACCTTGATCGAGTCTCTTTGTGCAAACTAAATCCGGAAAGTTTATTCGTCGTATCTTCATAGGCGTCTATACCTCCCGAAAAGCGGAAGCGGATCTATTTGCCCGCCTTACCGGTGGGGATGTTGAACAGCACGGCGGGCTGGCCGGGGGCGTAGGGGCGGTCGAGACGGTAGTAGCCCTTGCGCTCGAACTGGATGATGTCGCCCTCCTTGAGGTCGGCAACGTTGGCGTCGGCGACGGCCTCATCCCGGAACTCGGTGTGGGGGTTCAGGACGGCCTCGAGGGTGTCCTCCTCGGTCATGGTGTCCTTGTTGAGCAAAAAGTCGAAGTCGACCAGCTCGACGGGGACGAGCTCCTGGTCGGCCGAGAGCCAGGTCACCTTCTTCTCCGTCTTCTTGAAGTCGCCCGCCAAGTGGAGGTCGAGCTCCAGGGCGGTGACGGCGCCCGTGGCCGCGTCGGTCTCGATCTTGCGCACGATCGCGTTGCCCCACGCCATCAGCGTGATCTCCTCGTCCTGCTTGAAGGTCTTGGCGTCCTCCTGGTCGAACAGAATCGAGCCGCTGAAGGTCACCTTCTTGGTGCCGATCGCCGGGTTCTTGGCGTGCTTGGGCTTGTCCTCGGTGTACGCGGCAGGCGCGCCGTTCAGCTTGGCCTTGACCAGCTGGTTCTTGAACAGCGCGGTGTGGCGCGGAGCAACGGGGTCGATGTACTTCTTGTTAGTCGCCCAGAACAGGGTCCAGTCCAGGTTCACGATGTTCTTGCTGGGGCCCTGCTTCAGGATGAACTCGCGCAGGGCCGGGATCGTCATGCCGCGACGACGGATACCCCGGATAGTGGGGAAGCGCGGGTCATCCCAGCCCCAGACAGCGCCGGACTCGACCAGCTTGGTGAGCTTTCTCTTGGACAAAAGGGTCCGCACGAAGTTCATGCGGGCAAAGTCCCAGACCTGCACATGGCGAAGCTTGAGGGTGTCCAGGAACCACTGGTACTGGGCATTGCGGTCACGGTACTCAATGGTTCTCAGGGCGTGGGTGACACCCTCCTTGGAATCAACGATCGGGCATGCGAAGTCGTAGGTAGGATAGATCTTCCACTTGGAGCCAGTGCGGTGGTGCTCCGCGACGTTGCAGCGGTAGATGACGGGGTCACGAAGCGTCTTGTTGGGAGCGTCATACGAGATCTTGGCCCGAATGCACCACCGCAGTCCCTCGGGGGTTCCCTGCTTCATCTCCTCGAAGCGAGCAAGACTCTCTTCGACCGATGCGTCACGGCGCTTGCTGGGCTCGCCGACCATTCTTTGTTCGGCCATGGTCTCCTTGTCGGTATCATCGGCATAGGCATGTCCCTCCTTGATGATGCGGATAGCGTACTCGTAGAGCTCGTCAAAGTAGTCACTGGTGTAGCTCAGCCTGTCCGGCTTGATTCCCATAAGGGCCAGATCCTCGATGATGGCATCCTGGAATTCCAGCTTCTCGTTCGAGGGGTTGGTGTCATCGAAACGAACCAGCAGGGTTCCAGCATACTTCTCGTGGGCGAAGTAGTCGTTCAGTAGAGCCGCCTTGGCGTGTCCGATGTGGAGGTATCCAGAGGGCTCAGGGGGGAAGCGAGTCACCACACCCTTATCAGTGTTGAGAAGGTTGATGTCGTAGCTGGCTCCCTCCTTGGCCTTGGCGGTCTTCTTCTCCTTGGCGACGGCGTTCATGGACTCGAGGGCAGTGGCGGCCCAGGGGCAGAGCTCATCGATGAAGTTGAACCAACGGGTCAGGCTGACCAGAGCACCCTTGCGCACAGGGGAGATGGCAACCCTGTTGGCCCGGAGAGCACCCCAGATGGCGAGGTCGGCGGTCGAGAGCGAGTAACCAGCGACGAAAGAGCGCAGGAGGAGGTGGTTGTTCAGGCGTTGGAGCTGAGGCTCGAGGGTCTTGAAGTCGAGAGTGGTGAAAGTCTCGAGTTGAGAGAGCCATTCGGTCTCCTACATTGCAGTGGTTAGTAGACGTAGAACCATGTGCAATTGGACGGGATTCAGCCCACGTACCGACTTCTCATCCTTAGCGTTCAGGAAAGGAAAAGCAGCACGCAGTTCCTTGATCGCGTTATCGGAGCCATAGACAGGCGAGCCGTTAGCACCGGTGAGTTCGACGGTGGCCTTGTCCCCACTGCTCAAGACAGCGCTATCTTCGTAGTTGATAGCAATGACCTCCTGCTCCTGGTTGAGGGAAGTAGCAACCAAAAGGACAGGCAGCAAAGCGGCCGGGTTGGCGCGAGTGGCCAAAGTTAGCTGGAACTGCGACATCTCTCTTCTTCGCTTTTTGGTGAGAAAAGAATTGGGATGATGGGAAGAACTGAAGAAGTAAAAGGCGGGGGGCGGAGAGGGGCACTTTTTTGACTCAATCGGGATTCCGCCGGCGGTATTGTTTCTCCGCCTTTCCAGGGCCGCCCGGACTCGGAACTTGCTCGAGTTCCCGTCGGCGGCCAAAAAACATCGGCTTTCCCATTTGGCATTGGGTGTTTTGTTCATTCAGAATCCGGGGTCAAACACGCCTGCCGCCATGTCTTCCTTGCACTCACTGCTGCCCACTGCTGCACGGGGGTTGGTCTCTTCCTGTCGATCTGCCCTGCGACCTGGCCCCTTGGCTGCGGTCGTTTCCACTTTTCAGCAGACGCGATGGGCTAGCAAGGCAAGCGTGAAAAGAGTCAAGAGCCAGGGCTACAAGAGCAACAAGGACAAGGCCAAGGTCAAGGGCAAGAAGGCCACGAACAAGGAATTCAAGCAGCATAACCTGAAGGATATGGAGCAATTTGCGCTGTGCGATGCGATGAGGTATGTGCAAACTGCTTCTCGGAATTGTCATTCGACCCAGAGACAAGTCAGTCGCTGATCACTCAACCTTTGGGGACTGCAGGTATATCCGCGCCTTCGAAGTCGGCCGCCAGCCCACTGTCTCCAAGTATGAATTGCACATCCGCCTGAAGTCCAAGCGAGACGGTCCCGTCATCCGCAACATGCTCCGGTTGCCCCATTCGATCTCGACGGAATCTCGAATCGCCGTCATCTGTCCCCCCGGTTCGAGACAGGAGAAGGAAGCTCGCGATGCGGGTGCTGTTCTGGTCGGAGAACAGGAGGTTTTCGATGCGGTGAAGGGTGGCAACATTCCCTTCGATCGCTGTATCGCCCATCCGGACAGTATGGAGGCCTTGAGCAAAGCCGGCCTGGGCAGGTTCCTGGGTCCCCGCGGTCTGATGCCCAGCGCAAAGATGGGTACAGTGGTTGAAGATGTGGCCTCCCGGGTCGAGATGCTACGTGGTGGTACGACCTACAGAGAGCGTGCTGCCGTCATTCGTCTTCCCATCGGCCAGTTGGGTTTCTCCCCGGAGCAATTGCGCGACAACATGCGTATCGCTCTGGAGCAGATCAAGAAGGATGCCGCCGCCATGAACGACCGCATAGTCAAGGAGATCTACGAGGTGGTAAGTCAGCGACCATCCACTTTAAAAAGTGCTCCGGTCAAGGACCTGTCGCTAACCCACGACTCCAGGTGTTGAGCTCCACGAATGGCCCCGGCTTCAGCTTAAACGGCGAATTCAAGTCCGACCAAACCCCAGACACCACCAGCATGCATGGCCCATAAATATAGTTTCTTGAATATCCCGAGTGTACAGAATATGTTTCAATAGGCAGGACACGGTGTATAATGGTATTGTTTGACATATATCTCCAAAGCATAAGACTTTTCCCCAACGCCGACGCTATGCACAAGTGGCTTCACTCCTATTCTCGGGAGAGAGAATCTAGGATTTCATGTTCTTCAGTGCAGACACCGCTGTGGCGTCCTCACCCATGATCTTGTAGAGGCGTAAGATAGCCATCGTTCTCTTGTCTCGCTTGTCACCCGCATGGCTGGCCTGGTCCAGGGCCGTTTTCAGATCCAGGAGCAGCGCTGATCGAATCTTCGAGGCCCGAGTTCGCTGGCCTTGGATGAAGGGATGTTCCTCGCCAATCCGGGCCGCCAGCCTCGTCAGGTACAAATACTTCTGGATATGGTGCTCGAGCGTTTTCAGCGAAACGAGCGGTGTTGCCGAAGCCCCGTTTGTTAGTTCCTCCTCACTATCATCGCTGGCGCTGTCCAAAAAGTCCGAGTCCGACTCGACCTCGGTAGCGGAGGCGTCGGCGCGAGGTTGGCGAGCGGCGTCTCCGATCATGAGTTTCCTCTCCAGCTCCTCGATGCGATCCACGTAGTCGAGCAACGCGCGTCCCACGTTGACCTCGCCCTTTAACCGCTTCTTCTCTTTCAGCAGCCCTTCGACCTCCTCCTGTCGGGCCTCCACCTTATCGCGGATCGCCCGCACATCGCGCTGGAAGGCCAGGAGCCCGACGCGCACCTGTTCGACCTTCTCCTCTCCACCCTGCAGTGCGATCCCCAGCGACAGAAAATCCTGGTAGTTCTCGTTGACCAGGTCGAGCAGCTCCCGGCTGAGCAATTGGTCGAGGTCCCGTAGTTCTTGTCGTAGGTCTTCCAGGCTTTGGTGTCGGTTGGTCAATGAGGAGAGGTAGGTGGCGGGGTCGAAATCCGGTGCGAGAAAGGAGGCACGGGACAGAGGTTCCGGGAATGGCAGGCCGGATGTATCGTCATCGAGATCGGAGGCCGACTCGTCGGAGTCGCCAAACTACCGCGGAGATGGAATTGTCAGCCCGGGTGAGGGGAGGTGGGTGGAAATGGATGGATGGATGGATGGATGGATGGATGGATGGATGGATGGATGGATGCATACACGGAAGTTGTTCATTCTGGAAGTAAGGTCGGAAATAGGGCAGGCCGAAGGACGCGCACAGGTGGTTGACAGACAACAATGTTTTGGGGAAGTCGGGGAGGGAGTGGAAGAGTGGAGAGAGAGGGGGGAAGAGGGGAAGAAGTGGAGAGGTACGGAAGTTACTTTACTTAGTGGTGGTAAGTTTACTACGTATAGGTAAGTTACAGGTGGTGGCAGGCTGACCAGTTGGTGGTTCTAAGCGGACGGAGTATACCAACTTGGAGCAACCTGATACTTCCGCGTTTGCTACATCTACATCTACATCTACAAACAGTATACAGTGCATACACCATCTTCATTTCTCTTGGTTTTGCAGCTAGCCGGGTCGCATTGATCAGCGTGTCATCCGACGCTCGGGAGTCATGGCGATGGCGATCATGGTCTCAGACAGCCACACCACAGGGTTACGCGGAGCTCATGCGTGGTTGTGTTCCCAGTGACTGATGCGCTGGAACAACAACCTACGTGTCTCGTGCCGTTGGTCTGTCCTCCCCGCTACTGCTACTGCTGTTGCTGTTGCTGTTGCTGTTGCCGCTGCCGCTGCCGCCGTCTCAGCTGCGCGTTGACCGTAAGGTGGGGTTGATCATCGCCTCGGGGAGGATGGTGTAGCTTTTGGTGGTGGTGATGGTGGTGATGGTGGTGATGGTGGTGATGGTGGTGATGGTGGTGTTGTCATCCTCGCTTTTCGTTGTCGTTCCCCTCCCCCCCCCTCCCCTTCCCTCCTCCCCTTCGTCGGTCCACGTTCTAGTCTAGCCTTGCATCCACACTGGCTGGGATTTTTGTTTGTCATCGGCTGGCCGGAACAATGGATCTTCACTCAGACAGGCTGTTCGCCCACACGGGTGCTTCTTTCGCCCCGTCATTCTCGTCGTCTTCCTTCCCGCGCCGCCGATGGTCGCAGCTCAGCCCTCTGCATATTCACCCCCATACCCATACCCATACCTCCTCATCTGCGGTGGTCGAGACTGTCCGACCCTCTCCATCCACGCATCATCCCTATCGCAACGATGACCTGTCTCTGACTGCTGAGTCCTCTCGAGCACATCGTGCCACTGCACTCCGTCAGTTGAATGGTTATGCCAGGCCCTTATCAGCCAAGGGCCGGCCCGCAACCTCTCGGCCATCCTCCTCCACCAACACCACCACCTTAGGGTCTCAACCCGTGCTGGTGCGAGCATATTCCGGAGAAAGCCCTAATGCGACTTCCACTGCAGCCACGATGCCTTCGCGGCGCTCATTCCTCCTCTTCTCTTCGCGCTCGAGCAGCCGCCCCCATGCGCCGGCGCTCCCCTCCGAAGAGGATTTTGGCATCGATGGCATCTTGCGCGCCATCGAGCCCGATATCCGGCACACGCTCGACGCCATCGGCGAGATCTGCGGTCGCAGCAAGCTGAGCCTGGCCAACGAGTACGGGAGCCATATCGCGCCCCTGGGCGAGATCCGCGCTCCGCCCGGCGGCCTGTTGACGGTGGATGAAGCAAGCTCCGACCACGAGCGACAGGCCGACAACGACGTGGTCATCTATGACGACGATAACAGCGTTGCCGACGGGCGTGATTTCCACTCCGCTCCACCCTTTCGGTACTGGGGCCAACTCCGACAGGCGACGACGACGACGACGACGGGATCTCACTCGAGAATGTCCTTACCCGCGGACAGCGCATCGCTGCAGGTTCAGCCCACGACCCCACGATCCTCGGCAGCCTTGCAGTCTGCGCATAGCGAGACTGGGGTTGACTTGCTTCTGACCACCAGGGAGATCGCGTCCAAGTCGAGCGCCCGTGGCCGGGGTCTCCTGGGGAAGAAGGTGAAGAGCGACGCCCGACGCCGGGCCTACGAGATGTTTACGCCGGCACTGGTGTCGGAGACATTGCTGGAAGCGCAGGCCGAGAGCCACTATCCTCCCGAGGCGTCCCGTCGCAGTCGGCCGCTCAGCACGAGCAATGTAGGAACCGCGCAAGCTGGCGAAGACCACCTTTCGGGGGCACCCCGACCGTCCTCGATGGTCGATATGCGGAGTCTCTTCGGCTGGCTCCGGTGTATCATGAACGATGCCGAGTATGGACGTAGTCCGGTGACAGCTGAAATGAGGCTGCGGGCAATGCTGGAGCGGCCAGCCCACGGCCATGATGACTGAATGATCTGTTTTTGTTTTGTCTATGATTGATGATATACGACTGTATGCTATTTCATGACTCCAATCCAATATGCAAGTCCCAACCTTTGGGAAACCAGTTCAAATGCACATGCACATGCACATGCAGACAATCTTCAATTCTAGACCGAACCTCCCCGACAGTCTTCTCGGACTCAGAAACCATGGTATCGTTCCCACCGTACACACACAAGGACATCATATATGAACATGAACAAGATAAATGCATCCACCTATATACCTCTCACCTCACAAATCTTATAAATCCCAACCCCCAAACCCACCAAGGAATTCTACCCCTCAATCTCCGCAATCAACGTCCTCGCAAACCCCTCAAACCGAGCATAAGACCACCCCTCCCGATACTTCTCAACCAAAGGCCGATCATCATCCACCTTCTCCTTTTCCTTTTCCTTTTCCTGTTCCTCCTCGTCCTCCTCCAGATCACTCCCCTCCCCATCCGCCCCAATCCCCCTCCCCTCCACCAACGCCCCAAACCCAACATCCACCGGCACGCTCCCCAGAAACCTGACCCCCATCTCCCTCGCCATGACCTCCCCGCCCCCGCTCGAAAACAGATTCGTCACCTCCCCACAGCACGGACACGTATACCCGGACATATTCTCGATGACGCCCAGCGTGGGGATCTGCGTCTTGACGCAGAAGTTGACTTCCTTGCGCACGTCGGAGGTGGCGATGGCCTGCGGGGTGGTGACGAGGATGGCGCCGGCGAGGCGGGGGGGCGTTGCCTGCGTCGCTGGGGATTGAGGGGCGTTGGCAGGGGAAGGGGAAGGGCCGGTGCTGCACAGCGTGAGGAGCTGCTCGGCGAGGGCGATGTGCTCGTCGCTCGTGCCGGGCGGGGTGTCGACCAGCAAATAATCGGTCTCCCCCCAGAGGACGTCCGAGAGGAATTGTCGGATCATGGCGGTTTTCTTAGGGCCGCGCCAGATGACGGCGTCGGAGCGCGAGCGTAGCAGGAAGCCGAGGGACATGCAGTGTAGTGGGCCGCGGGGGGTGGAGGGGGGGGATGTGGTGGGTTCTTGGTGGTGGTCTTGGGCGGGTGTTGTGGTGGTGGTAGAGGTAGGAGAAGGTGGCGATGGCGATGGCGATGGCGATGGCGATGCTGAGGCTGGTGCTGGTGCATCGACAGCGGTATGCACGGGAACAGGCAGCCAGCCGCCGGGCGCTTGCGTGATCTTTGCATCTTCCAGGCCGACTAATCGCGGGATCGAGGGCCCCGTGAGGTCGATGTCGAGGATCCCCACGGATTTGCCCTGCAGGGAGAGCGCCAGGGCCAGCTGCAGCGTCACGGAGGATTTGCCGACGCCGCCTTTGCCGGAGAGGACCTGTTCCCGATCAGAAATGTTAGTCGCATATCCTCGCGAAAAGCTGGGGTTGTTAAGGGCGGGATTTCTGGAGTGAGGGTGTAGTAGGTTCGCAGGTGAGTGTGCTGGAGTATGCTGGAGTATTGCCCTCCACTGCGCGTTATCGATAAGAGGAGGAGGGGTAAATATTCCAGCAAAGGCGCAGGGATTGGAAGTTCTCTCACCAGCACCACGTTCTTGACTCCGTCCAGAGGCATCTTCTGGTTTTCTGCTGAATGGACGGAGAATCAATGGAGGAGCAGACAATCTGTTTAGCGGGTGGGGGAATGAATGGCATTGATGGCGATAGCCGATTTCGGGCGCGTTTTTTTTTCTGCGTCATTCCGCGGAGCTTGCTTATCAATCGGGCTTGGCGAGAGGAACGCCGAAAAGATACTCGGGTTCAGCTTCAGCTTCGCAATTCGCTCTTGCTTATTACTAGGGTCGGAAATTTCTGAATTCCGCTTTCATCTGACCTCCAGTTATACACGGAATCATTAAATCATCCTCATTGTTCATGAATCATCTCATCCTCATGAATCATCTCATCCTCATGAATCATCTCATCTCATTTCTTAGTTTTAGACCTCCAGAGACTATCTACGCCTGGCTCATTGCATAACTTCTAGTCCACAGCCTCATTGCACGCTCATTGCCACTTCTGCACCACCACGCCGCCCCTCTTGAAGTCGGCCATTTCCCCCAGGACAGCACCCTTGTCCGTAAGATCCTTGCTGGGGAACGTAGTCATCAAGACCCACGGGCGGGACTGGCTAGCGGGGCTGGACGCAGACACAAATTCGTAGACATCCCCAATTGTGTGGGTAGTGTTGAAGCGAGACGTCAGTCGTGTGCCATCGCCAAGGCGGATTTGCAGGGTGATGGTGGGCTGAGATTCATCGACAGTAGGCTTAGGTGGCTCCGAGGCCTGACTTGCTGGAGCTGGAGCTGGAGCTGGGGCCGCGGCAGAGGTCGACACGCCAGGCGTAGGGCTTCCCAGTCGCTGCCCCTGGCCAGAAAAGGGTTTGTACTTGGGCTTCGGCTTGACGTATTTCTCCTCGTGCTGGTTGATTTCCACGTCCACCTCTTGGCCAGACTGTACGTTCATGATCGAGAGGGGAGCACGACCCTGTCGGATCCCCTCCAAGATCTCTGCGTTCCGGGGGTCATCGGAGCGGTACAGCTCGCCATCGTCGACGGAGAATCCGTCGGCCCAGAAATGAAGCGTTCTCTGGACTCGTTGCGGCACTTGCGTAGCGGGCGCGCTCGGGGCTTCGATTACCCTGCTCGGAGCATCATCGCCACCGAGGGTACGTGCTGTGCCCGTGAAGTGCGACTGTCTGCTTGGTTCATCCGAGGAGGGCGGCTGAGTTCTACTACAGTGTTAGCCTCGTTCTGGGCATGCTACCGGTGGCAGGTTTCACCTCTTGGCCTTCTCGATAATCTTCTTCTTGATGTCGTCCGGGTTCTGCACGGCGAGACCAGACTTTTCCCCTCCCGCAAAGAAATCCTGATTCACGGAGTCCTCCTCCTCCGAGGATTCACCAGCCCCGGAGGCAAAATCGCCCAACGTCGCGAATCTCTTCTTCGGTCCGGTCCTGCGCGATGAGGACGGCTGCGGGGTAGTGGATGGAGACTGGGATGAACTCCCACCGAGTGTGCGACCGGCGACTGGTCCCGTTTCCGCTCCTAGGCGCTGCCCTGAGCCTGTGTTTGCGCCCTGCATAGCTTCGTCCTGCTCGGCAAAGAACTCGGTCACTGCGGCTTCGAGGTCCCATTCGCTGGCCGCCAGGTATTCTTGAGCCTGTAAGAAGTCGACGTTAGTGTGGAGTTCAGTTCCTCTGAAATCCAGGGGCAAGCATACTACTGCGGCATCAGTGCCAGACATAGCACAGAACTGGGATACTAGCTCATCGTGAGCTGCTTGGTGCTCCATGTTGATGATATAACCGGGACTGCAAAGGTCGCTGACGCCGGAGAAAATTGGTTTGAGAATGAAGTCACTCGTTCACTTAAAACAGAGTACCGTCCAGATATTTTCAGGAGTATGCAGAAGAGATGATAGTTGGCGGGAGGCGCCTTGTGAACAAGGAAGGAGATCTGGTGGGTACAACTGGTAGTAGCTTTACTATAGTTGAAGCTGGAAACAACAATGAGGACGAGCTGACAAGCTGAGGTACGTCACTGTTGCCTGATTGGTCATCCGGAAGAGGGGATCTTCCGTCTATTCATCGATTCCACATTGAAGCCTCAGGCAGAAACAGTCGGCAGTCTTGATAGCTATAAGTATACTGTACTCCGCAGTTAACTAGGTCATGGGGAAGTACCATGCACCTTATATACTATGTGTAGTCTATAAACTACCAGTTTCCATTCTCAAAGCATCATAGACTCCCTTGGCAGTTTCACACGCGGTGGTGCTGGGCGTTGCGCAACTGACGAGCGAGCAGCTCTGCGGCTTACATAACCGCCGCGCAGGTCAGGTGTATTGGAGCATTCATTCCATCCACTCGTTGAACAACCTCAACAAGATACCTTACAAGCTACCCCCGTCCACTTCGGCTGTTGATTTGTCGGCCTTCATCTCCACCGGGAACCACTGATTCGACTTCTGCGAGCAGATCATTGTTTTGGACAAACCTCAGCCCTCCCATATCTCTCTCCTAAGATACCCCCGTTGGATATACCTTGCTCCCTCCCCGCATCATGGCCGCCGACCTCTCCAACTCCGGGGAGCTCTACGAATCTGGACTGACTGTCCACTCGGACTCCGAAGTTTATTCCGCCAACCACGATGACTCCTCGCATTCCTCTTCCACTTCGAGCTCCCCTCTGATCCTCTACAAGCCCCCGACGTTCTGGAGCATTTTGCGCGGCGCCGCGATCAACCTGGTGCTTCCTTTCGTGAACGGCTTGATGTTGGGATTTGGCGAGTTGTTTGCACATGAGGCTGCCTACAGGCTAGGCTGGTCCGGGACAAAGGTAGGAAAGCGTGGATCCCTGTCGTGGGAGGCAGGGGCGGACCTGCTCCTCTCCACGATGTTGACCGGCAGATGTGCTAACCCCGCGATCATTGCAGGTATTCCCTATGCATCGGCGATCTAGACCAGCTGGACCTGGCATTGAAGTGCGCGAGCTCCCGCAGCGACGGAGCACTAGAGCTGCTGGTCTGCAAGACACCACGTCCTTGGAGTAGATGATGATTGGGGAAGGCAGCATTATAGATCCTTAAAACCGGTGAAGCGGTCATCAGGGCAGGCTAGGGAACAGTCTTCCGAACGCATTCCATCTGTCAAAGCAAGCAGCGCAGGATGCGCGCGTTTGTTGAGAAGTTCTAGTGTACATAGATCTAAGCATCAGTTGATAGGCTTGACCTAACGGCGTCCGGCGAAGCTCATACATGTGACAAATTTGTAGCATATTCTTCACAAAGAGAATGAACTGATCAATACAAATACTGTGGACTCACCCCTCAACACCAAGTATAGTTACATGATACACAATAGTCAGTCAATGTTGCTCTGATCCTAGACCGGGTGTCCGCCGACGATGCTGGGTCACTTGGCCCTCTTCACCTCCGGCCGCCCGGCAGAAAAACACGGCTTGGCAACAAAAAAGCGCTCCGTCGCCGGAGCCCCGATTTTCCCATTCTGGTGTCCCTCAGTCCAGTCACCCACCCCCTCCGATTGTCTCCTCTCCAGTCCCCAACTCGGCATTTCAATTCAACAACCATGTTGGGAAGAACTGGTCTTGCTGGCCGCGGCGCTATGCCTACCATTGCCCGCCAGCGATCGCTTGCCTTCTCGCGCTCTAGTCGATCGGTGAGTTTATTTACGCCTTCGCTTTAATTTCCCCAACTCCCCCAGTTTAATTAACTCGGTCCTACAGATGTCCTCATTCCGATCGCAAGCCTCCAGAAACGCTCTTCGCTATGGAGCGTCCAGCCGGCCCATGGCTAAGTCTTCCTCGCTGCGGTCTGCGTCCGCCATCCCTGCTATCTCCGCTGCTCGTTTCAATTCGACCACGGCCGCCCCCGCAGACGCTCCTACCGTCGTTCCTACTCCCGAAGTTGTTGAGGCCGTGCCAGACTTGGTGGAGATTGACATCACGACGATCCCGGAGAAGATTGGCTACCTGAAAGAATTGGGGTTGGACTACGGCTGGGGTTTCTCCTCGACGATAGAATGGATCATCGAGCATGTTCACATCTACTCGGGACTCCCGTGGTGGGCGAGTATTATCGGCACTGGTTTGCTGGTCCGTCTGGCCATGGTGAAGCCCACGCTCGAGGCTGCCAATGCCACAACCAAGCTCAACAACATCAAACACCTCACGACCCCGATCCGGGCCAAGCAGATGGCCGCCTCGCGTGAGAGCAACATGCTCGAGATGAACAAGGCCCGGGCCGACATGCAGGAGCTGCACACCAAGCACGGCATCCAGCCTTGGAAGGCAATGATTCCCATGATCCAGATTCCCCTCGGCTTTGGGTGCTACCGGGTAATCAAAGGCATGACTTCCTTGCCGGTGCCCGCTTTAACCTCGGAGCATGTTGGTTGGCTCCAGGATCTTACAATTGCCGACCCCCTCTACATCCTGCCCGCCGTCAGCTCCTTCTTCCTGTACTTCTCCCTCAAGGTATGTGCTGCCACCTTTCGATGACTCGTTCTTGTCTCCCATTGGGCTCCTGGACCGAGGCACGCTTGCTAACCGCGGCCTCCCGCAACAGAAAGGAGGAGAGTCTGGAGGCAACGCCATGCAGAACACCGAGATTGGAAGGGCGGTGCAGTACGGTCTTCCTGCCATTTCCTTCATGTTCATGGCCTTTTTCCCTGCGGCTCTGCAGCTGTACTTCACGAGCACCGGTCTCGTTGGTATGACCCAGGCGTACCTGCTTTCCAAGCCTGCTTTCCGCCAATGGGCCGGGATCGCCCAGGTGGAAAAGGTTGAGTTGGCTCCTGGCCAAGAGCAGAAGAACCCCATCCGCATGCTCCGTGAGATGATGGAGGCTGAAACTGCTAAGCAGCGGGAAGCCGCCGCCGCCGCTGCCGCTGCCGGTGCTCCGGAGCAGCAGGTGAGCTATATCGACCGTGCGATTCAAAACTTCAAGCAGTCCAAGGACAAAATCAAGCAGGAGGCAAGCAGCAAGATCGACGAGATCCGTGGCACGGGGCCCAAGCTGAACGAGGACGGATCGGTGGCGCAGCCCCCGCGGTTGAGCGAGAAGGACCGCAAGACGGCGGAGGACTACGAGAGGCGGAGAAAGGAAGAGGAGGAGTATAAGCGCGAGGAGCGGAACCGGGCCCGCCGCGAGGCGCACATGAGGCTGTTGGAGCAGCAGCGCCAGCAGGCCCGTTCAACGATGAAGCGATGAATTCCACACACTAGACCCTGCACCAGAAAGGATGCGGACTGGACATGATCAGCTAGCTGGAGTGGACTTTTGGGAGTTGTATTTCTCTGTATATTATGGGTGCTTTGTTCGATTTTCATTCTCATTTTCTTTCATTTCATCATCTGCATGATTACCATGTGCTTCCAACCTTGTTTATTAAGAATGCATTGGGATTTGGGATCTGCAATGATCTTGTCCATAGTTTCCTCACGGTTGGGCCTCAGTGTCTGGGCTTTGTCAGCACCGGGGATTTTGTTAACTACCGTCACTAACAACACTTCTTTAATCTCCTTCCTTTCTTTTGCACCGTCCACCTCATCGCAAATACAAACAGGCACAGCTATACTGCAGTCCAATACAGCCAGAAGTTCCAAAGAACTAGATCAATAAGCAGTGAAGAACAACGTCAGTCATCACACACTACACATCTCGCTTCTGACCCTGAACCTCGCCCTGTGCCTCAATTCTCCGCCTCAATCATGGCATCGAGGTATCTCCCTGCTTGATGAATAAGCACCTGCTACCAAAGGATCAGTACCACGTCTCTGAGCCCGGGGCAAGAATCTCACTTGAACGCAGCGACGAAGGCTGGGATACCAATACATTTGAGGCATTTCACCCGTGTCAAACTAAGACGATGGCCGCATTATCATCAGTCATCCAATCTTCTTTCCGAAAACCCGATAGCTTGCACACCTACCATGCGTGTGGACTCCGTGAGGCCCTGATGCGCTTCGGAGAGATAAACCCTATCGGCGACCAGGAAGGGCTGCGAATTCCGGAAGAACTTGTGGCGGGCACGGTCGTACTGTGCACGGGAGATGCGAGGCCCATTCAGCATCGAGCGCCGACACGACCAGCGGGAGAAGCGGATCTTGGCGTCGGCGTGCAGCAGCAGGGTGTGCTGGAAGTTGAAGCACTACGACACCCACCACCCGTTAGCACAAGCCCCGGTCCTGTGGGGGTGGTTGAACCCTACTCGATCCAAGAAGTCATGCGCTGCCGGCATCATGACGAGGCCGTCGATGACGAACTCGTACACGTCGGCGGCCATCTGCTCCGCGATCTCCTGCTTGATGAGGCTGAAGAGCACGGCGTTCGGAACGATCTTGTGCTCGCCCTCGCCGTCGGGGACCGGTTTCGAGAGACGGAACCCCAGCCTGCGCTCCTCTTGCTCGACGAGGGCGTCGACTTCCAGGTAGCCGAGCTCTTCGTCCTTGGCCAGGTCGACGGCGACGGTGGTCTTGCCGGCGCCGGGCGCTCCTGCGTTGGCAGCATATCAGTCTCACAATTCGAGCCCGAGCCCGAGCCCGAGCCCTAAGTCAAATTCCCGCAGGACTTACCTGTGACAACGAACACGACGGCGCTGGATAGATCGGCCGGGGGCAGCTCTTCCGTGGGTCTGTGACGGGGTCTCATGGCCAGAAGTCCGACGCTGGGAAGGGATTTATCTTGAATGTGAAGGATCCGCTCGTAGCGATATTCGTGGTGATGCAAGATTCCGGCACTCGCGAGATGTCGATGATTTTGGCAAGCAACGCTTCGAGTAAGTGCCGGCTTCAGGCGGATTGGCAGCTCGATCTGCTGGTTCATCTCGGGGGGGCTCATGTTCTGGCCTGTTTATCAGTGTTGTGGTGGGCGTATCAGTGTTCTGGCCGGTGGTATCAGCTATCAGTATAGATTCCTTGAAAGGAAACAGGTCCTTCCTGCAGTTAGAACAAGTATCGCCTGCGTCTGCTTCGGGATCAGAGAAGCGGCCGGCATGAAGTGAAAAAGGTGAGAAAGGAAGCATGTTTCTGATCCCATGCACTCTCATTCAATATGGCCAGTGAACCCCGTCTGTGTCGCTTAGTCGGCGACGATGCGATGCAGCACTGGAGACGACCGTTGCCTAGAAGCGGAGCCCTATGATGTCGTCGTTGTCGTGAGCTGGTGTTGTTTGTGTTGCGTTGCTCCATTTTCTTTCCTCTCTTTCATCACCCCCTGTAGCTATCTCTTTCTCGTGAATCTCCTTTCATGGTGTCCTTTGGTGGTGAACCAACCCAAAACACACTTCAGATCCATACTCGAGGTATCAAGCAAGACCTCTTGCAGTTCAGTTCAGTATGCGGTCCCTCGAAGAAACCGCCTTCGGGCCTGGTACGTGTATAGCAAAAGACCTATCTTCTGGCCATGATCCCTCCTCCATCCCACCGCTCAACCCAGAAGCTAATCCTCAGACACAGCTCCAGCCATCCACAATACCAAGTCCTTCTCCCATCCCATCCTTCAGGATGAAGGGAAAGGGTTTATAACACCCTAGCAAGTCCAGATCCATCAACTTCTTTCGCATCGTGTCTCCTGTCTCCTTCTCGTCTCCTATCTTCTCTCCACGTATGAGCCCAGCAACCAGATCAACCTCGCAGCTAACACCTCCGCCTACACAGAATAACCCTCTTTCCAGAGGACAAGCTCACTCCCTTCCTCAGGCTAGGGTCCCGGCTGGACCAAGGCTGGGGAACCGCCCAAAGATCCAAACTTCCCAAAAATTCCCAGCCTTGGTCCAGCCGCACTACGGAAGGTCGGCCGTCGGCCGTCAGAATCAATTGATCGACAGCATCACCAAATCAATCTCATAGTTGAACACTGGCCCAACCTCGGCCTATGCAAATATATATACACATAATAAATATACAAAAAGTCCGTCAAGCTACCCCCCCCAATCCACCCCAACCACTAATCACTAATCACTAATGTCATCCCCACAGACCCACCCATACATACCATCACCAAACAGCATCAACACAAGCATCTTTACTCAACTCAACTCAACTCAACTCAACTCAACTCAACTCAACTCAACTCAACCCTATACATAGGATATAGGGCAACCTCACTCCCTTCCTCAGGCTAGGGTCCCGGCTGGACCAAGGCTGGGAACCGCCCAAAGGTCCAAACCCTACCAAAAACTCCCAGCCTTGGTCCAGCCGCACTACGGAAGGTCGGCCGTCGGCCGTCAGAATTCAGTTAGCATCACCAAATCAATCTCAAATTTAACCCGGTGGCGCAGCCTCGCCCTAAACACACACGTATACATATATATATATATATAAACAAAAAAAAAAGGTTCGTGACCGTGACTCCCCTCCATCACGTCACGTTAAGTTCACTACTCATGCCCAGACAGAGAGACCAGATCAGATCGGCATGCGGCTTTGATACTACAATACCTTCCCTTCCCTTCCCCTCCCCCCTGCCGCCGGAGTAGGTTATCAGGGTGGCGGCCGGGGGGGGGGAACACAAAATGGAAAGGAGATTTGGTCATTTGTGGGGTGTTGATCATTGCTTTCGTACTTATGTATATAATTTCTCCACATATATACTCACACGTGTGTGTTTACTCTCATGTATATTAATCCATCTTGTATATCCTTCTAGCCGTGCGGATTGGCTCTCGAGGAGATCCCAAAACCCGCACAGAGTATTGCGTGGTCCCTGGAGACTATAGCCAAGGAAGATGAAGCAGAGGAGATCTCGTTGTGTGTGGTTCTTTAAGAGTGCTCGTGTCAGTCCTGTATTGAACTAGACTACATCTGTATATACTCCAGCCCGCACAATCAGTGGGCTACTTGAATGAACCATTAAGTTCACCTTCCTCGGACATAGGCAAGGAATTCTTCTTACATAGGCACAGCAGGGTACGAATAGGGGTGCATTTGACCACACCAAAGTTATGAGTACATGTGAACCTGAGGATGCGAGGTATATGTCAAGTACTCCATCCATCTCCAAATGCTCCCACCACCTTTTCCACCATCCCAAACCTGCCAGACCCAAGAATAAAAGAGAAGCGAAATACATATTTATATATATCAAAAGATGGCTATGGACAAAACACCCCAAGGACCTGGACCAGCCAGAAAGAAGTCCTATCTTCACATGCTGCACTTTAATCCAGAAAAACCCGGGAAACCGCCTCCTCATGGTAGGCCTCTGGATTAAGTGGTAGGCATCGGCCGCAACTGCATCGGCAGCTCGGAGGCCTTCTCTTCTTGCTCGTCAAAGACCTTCTTCTCGATCCACGCCGTGAGGCGGGCGCAGAGAGGGTCAACGTAGGCAGTCCACAGGGAGGCGCAAATGTAAACCAGCCCGATCCAGAGCGGGATACAGAGGGCGACGACCCAGGGAGGGCGGATGGGCAACCACGGGGGAAGAACAGTCTGGCCGTTCTCGTCGACAGTCTCCTCCCATGGTTGGCCGGTGATGCCGTAGAGCATCCAGCACAGAACAGTGCGCAAGAGAGTGCCGTGGACGAGGTAGACGGCGAAACTCTGCTTGCCGAGCCAGAGGAGGAGGCGGTTCGCCAGGAAGGTCTGCGTCCCGGGTGAGATGAAGATGGCGAAGATGATCATGTCCACGCCGATGGCACTGTACCGCTTGCCAATGTTGACTTCGGGAGGGAAGATGTAGTGGGCCAGCTTGAACATGTAGTCGGACCAGGTAGCCCATTCGGGGTGCTCGCCGGGATAGGAGCAAATCAAGAGACCGGCGATGGTGATCACGATGGCGAGGATGCGGCGCGGCCAGCGGTGGGCCTCGACGAGGGAGCGGAAGGTGGTGTCGTAAGACATATCACTGAGGAGCATGCCATAGACGGCTTGGAGTTGGAAGGTTTCTACCCAGGGGGTGGCGAGTTAGTGAGGAGGCGAGGGGCCGAAGTTTGGAACCCGGGGGTGTGGAGCTTACCAGTGTCCTTGGCGGCGTCCTGGTGGAAGTACAGCATCATGCCAATGTAGATGGCAATGCGAAACCGGAACTGGACGTACATGGTGGCGCAGAGCAGGACATAGACGAGCATGGACGCCTTCAGCAACGGCAGCAAGGCCCATTGGTGGTCATCATAGGCCATGTACCCGGTGGTCCAGGTGCTGAGGAAGTTCCCTCCCAGGCGAATGACCTCCTTGAAGAACGAATCTTCCAAATCCGGGGCGGCATATCGACACCACCAGCAGTCGGAGCGGTTGGCGACAATAAAGGCACCGAATTGGGCCATGACCCACGAGATAAACAGGGCAATGGTGGCTGGGAAGATTAAGCGCGGAGGGCGGCGGAAGGCGCTCTTGGCAATGGTCGAAAACGCACTGAGGTGATTGCCTGCCCGCGACAACTTCAACGGCTTCAAGGCACACACATAGCCGGTGAGGAAAGCGAAGATGGTGACTCCGAGTCGTCCCTGCCATGGGATGCGGAGGATGGGCCACTGGAGGACCCGGGGAGGCACTCCCTCCTTGTCTCTTGGCGCGAAGAGATCATAGTCCCAGGCGCGGGCCAGGTGGGTGAGAACAACGAGGAAAGAAGCAATGCCGCGAAGACCCTAGCCAGTCCGGTCAGTATGTTAGTGCTGTTGTTCTCTTGTCCCCCACGAGGCGTAACCGTAGACAGACGAGCACGAGGGAGGACCTACATCGATCCACTTGACACTTTTGCGAGGGTCTCCGGGGGGAGCGTTGGGATTCCATAAAGTATCCCGTAGGCGAGTGTAAATGCCGGACTTCTGTAATGACTGCATGCTGGAAATGAAGGAGGATTGTAATATAGGTCTAATGTATATTCACAGAGCAAAGAAAGACAGGCTGGAGTTGGCACGCAAGCGAGCCATTCATAGATACAACCAACAGCCGAGGTAAGAAGAAGGAGAAAGAGGCAGGAGGAGGTGAGTAAGTAAGTGAGTAGAAGAGATGGAAGAAAGGAATGACAAGAGAAGGAGAAGTGAGTAGAAGAAGAGGAAGAGGAAGAGGAAGAGGAAGAGGAAGAGGAAGAGGAAGAGGGGAGGAAGGAAGGAAGGAAGGGGAAAGAAGGAAGGTAGGAAGGAAGGGACGGACAGTAACAGTAAGAGCGGCGGCGGCAGCGGTAGCAGCAACAGCAGCAGCAGCAGGCGTAGTAGTTAGTGAGTGAGTGAGTGAGTACTCCGTAAGTACTGTAAAGACTGTGAGTGTGAGTGTGAGCACTACCTCCGTACTCGTACAGTACAGAATAGTTAGATACTCATCCATAGTAGGGCGGGTCGTTCATATGCCCGATTTATCAGTAGTACCAGATGGAATTGGAGTAGCCCCGAAAAGGGAGCTGCCAAGCCCTCCAGCCGAAACCCGTAAGGCTCAGGGACTGAGAGGGACTTTTCCACTTTCTGGCACTCTCTGCCACTTCTGCCACTTCTGCCACTTCTGCCACTCTCTGCCACTCCTGGCACGCTTTCCAGGGGCGGACGACAAGAGATTGGCCATTCTTGGCTGGCTAAATTGCGCCATGCCGAGCCCTATGATGCCATTAATACACACTTGCGTGGCCCTCTTATTCCTCTTATTCCTCTTATTCGCCCTCTTGCATGCACAATGCAAAAAGAAAAATAATAATCCAGAAAACAACTAATTATAGCCCCCCTCTTTTGCCGTTGCGTTGTGTTGCGTTGCGTTGATCAATGACTACTCCGTATCAAGCCTCCATTGAAACCCATTCTCACTATAATGGAGACAAACGCGTATTATTAGTCTAAAACATCGCCATCTTCGACCTGTCACCATTCTGCGCTTTTTTGGCAGGTGGCAGGTGGGAAAAGAAAAATTTGATGGTCGTAAAGGAAAAGAAAACGGGGAGTACCGTACGGCGTACACTCACTCACTCACTTGACACTGACAGACACAGGGTTTATCCACGGTAGGGATGATTGATGGGTCTCTTTTTTCTTGGCACTTTGACCCTCGCCCTCTCCCATTCCCTCTCTCAATTCCCGAGGGTCCTCTCTTTACTCCCTCTAACCTCAAACCCCCCCCCCCCACCTGACCAAAACCCATTCCTCTTCATGATTCAGTCCTTCAGTCCCTAAATGTCTTGGGTCTTGGCCGACTCTCGTCAAACCTCGTCAACACTCAACGAAAGATGCGCCGTCCTCCGACGCTACCTGCAGCCCAAGTCACCGACCCCCGAACCCCCAGATTGCCCATACTCAATCCGGAGAATCCAACGCCACCTCCTTCCCCATCTCGCTTATACCGCCGAAGCGCTTCCCTCAAATGGGCCGGAAGGAGCTGCCCCCGGTGCGGATTGGGAGGTAATTTGGCCTTCATTTCGCTTTTGGCAGCAGTCGTCGTCAGCAGTGGTCCGCCTCTATCTATCATGCCCTGTGGCTTGACCACTCCGGGATGATGGTTCGTCGTGGTTGAGGTGGTTGAGGTGGTCGAGGTGGTCGAGGTGGAACTGGAGGCCGCCACAGCAGCTAAGGCCGCCTGGTCATGGGCTTCGGCCCATTCCGCCTGCACCGTTCGAGCCTTTTCGATAATCTCGCCCGCAAACACCTTCGTAAATCCGTTAATCGTCGTCACCACGCTAGCCGGCACCGATTGCGAGAGCGCATGATTGACAATTCTCCGTAGCGTCTCCTTTCGTAGCTTCGCTCGCTTGAACAGATCGTATCGCTCCGACTGCAGCGGATTAAACGCGTCCACGAGTAATCTGTTCGGTCCAGCCGCCCACCACTCTGGTTAGTTTGGGATTCTCTTCGTTTCTTTTCCTGCTGTCTTTCGTGGACTGTTTCACTCTTCCTTCCACTCTTGCTTGCTTTTTTCTTTTCTCCTTTGACTTTTCGACCATCACCACAAACCCAACAACGCAATCAGGGGGGGGGGGAGGGGAAACCCAAGTAAAGAAAAAGAAAAAGGAAAGGAAAGGTGTCGAACATACGCAAGATTCTTCTTCTCCGCCTCCGTATCCGTGGTCCCTTCCTCCCTACCCAGTAGTTCACCCTCATCATCAAAATCATCATCCTCATCAGCATCATCCCCGCCTCCGCCTCCTCCTCCTCCTTGCCCTGTACCTCCCCCAGCACCAGCCCTCACCGAGGCGCCCTCCGCATCCACGGACCCCATCCGATCCATCATCCCCGCCCGTAGACTCCCTTCCTCGGCGCGCTGCTCGCGCTCCTTCTCGGCCTTGCTCTTGCGCCCGCGCTTCTTGCCCTTGGTCGTCAGAAACACCCCGTCCGCGCTGGTGCCGCCCAGGCTGCCCGTGAAGCTGCCCGTGACGCTGCCGGCGTCGCTGTAGGCCCGCGACGACGAGTCCAGGTCCATCGTGTTGGGGAAGGAGGTCTGGCGGAGCGGGTGCATGCGGGGCCGCTTGGGGTTGAAGCCCGCCGGCTGCGAGGCTGACGAGGAGATCGAGGGCCGTTTCAACGGGTTCGTGGGCGGCGGGGAGGACATGATTGTCTCTATGGTGGATTATGATGATGATGATGATGGGGAGGAGGTAGGGGTGTTGTTTTGGGTTTGTCGCTGCCGCTGTCGCTGCTGCTGTTGCTGCTGCTGCAGTGTTCGAGGGGAAAAAAAAGGTTTGTGTTCAAGCCTCAGATGGCGACGGTCGCAGAGTTGGGCCCGATCAAAGCTGCAGAATCGGATGGGTACGTATCATAGATTGATTTCATTAAACATTCATGCACAAGATGAGTACTTTGTGCACGGAGAGATGGAGTGGGTGAGTGAATGGATTGAAGGTTTGAGTGAGGGTCGAAGTGTTGCGACAGAAAGAAGTGACGGAAAGCCGACCTTCCCTTATCGGAGGGTCCCTCCCGCCCCCATTCGGCAACTCTGCCGACCCACGATGCGTACGCAATCCTCTTTTTAGGGCCACTGCTTATTTCTACCTCACCTTTGCCTTACTTCTGATGTCGTAGGCTACGACCCGCGCATCTTCTACGAATGAATGCAAGTATAGATTCAATCATCATGTTCAAATTGGTGAGGGAAACTCAAGGCCTAACGCACAGGTGGCACACCACCGCGCTCAACGGATAATAAAGGACTCGATGAACTGATGCTGGGAACACAACGCAACTCGAATCGCTAGAAGCATAGGCAAGCACAGAATACCGACATGAAAGGACCTGAAGATAGGTCGGAATGCACATCAAAGCAAGAACACAATCTCCCTGTTCCACCACCAAAGCCATCCTTCATGACCTACACGGACGGACACATGGCTTCGCTCTCAAACGCGCTCTTCTCCGAGCCTGGGGGCCCCCCCTTTCCAGTCAAGACGTTCGTAGTAGCGGAACACCAGGTCATATCCGTCCAGGTCATGCACAATCCGGTCCACCCGCCGGTATCCCTCCACATGCTCCATCTTGGAGGTGCGACGCAGCAGCTGTCGCTCAAAGTACTTGGCCTCCTTGATACTGTCCCACTCGCCCTCAACCACGGGCAACTCGGGCTTGGCCTCGAACAAGGTCACGGTAAACCGGCCCGGCTTGAAGATGTTCACCACCTGTTGGATGATCCCCGCAGTGGTCTGTCCGTTCTGCGAGTGAGGCACGTTGGTCTCAAACGACGCATACGAGCACTGCGGCTCAGGCGTAACGTGCACCGTGAAGTAGTGAGTGCCAGTGGTCTGGTCGGGCGATGGGATCACACCATTGGCCGAGAATCCGCAGGGAGTGAACAAGTAGGCATCAATGCGGGACTCCGGGAATTTGGACTTAGGGTAAACATCAGACAGGCCGCACGACTCCGACACCACAGTACCCAAGGCGTGACCCTCGGTGGTCAGCTCCGCTGGAAGGATGCGGCTCCCGTCGGAGGAGGACACATCATCCATGTCGGAGTTGTTGCTGAAGACATCCACTGGGTCATCATTGTCGGTTTCAAAGTTGCGGTACCGCTTCTCTGCCACTGCAGTAGCATGGTCCAAGTAGAACTGCTTCGCGTTCTCCTCCTCCAAATCAGTCATCAGCACCTCCAGAGTCTCATCCATAGCCTCGGCTCCCGGGATGACAGCATGGCTGGGCACACTGAGAATCTTGGTCTCAGTCATCTCCTCGTCATCCGCCTTGGGACTCGCAGGAGGTGTGAGCATGGTGTTGGGCTCAGTCAGGTACAAGTACCAGTGCTCGCCGTTCATCTTGCCGATCATGTAGGCGCTACCGTTCAAGAACAGTCGGTCCATGGTCCGAACCTCATCTCTCCAGCTACGGTGGGGACCGCGCTGACGATCAGGGAACAGGAAGTTCTTGCGACTGTAGAAAACGCGGTAAGGCGCCGCAGCAACGGAAATGCCACGCGAGGGCGCCGCAGCGCGCGGGAAGCCGCCAAACAAAGTGGCGATCTCGAGAATGCGGGGCAAGCCAGACAACAAGGTGGTGGTGCCACAAGTCTTGAGAATCAACTTGTGAGGCCAGACAAACATGCTGGACTCGGACAAGAGGTAAGCGTCCACATCCTCGGACGACACGATGGAGAGCACTTGGCAGTTGACGAGATCCAGCATATCCTTCCAGATTTCCTCGGGCACGGCCTTCAGACCGGCGGGTCCAGCAGACCCCAGCTCTTGGGCGGAAGGCGCAAACCAGACCTCAAGGAGCTTCTCGGGTCCTATGAACACATCAGCACTGCGCACGTGAAACCAGCAGTAACACCAGAAGAAGCCGGCTTACCTTCGAAAGCATTGGTAGAGTCAAGGTCCTGGGTCGCTTCATGGTTGATCGTCAGCGACGGCGTCCCCATGAAAGAGGACGGCGACTGAGTGTAGTTCTTGGGAATCCCGATGTAAACCATCTTGGCGGAATCTGAATGCGACAAGGAGATAAGCGGCGGCGACGGAGCAAGTGATGGAGCAAGCGCGTGACTGGAAGTGTGGACCGTAGACGAAAGAGCCTAGGAAGCACTATCTGCTGCCCAGACGAACAGGGGGGCTATGTCCGTCTGAGAGAGTAGGCCCTGAATCGCAAGGGCGGAATTGGCGCTCAGCCGGAGAGGGAAAGGTTCCAAGAGAGCCTCGAGGGCTACTAGGGAGGGCGGAAGGAAAGGGAAAGGAGGAAAAAGCCTCTGGCGAAGGGAATGGTGACTATCAGGTGTCGACTCCCGTTCTGGAAGATTCCGATACCGTTCAAAGTATCGGGTCTAGCAGACGAGAGTATCTGCTTTTAGGATTTAGAGATGGAGAAGAAAACAGGTTGCGCAAGTGAAACGAGGTCGAGTGTTAATCGTGCTATCGAGGTCTGAAGGATCACAAGTCAGTCATGAGCAATCGGTTACACGGCGGTCTCTTCTGATGCAGAGGAAAGAACCGTGGAGGAAGAAGGAGGGCCTACTTTGCGGGCTTGGACAGATATCGCAGTAGATCCTTCGGGTTCATGGAAGGCGAAACAAGAAGTGAGCTTAAAACAGCACGGTGTCGCGAGAAGCCAGAATATCGGACATCTGCGAGACGACTTTTTGTTGCAATGCGATAGAACAGGCGGGGGAAATGGAAAAAGAGAAGATTGGGCAACCGGAATTGACTTTCAAAGAGCAGTCAACGGTTGACAAGATATGTTGTTTTTAATAAAACAAAACAGACCTCAACAAAGTAAGGAATGGGGAAGGAGGGGGTGGGAAAGAATTTAAACAGAGAGAAAAAGACGCGGACGTGAGGGGGGGCAAGAGAAGTTGATGCTTTTGAGTGATTATTATTCTGTGGGCCCGAAAAAAGTTTCGTGGGGCGCAAAAGACCAATCTGGGTTGGGCTTTTGGCTGCAGCACAGAACCTGGCAAAAAAAGGACCGGTCAGAGAAGAGGGAACAAGTAGAACTGGAACCGGGAAATGCAGGATAGAAGGAGAGAAGAAGAGGGGCAAGGGCATACGTAATTGGAGGGAAATGCAGGAACGAGCCTGAGTACCTAGTAGTTGAGATAAGGTGTATTATTGTAGGTAGGCTGGCAGACTCTCCCACTGCTGATTCGATCTGTAGAAGGAGAAGAATGAGCAGGTGAGTGGTTTTTTTGACGCCTGACCGCGTCAATAATAATCTAAGAAAAGTTCCAGGCGGGACTGGAGGGACTCGGGAGGCAGAGAGAACAGGGCCAGAGCACTGCTGGCAGAAGGGAAGAGTTACTGGATCCAGTAGGCGGTCGGTCCCCACTCATTTCCCCCTCATGCTTATCTCAGCTGATCTTCTCTCCCTCCAGGCAGTGACGTCGTGAAATTCATTCAAAATTCATTCAAAATTCAATCGGAAATGGCAGAAAGTCACATGGCAGGAATGACACGGTAGTACTCAGTAGTCATACTAAGGTTAGGAATTTAGTCTAGACTATTCTTAGTATTATTATTCTGAGTTGTCACTCCCTCCACCATCTTACTTCCTTCCTTTCACCTGCGCCTGGCACTTCATCCCTTTCTACTCTCCCTCACTTCTTCCCTATCTTCTTTATACTTCTCCATTGAAGGTCGTGCATGCGTCATTTCTTATCATTATCGACACCGCTAGAATGCTAGTACTAACTTTGTATGTATGACTCCGTCCAGTCTGTCACAAAAAAAGGAGGGAAAGTGGGGGAAATGGGGGGTAGAAAGGAAAACAAGAAAGAACAAGAACACCTATTTCCTTTTCCAAAACGCCATCTCTTGCTGCAACAGAAGCAAACGAAAGAAATATGAATCATCCCATACGGAGCGACAAAAGAGGGGTTGCTGTAGCCTAGGGCCCTAGTACCACCTTAGGTACTGTAGGGTTCTACCGGTCAACCGGTCAAGCGTCGAGAATGGCCCGCGCGGTTTCCACCTCCCCCACGTCCTTGATCTTCGTCGCCAGAAAATCACCCACTTTCCCACTCAATCGCTCCCGCAGGTCTTCCGTGACTACGCCCCCGTGCCCGTTGGTGAGGGCCGTGCGTCCTTCCCGCAACGTTGCCAGAACCCCCATCAAAACCATGAGAACTCTCTCGGCCTCCGGTCGCCGTGGGCTGTCCTCCGCCATGCCGTCCTTCAACAGGTTCCCGTAGGTCGGCAGGTTAGGCAGAATCAGAACCCGCACCGCCTCGGCACCGCCAACCGCATGAAGTCCAATGATGGCGCCGTAATGCGCCCCAAATGGTTTGGACGGATCCAAAAACGTCTTCAGACATGAGCGAGCCAGTCGTGGCTTGAGCGTATGAGAGGAATGCGAGTACTTCTTGGCAATGAGACCTAGGAGCGACGCGGAAAGATCACGGAGGGCAAACTGCTCGGTCAGTTCAGCGCTGCCGCCCAGTTGTCGGGCGATCAGGCAGGTGAGAATGGGCGGGACAAGCGATGGGATCTGCCGATAGCTCATTAGTAACCCTTGCGAAAGTTACTCCGTAGTGTAATACTCACATAGGGGTCAACATATAGTGATTTGTTCTGCACGAGGGCCTCCGCCATGTGCATGACCTGTGTAAGGACAAAGATATCCTTCAGGCCGTGGGTCACCTTCTCGGAAATGAACTGAACAAAGTATGGGACCAACTGGTGCAGTCCCGGATCCTCTCGTAGGCTAGCATAGCCTGATGTGCGATACTCTTCGCTGGAATCGTCCAGGAAGGCGTTGCAGACTTTTTCGAAGTAGAGCTGGAGTTCCTTGGACAAGACATGCTTGACCAGCGGTTTGACGGCCACATTGCCCCCTCCACTCATAGCCGCGAGCGTCGAGCTAGCGTTAGGACCTTTGGACATCAATTCGAGGTTTCTCGAGTCGGCCGCGGTAGGGTTCTGAGGGATGGACGGTTGCACTCCTTCGACGGCGAGCCAGTGCGCTATGCTGCGTCAGCAATGGAAGACCAAGCGACAGACCGGGGATGCTTACCTGTGAACGAGATTTCTCGGGGCACTCTGGGTAACGGCGCGTTAATCAACTTTTCGAAGTCCACCTCCTCGTCCTCCACGTAGAACAGCGGTTGTCCAGGTCCCAACGACGCCTCCCCGAACCGCAGGGGCCTCGTGGATTCATATCCGTAGAGTGGCTCGACATCGAGCACGCGCAAGGCCTGTGCGACATCTTGTGTTGAGAGCAGCGTTCGTCGACTGTGGCGCATGAATTTGAGGGCTTCTTCCAGAACCTGCGCGATGCGGTATTCGACGTCACGGGCAAGGTTCTCGGTCACATCGTTGTTGAGGTTGACGATGCCCACCGACTCGGCAACATCGCGGATGTTATCTGGGTTCCAGACTGACATGGCGGTGGAGATGGCGATGGTTGAACTGAGATGAAGCGGAGCGGAGGAGGGTGCGGTAGAGGTCGTAGCAAAGGCGAGAGGTGTGTTGGAGGCTGATGAGGGAGGGAGAAGTATTATTACAAAATGAGGAAGACAAGAGAGAGAACTATATTCTCGAATGAAGGAATCATGAAAGTAAAACGGAGTCGACACTCGTGTTAATCGAGCGCCCTGAGAATAGATTGGAGCTGATGGAGGAGGACCGGAGATGCGACGCGGAAAGCCGAGCTGTTACTGAGAGCGGAGGAAGAGGAAAGCGGCAGGAAATTATTGTCCCGCCCTCACGCCGAGGCCTGTCAAGCAAGCTCAACAACGTCTACCGCAGTGTTTCTACCTTATTATTCTTAATCAGGACTCTGTGGAACACAAAAAACCAATAGATCAATAGATCAAGTGAAAGACCTTACAGCAGCATACAGCTTCCATTGTTTCCAGGTTAGAATACAGCCATTGTGCATTATGAATGGACACACTTGAAATCCTCCAATCTATATACTCATTCATGCCTGAGGCTTCAAGCTGCTCATATAGTCTACTACACACCTTCCATCCTCCATGTAACCAACAATTCCCTGAAACTATATTTTAAACATCAAATGAACAATCAATCACAGAGACTGTACAGAGTGTAAAGCCATAGAATGACTATGATCTAAACCGCGTACAACACGCTCCACAAGATCCCAATCCAACTACTATATACTACCTACACCAATCTATACACAAATCCCAGCCCACATACTACACCTCAAACACCAGCCCAACCCTCTCCCAACAACCCAATCCCCTCCAAGCCACACTCCCACAGTCCCACAATCCCATAAACCCAGCCATCATGCCCCTCAACCCACAAACCCCCCACCACCTCAACACAGCCTCTCCCTCCCCCACCGAAGAACACAATCAATCTCGCGTGAAAGACTACATCACCAACACCCTATCCAACCTCCTCACCGAGCTCGCCTCCCCGGACGGCCACCCCTCCATCACGCTCAAGCCGCGGTCCACAAAAGTCTCCACGCGATCCATAAACCCTGAGACCGGGGCCCTGGAGACCCATGCTGCCTCCGCTGGATCCACCACATACACCTGGCCGGGGAAAGACTGCTACGAGGCTTGGAAGTTTAGTGTGTTCCTCACCCCCCGTTCTACCTCCCCTACACTACCAATTCCGGGTGCGATCCACGGAGTGAAAGACCGTTAATGTAGGGTATACCCTTCAAATCCAGCTGTCGCAATGCGAGTTCTGAGTGGGATCGCCGACGCGGTGGACAAGGGAGTGGCGGTCTCGAAGAGGTACTGTATTTCTGCAGCACACAGAACAAGTAGCACATCGGACAACAGGCTGACCCCCCCTCCCCATTCACCGCGAGAACAGAGATATCTACTACAACGACCCGGCGGTATTTGGATTCCAGCGCATCGTGGATAGACTGGTCGATGACTTCGCGCATACGGTTGGCGTGGACAGAACGGCGCTGAATGTGGTCTGTACTGGTTTTCCCCTGATGCTGCTGATAGAAGAGAAGCTGAGGGGAAGAAATGCACGAGCTGACCACCGCGATGGCTGAATGTCTAGGGAGCAGCAGCCAAGGGCCTCGTCGTTGGATGTTTTCAATGGAAGATCAAAGACCAGGCGATGGTTGACGATGCACATTTTTTCAATCCGGTTGGCGCACACGTTAAAAGGAAGAAAAATTCCAATCCGGGGACTTTGTAGCTGACTTTCACGCCCCCGGTGCAGGATACCCTTGTCCCGAGGCCGCAGGATATCCTGGGTCTGGAGGTTTCAGATATCGAGTGGGTGCTCATCCTGGAAAAAGAGGTAAAGTGTAGTCCGTCGCCTATACAATATATGAACCTTGGGTTGGCTGATTGCGGACAAACAAGCAGGCAGTGTACCGCCGACTCGCGGGGATGAAATACCATGTCCGATCTACAGCAGGTCTGGGGATTCTGGTCACAGTGAGATCCCAGCCCTATCTAACCCTTTTCTTCATTTCCAAGAGGATGACGTGCAACAGGGCAAAGGATACCCGGACCTCAACACACGAGCCTTCGTTCGCCGGCTTTACGACGAAAGCAGACGCCGGCAATCGAGCAAACGAATACGATTCTATGCACTTGTGGACGGTGACCCCGATGGAATGGCAATCATGTCTACGTACAAGTACGGGTCCCTAGCATATGCGCACGAGAACAGCGCATTGAACTGCCCTGAGATCCACTGGCTTGGCCTCCGGACCTCGAACATCGTGACCGGAGTGGACCCATCGGGGAACGATGCCCTCCTCAGCTTGACCCCGAGAGACAGGAAGAAGATGCTGGCGATGCTGGCCAATAACCCCGTGTGGGCGGTGGATGGTCCCGAGCAAGAGGCACGGGCTGAGTTGCTGCAGATGCTGATGCTGAACGTCAAGGCGGAGATGCAGATCCTCTATGACGGCGACGGGGGCCTCGTCCGATGGCTAGACCGCAGGATGACGCACTTCCCGTGAAGGAATATGTGCCACAGTAGTCTTGGGATGGTGGTACAAAAAGAACACAAACTTATCTGCACCCCCCACAACGGACATATATGAATTGATAAAGATATCAGGTCGGACCCTATGATCTGCATGTGAAGAAAGGAACTGGAGCAAAGAGAAAAAGGAAGATCGAGAAAAGAAAATGAACGAATGAGCACACCACGAAAACGCCAGTACCGGCACCAATGCACCCAACAGGCTATGCCACGCACTTCTTCCCGGCAAAGAAGAAAAACAATTTCATACACATGTGCAGGTGAAGGACGACCGGCTTCCCTATATACTTTAGCCAGCCCGTGCTTGCTTGTGTATTTTTTCTTGTCTTGTGAGATTTATAGCCCAAATAAGCACGGCCTCCCCCCAAGACAGCAAGAAATCACAACCCCAAGCCTTTCCGGACCTCGTCACGGACCTTACGCTCGTACTCACTCCGTCGCTCACGCCACATCTTGGCCGCCTCGACATTCGCGGGACTTTCGTCATTGGGCTCGGCGAGCATGCTCATCACGGAAATGAGGATCTTCTCCACGCTCTGGATGGGGGACCAGCGTTCCGAGGCGTGTTCGTAGTGGTTCGGGTCGTCACCGGGGGGGTGGAGGATGGAAATGCAGACGGTGCCATTAGGGTACACTATAACAAGAAATCACAGCCCGTCAGTTTTCTAGCTTTTGCACATGTATGGTTATGCGTAGGGGAGCAGAGAAGATCTTGAATCCCCACAGAATTGAGGGCTAAAATGCAAGGTTACTGACCATTGGGATGCCAAACCCCACCGCCAACGAACTTCATAGTCGGCGGGCTCAGCGGATAATCCTTGGGGAACTTCAGCTCGGCCGCGAAAACACCGCCCTCGAACGGGGTGCCCTCCGGCCCCTGGATCAAGGCTTCCCAGTGGAACATGTCATCTTCCGTGACGGGGCCAGCGGTGATGCCATCCGGCGGGTTGGTTGAGAGGTTCTTGTACTCGTGGAAGAGGCGCTTCTGTGCGACGGATGACATGATGGCGGGCCTGTGCGAGAGATCTTTTGTAAGAGAAGGTGTGTTAGTTCTTGCTGTGTGTGTAGTATAGAGCAAGAATTTAGAAAAGAAAAAAAAAGTGGGATGTGCCCGTGGAACGATAAGACGGAGGGTTTTGAGGGGGAGGGGAATGATAAAGAGGGAAATGCGGAAGATGGACTCCGGGTGCGGAGAGAATGGCCGGGAGGAGTGGATGGAGGGGTGCGAGACAAACGGGGGGCTTAATGTACCTTTTGGCAAGGGGTGAGGGGCAAAAGGGACGGAACTGGAAGAGATTGGATACTAGACAGGTGGGAAGGAAAAGCAATTGGAGAAATGTGATTCAATTTCTTTGGATTTGCCACTTTGATTAGTAGGTATTGTCCATTCAAAGAGGAATCCAAGAATCCGGTGAACGCATCCATTGATTGATGAGGGGGAGAATGGGTTTTATGCCTCAGGCTACTACTTTCCGCCCTTATCGCCGCCTGCCCTATGGAACTGCTTGTCGGCAATCATAGTAGAAATGAACACTTGGTAGAATTCCTTAATAGAGCTACTTGGTATAAGCCATAGTCTATATACATCCATGAATAGAATTTAGATATATTGAGTGGCGACGCCTTCATTGTGCATCTGAGTATAAGCTACTAGCCTAACTTTCCACATCTCGTCAACACCTTTGTAGTGGGAGTGCTTGGATACCCGGAGTACTTAATTATGCCAAGTGCTCGAGCGGTTCAAGAGAGCAATTCACACTGCTCTTGATATGCTAATCATTCCTCATCGTCATCGAGGAAGTCATTCTTGACCATTAGCTACCAATGACTTGACAAGCCTTTACACTGTTGACAACTTTCACCTCTAGGTGGTCGGTCTTCTCACAGCATGTTCTTTGGGTTGTCGAAGCTATACCAGCTCAACATGCCTTGTGACACGTCTGTAAACCGCGAGTCAAGGCTTCATCATGCTCCTCAGAAGAAGTCCCAACTATCACCGTCACCCCCGTCGCCTCCATCATCTTCCTCATCCGCCCACGGGTCTTCTCTATGATCCCTGGGTTTCTCTTGTTGTTCATCTGCCCAGACGTCCCCGTATGGACCCGTCTGACCTTGTGCCGGAGGTTGCTGACCCCCAGGTGCAGCTTGAGAGTCGGAAGGAGAAGCTGGTGGAGTTCCTCCCACGCCCCGCGACATGGCGTCGTATCCGGCCATGGCGCCGGCACCTGCTGCGCCTGCCATTGCACCATCAGCCAAGCCGCCGGCGGCCCCAGCCCCAGCCCTACCGACAGTACCTGCAGCAGCTTCTCCAACGGCCCCAGCAGCTCCAGCGGCCCCGGCCTCGCCAGCGGCAGCACCCCCTGCGGCGGCACCTCCCGCGGCAGCTCCCCCGGCGGCAGCCTCTCCACCGAAACCAGGAAACCAGAGGGGCATGAAGCCAAAGCCGCCGGCGCCGCTATGGCGACTGAAGTAGTCGAAGTCAATGCTAACTGCAGTGGCCAGCATGACAGCGCGCTGGTCTAGACTCATTGCAGTCACGGCGCCGGACTGCTCGGGAGTCTGCTCGCTCGGAGAGGCGGAGTCCATCCGCAAGGCATAAACACCAGTGTCCGTGAAAAACTCGCGTGCAAACCCGGCAAAATTCCGGTTGACAGATCCAATCAGCCGGCTGTCAGCGGAACGGAGAGCAAAGTCCCACGACAGGAAAGGCTCATCAACATATGCGAACTGATTATAGGCACCCGTGGCCTGACCAGCCTGCGAAGACTGGACCAGCTGCATTTGCTGGGAACTTGACAAGCCGGTCTGTTCGAGCGGTAGCGTCTTCGTTCCCATGTCTAAGGCCGAATTGGGCGAATGGTGATATGTGAACAGGTTGTACTTGCGACGTAACGGGGCCCATTGCTGCTGGGCTTCGCCAATGACTCGCATGTCATCGAAACCGAGGGACGAAACGCGGGCATTCGAATCACCGGAGGCTTGAGCTAGTGAGTTCGCGGAATTGGCCTGTAGGGCCGTGGACGTGGAATGGGCACTCTTAGCCACCTCGAGAGGGTCGTAGACGCGAATACGGGAGTTGATCCATGAGAATGGGCGGTGGAACTGAGTTGCTGTATTAGTACTCGAGCTAAATTGCTTTCATCATGTGAGACTCACCCGCAACACTTCATTCTCATGTTTGTCAAAGACATGCGTGACGAAGCTTCGATGTGTATTGAACCACTGCCGCGCCATCATGTTTCCCATGCCTTTCTCTTGCTCTGCCATGAAACCGATATGGTTTCCATTGGCATCCATGATAACATATTTGTTGGCTTGTTCAAACCCGCTGCCACCAGAGAGCTAATGTTAGCCCTCCGTAGACACGTACAGCGAGGGAAAGCACTCACATCAAGACATTCATCAATTCTAGCTGGCGCTGGACAACCAAGCCCGAATTTGCCAGAATGGATGTTGCCGGGTGGCTCTCTTTGATCACTCCATGAGGATCTTCCGGGATGTGAACGGGGGCAAGTAGTGTGTTCTGAGAGGGATCGTAGTGGGGATTTGGTGAGTCGGAAGGAGGTTGTTGTTGTTGTTGTTGTTGTTGTGGATCGGAGGATTGCGATGATGGGGCATTTCGTCTGATGGGTTCTGGTCTGCGAATTGAATTGCGAGGGCCACGAGGATTGACTCGTCCGCGATTCAGTGAACTGGCGAATGCCCGGCCGGGCGTTCGGAAGCATCGCGCATGCGATGGTCGGAGTATGGCACTCCACATCTTGCAATAAACAATACCAGTAATATCAGAGTACGTAGAGGATCAACTTATTTTGGTGGAGAAAAATCGTGTGAAACGGCGCGACGAGTTGAGTGATGATTAGATCGTGGAAAGAGAAATTCATGGATGGCGGCGTTAATGACGGAATTGTTCGCCTCAGGCCCGCCTCGGCGGCTACAGATCGTTATCAGTTCGCCGCAGTTCTACTGTAACATGAAGGCTCGATTCTACATTTACATGAGTAGCATAGATAGCACTGCTCCGGGAATATTCAGATTGTAATTGGTCACAGGCAAGGCATTCTAACTGCGTTGGAACATTACACTTGTGCTGAGTCCTCAAATAAGCACCTTACCCACTTGCCGATCGTCGCTAGATCCTCTCGCAAGTGCTGTACATTATGCGCCATCAGCAACCTGGGACCCTATATCATTCCTGAGTCAAAACAGTTGGACGCGCATCATAGTGGACTGTCCGGAGCATTGATTTCGCTGTACTGACATAAAGCTCTGGGGACATATATGTCACATTGTTTCCATTGAGCATTTGAGGCAGAGGTGTTGAAGGGTATTGATGGCCGTATCGCGCAGTGATCAGACGTTCGCTCTCATCCAGTCAAAATGCTCCCTAGATGTCAAGGAGGGCAGCGTTCGACAGCCTGTTCTCAATCTGCGAAAGGTCCCAGTGCATACTCTCTAGCCGTTGCTTTACTTAACAGAATGTAGTGATCCACCGAAATTCCGCATACAATCACAAAAGACCCTTGCGCGCCAATTCAACCTTGCGCGCAGCCTCGCCGGCCTTGAACCCTCCCTTAGAGACACAGACAGCACTCCCTTCTCCTAGCTCAATCTTCTCTTCGACATCGGGATGCGGGCATGGACAGTGGTGGGGAAAGTGGACGCATGCTAGGGTTCCAGGGCACAGGTAGCGATCGCAGTGAGCTGAAGTTGGAGGACAAGTAAGTCATGTTAGCTCTAATCTGCAACGTATGCAAAAGACAAGACCGTAAGCATCCGCAGACTCACCCGACTCCCATTGACTCTGATACCGAGAACTATCGCTAGGGACATTCTGCGGAGCCTGATGTTGATGGCCGCCGCCCCCGCCGCCGCCAAACATATGCTCGAAGAACTGGAATTGGGCGTGGGCAACAGACGCCAGGAGGAGGATGAGCCCGAAAGACTTGATCCAGCCGAGCATTTTGAGCGATTGTATATCCTTCGTCAAGTTTGCAAGGAAATAAAAGTCCACTTAGAAATCGTGCAAGCGGGAACTTGTCATTAATAGTACTGTATAGATCCAAGACGGCCAGTTGGCCCTTCCCATAGCAGCACGTGACTAGCCCAACCATGCCAAGCCTTTTCTCATCCCGCAAAAAAAAGGAAGCCGCCGGTCTGGATAGCTTCCTTTTCCCCTTCTCCACGCCCGAGGAAAAAGAGAACCAGGCTGCGGTCGTCTCCTTTCCAGCTACTACACGCCATGTTCCAACTCCGTGGAGTTCTAGCGCCCTTCCGGGCTCTAGAACGAGCCATTGCGCCCTCCACCCTTCGCGTCGCCTCGTACTCGACCTCGATCCTCTCCTCCCGACCCGTCCTCAACTCCGCCATCACAAACCCCTCCTCCTCGTCCTCCACGACATTAACAAGAAGCAACACCACCCGCCTCCTCCCGCCCACCACGACCTCTCTCCTCAACAACCTCCTCACCCAGCAACAAATCCGTCACGCCTCGCACGCCTCCCAAGGAACCGCGAACCGGCACTCGCGCGATCCGGCCGGCAAGCGTCTCGGCGCGAAGCGCTCCGCCGGCGAGTACGTGGTGCCCGGGTGCATCATCTTCAAGCAGCGGGGGACGAAGTGGTTCCCTGGCGAGAACTGCGGCATGGGGCGGGACCACACGATCTACAGCATGCAGTCCGGCTACGTGCGGTACTACCTGGACCCGGAGCGGCACCCGGACCGCAAGTTCATCGGCGTCGTCTTCGAGAAGGACGGCAAGCTGCCCACGCCGCGCAACGCGCCCACCCGCCGCCGCCTCGGCCGCGTCGCCGTGCGCTTCGATCCCGCCGACCTGCCCGTCAACCAAAAGCAAACCGACCTGGTGGCCGAGGTCACCGCGGAGGGCACGACGGTCGGGGATGTGCCCGCGGTCGATGCGGAGGCCGGCTTGCGCTTCCGCCCCGGCTACATGTACCGTGAGGCGAACTGGCAGATCGGTCGCGCCGCGGAGAAGGCTGGCATCACCGCCCTGCCCCATCGTCGCAAGAACCGCTGGCTGGCGTGGCGCAAGAGAACGGCCAAGGCTGAGCGCGTCGCTCAGATGAAGAGCTTGAAGGGCTCCAAGAAGGCCGCTAAGAAGGCGAAGAAATAGACGGGAGCCTGGAAATTTCCCGGGCCGTTGGGTCTTTCTTTTGTGAGAGCCGGGTTTTTGGACTTGATCTTGTAGCCGGTTATTGTCCACTCTCGCCTTTCTTTTCTTGCTCGCTCGGCTGCTTTGCTTGCTTGCTCTACGTCCGTGATGTGACCTACTCGGTCCCTGGCATGCAGTGAATTTCTTTTTCTTTCTTTCTCATTCTCGTCTCTGGCATTTGCGTACAGTCATGGGGTTTATTTTATTGGGTGTTTACTTTTCCATTTTTCATGTATTATAAGATAAGATGTCTCCAGTATGTCTCTGTTTCCGCCTACATGTGCAAATAGAACGCTTCTTCAAGTGGTTCAAGAGCAATTGTCATGATTGTTATCATTGAAATAGTGGATTGCGCAGCTAAAATTCTCACAAAGAAGGGTATATGCACTTTAGATACTCCTATCATCCCGCAGAAGAGAAAGTTTTGATCATGAGCCCCGAAACACAAAAGGAAGAAACCCGAAATACGCCGCCCAAAGCGAAGTTTTCAAATCCCCTCTATCCCTGAAAACCCCCGAGAATAGCCAACGCGGTTTGGAAAAGCCATATCCTAGACATATTACATGCCACGAGAACACTCATCATTTCACTGGTCGAACAATCGACCCAGAATCAAGCTTTGGCAGACGAACTCATTGCCCACAATCCTGACATTCGTGCTCAACCCAAGATCGTCGCCGGTTACCGACTCCATGAGCTTGGTCCGCTTCCGTTTGCGCGAGTTAGGGCCAGCGCCAGACACTCCCGCCGAGCTCAGGGCCATCGCTCTCGCAGATGATTTGTCATCGTCATCGATGTAGATCCAATCCCAGCTGCGCTTGCGGACGGGCCCGTCCTCAGTCTGTGCGTTTAGGACGGCTCGAGCAGACTTCAAGTCTGAGACACGCTCGATCCGCGAGGCCCCGAGAGCATAGGTCAGGAATAGGTAGGCCTTGCGTCGCTCCTCGTCGATGCGGCCACTGCGTCCTGTGACTAGGAGAACGGACTGCCCGTTCAGGAGATTAGGTCTTCCGGCGATGGTCTCCGAGAGTTGTGCCTCGGTGGCCGGGTACGGCGTTAGGATTCGTGACTTGGTCGCTCCGTTGAGGTATGTGGATTCTCCGGCGGGGAGGAGGTATATCTCCCAGTCGATGATCCGGCCTCGCGCGACGCAGTCTTCAATCCAGCGGTCTGAGAGACATGGGAGGTTAAGCGCTAGAGCCTGCATGTACTTTGATCGGCGAGAATGTCTGTCTGCGATCAAGCAGGCAAAGCCTACGTCTGCGGCGCTGCTGCTGAGCTGGAGGAGGTCATGCTGTGTGTTCGATTCCGTGGGTGGCTGCTTGGTGGGAGTGGCGACGGGGGCGTTCAGCGGTAGATCGAAAAGCTCATTGAATCCATCTTCTAAGATGCGCCCGTCATTTTCTAGTATCATTTTTACTACGCGAGCCTTGGCCTCGTTGTTGTCACCAAAAGAGACAGCAAAGACCATTCCGGCGAACAAACCATTTGAGAAGCGGATGCTGCGTGACAGGCGCGCACCAGGAGATGAGATAGGCGTGGAAAGTCTCTCCAATGGTGTTGGAGCGCCGCGCTCAAGAAACACTGGTTCGGAGATATAGGTGAAGGAGCGATCTTTGAGTTGGTTCCACAAAATTGTGTCGAGGTAGATCTTGGAGATTGGCACTTCAATGAGGCTCTCAGTGACGGCCAAGCCGGCATTAGGAAGACTCTTGCGCTGCTTGGGGCCTACTATCACAGCTGAGTAGCCATAGATATCCGTCATGGGAATCACCCCGTTCGCGGCGCCCTGCTCAATCTCGTCTATGCTCAGCTTGCGGACAAAGCTCCGAATAACATGCGTGACCTTGGGCACATTCGGCATGTCCACTTTGACGGCATCGCCGGGACGGAGTTCCAATCTCTTGACAGCTCCCATTGGAATGTCCACAGGTGCACTGTCTTCGAACTTTACCCGATACCGAGACTGCGACGTTCCGAATGGCTTGCCAAAACACGTTGCCGGATAGTACGCACGCTTTGTTCCACACCAGGGAGCGAAGACCTGGTTTGCTGCGACTGGGACTTTCTCAGTCAAAGACGGCATGGCCGGTCCGACAGTAGGCACATTATCCGTGGCAGGACTGCCCGTGGCCGGCGTCTCTATCGGATCTTGAATGGTGATATCGCTGCGTGGCTCCTCAGGCATAGGGCTGATTGCTTGGCGTTGCTGCGCAATCCCCGACCGCTCCTTGCTCGGTGATCCCCCTCGCTCAGTCTCTACAGACCTTTGTCGATTCAACAGTCGTGGACGAGACAGCAATCGTGACCTGTGTTTGCGCGGAACGAAGGTTCGCGGAGGAGAATCGTCCATATCCCACACACTGTCCGCGCTCCGAGGAGGTCTAGAGCGTCTCTGGTGAGCCTTCGCTGCTTTGCTCTGCAAATTTTCCTGCTGTGCGTCCGGCTGCATGTCCATCTGCACCTCAGTCACAGTTCTCGTCGTCGCAGGTTCAACAAGATCTTCGGAAACAGGTTGAAGAGGTACAAACCGACTGTTAAGACGGGGAGTCCCCGGAAGAATAGGATCAGAAGCAATGACACCCTGTCCGTTGTTGCCTCGGCGTTTCTTCCTCGGCGAGTCTTGATGCCTGGCAACTGCAGCTTTGAACTCCCAGTCCTCGGCTGACATAATATCAATGTCTGGGTTGAAAGCTCCAGTCCCTCCTTTCGGTGAGGCATCAGCAGCAATCTCCGTAAGTGCCCTCCGTTGCCTCCCACTCGGGCTTGATAGAAGCTTCGAAATTGAGGTCAGGGATGGCTTCGAAGGCGAGGAGCTGTTCAAGACAACCCGATGCGAATGCGATGCCCGTTCATGCGCGGCTTGATAAACCGGCGGCAGATCATCGTCTTCTTGATCCGCTGTCTCGTTATTGTTCATGTCGTTGGGCCATCCTTGGTTTCCCAGTCGGTTGGGACTAGTCTCCGGAATGCTGGTCGTTGGCACCGCATCCACAAGGTCTATAGGGGGAACTGGTGTTTCAGCCACGCGAGAGGGCATCGACGATGATTTACCCCGGAAATCAAAGGTTGAAGGCTTGTCACCTACAACTCTGGGCTGCTGAGACACTGTATTACTCGAATCTAGTAAGCTGCCCTCTAGAGGCTGCGTGGCTTTCGGTGTGGGAGAGCGCTGGGGCCAGCCGGATATCGATTTGCCAACATTTATGTCCTGGACTTCACCCAGTTCAAAAGACAGTCGAAGACGACGCGATTCAGCGGGCGGGGAAGATTGCAAGCGGACTTGCTTCGTGGGCGACGACATGATCCTGTCAATGTCCGATGTAGGATCGATCTGAACCTGAGAGTCCGGACAATGTGATGTTCTTCGGCTGCGGTTCGTCTCGACTTCTGCGCCGGCTTCCCTCTGCCTAGGAGAGCGCTGAGAATCTTTGACGATTGATATCTGTGACGACCTGCCGTGCTCATAGGGCTCGTCCAAGTGAGCGATGTTGTGAGCTAGGTGTGGCTGAAGCTGTTGCTTTTCTGGGCTTCCAGGAGCGGGTGAAGTACTACCATCAAAGGCGAGGGCCTGCGAAAGACGATCATGTGCGCTAGTGGTGGCGGCAACAGGCGTTGCTGCTAGATCAAGACAGTTTTCTTTGTCTTCCTCTGTCGCAGGAATATGCTCCGTGGATGGTGGGATGGACTGACCCCTATTGTCTTCTTGCTCTTGTTCAGTCTCTTCTTCGCTCGAGCCACCCCGCTGCGGAACAGTGGAATCTGCGGCTGCCCTCTGCTCACCATCGTTCTCTGCAATAGACTGATCGTTCCAAACTTGCAGACCCAAGTCCCCTGGTGGTGACAACGAGCCCTTACTAGCTTGTCTGCTTCGGCTACCCTCCGACCTTGCAGGTGCCGTAAGACCTGCAAGCTGGGGTGCTATCTCCTCATTTATCGTGCGGTGCCGCCTCATGCGTTCGACAAAGCTAGGCTCCTTGCCAAAGTCGTCATCGCTTGGGTCACCGGGGAACACAGGATCCGCCGAACGGGTCATCCTCTCATTCAACAGTTTATCACGATTCGCCTGAGATTCCTGCATAGAGATATACTTGAGCTTGTGCGCTGAAGAGTCCCGCGGGAAGGTTGCCGCCATTCGATCGTACGGGGATGACAGATTTGCGGCGAGAGGGTGTTTCTGAATCGGGATGTTGGGTGAGGGCCGGTCCGATACAAGATCAGAATGTTGCTGGCGATTGACTAGCGGGGAGGAAGGTGCCTGGGTAGCCCTGAACACTTGGCTTAAAGCCATGATCCCACCACTCGACCCAATCTCCGTCGCAAGAGGGTTGCGTGAGACAGTGGGCGAAATGGTAGCAAGGCCGTCTGAATGAGCCCGCTTCACAGCAGTCGCAGGTGTCTTCATCACGAATCGCTGCGATTCGGGAAACAAATTTGACTGATAATGCGCAGGCGATGACTCCCCTAGTTTGGAGCTGCTCCGGTCATCATTATCGTCAATGTTGACCAGTTCTGCATTAACGTTGTCGTAACCCGCCAATAGGTTGAGATGGCCGCTGTCCCCTTCATGCAGGGTCATAAGTGTAGCTTGATCCCCAAAATTACTGTCGTGGTTCACGACAGGGTCGTCTTCCTGGTTTTTGCGAATGATCTCATCGTACACCCGCTGGGAGATCAACTGGGTATCCGACGGGAGCGTTTCTGTGGAGCCCATCTTACCCAGCTGAGTCGCCGCGCGGCTGCTGGGGCGGTCTTCGAAAGAGGGTAGCTTCGATGAGCTCACACTGGTGCCATTCTGTGCTATACTGGATGACGAAGTCGTTGACACAGGTTCGGAGGATATCTGCGCACCCTGTCCGTCGTCGGTCGGCAATTGCTGTTGAAGTTCTTGTCGACCGTCGTCTTGATCAATCAATACAGACTTCTCTGCCATTAATTGCGATTGTATGGATTCCTTTCAGATTGCCCAAGATCAATCGAATTAGTCCAATAAGGAGACTGGATCGGAGACGCCGCCGCCACTGAAGTGGTCACTCACCTGGCCCAACGCGACGCGCTGCAGCCTCGCGATATCGATGCTATCTTCTTGGGTCTCCATAGTCCCGTACACTCCGTAGAATCAAGGCCTTTGAATGAGTATTATCACATCGTTCCCATGCCCAGATTCAGAGATACAAGGAACGTTGCGCCGAGGCTGCATCGAAATTCCGGACAGTCGAAGTCGATGACATCCAAATCACTGCGCTCCGGAACCACAAAACGCGAGACGCGTATATCACGTGATACATGATCAATTTTACCGCTTTGAGTCTAGACCATTATGATTGTACGAGTGATCAAGGCAAGGATCAGATATACGGAAACAGAGCATGGTATCCATCATAACGGGATATCGTACATAATTGCTGGAGTTTTCTAAGAAGTACAGCTTGCGCCAGAGTGGAGCAATTACAAAGTAAGTATTCATCCAACACCAGGTCACTGCTCAGTCAGGATGATATAAGATGAAGGAAAGGAAGCACATAGGATCAGTCACGAGTACGGTTAGGCACCCATCTGCGTACCACCATCTCTCGAACTTGGTACCGAGCAAGCAGTCTCCCAATATCAGTCTCTGATGGCTCGTCCAGGTCGTACGAGGCCGGCGGTGGCACTTCCACATAGCAAACCACCAAGCTCTTCTTCACTTGGGCTTGAACACGGTTGACGCAATGCAGCCACCACCAGCTGCGGGACACTTGCTTTTCGCAGTGCTTCCGGCGCTCCTCGGTCTCTGACCAGTACGAGTCAACGTAGGAAGGAATGACGACGACCGCAAACTCGGCATGTGAGAAGACCGGGCCACGGTTGTAGAGAAGATAATCAACCCCGAACTTCACACCGGATCGCACCACCCATCCCAGAGACCGGAAATGGTGGTACGCAACGTAAGAGATCAGGAAAGTATCGTCGGGCTTCATCTCCGAGGACGAATCACGGGGTGGGAAGTCGGCATGCTGGCAGAATAGGGGGAGTAAAGTCGAGGTCGTCATGACGGCTTCGCGTGTGTCGTCCAAGATCGTCAGTGCACCAAGTCCGTAGGCGAGAAAGAAGGCTTCCTCGTTCGACAGGTGAAGATGCTCTTCGTTCTGCAAGATGGGCTCCTCTTCTGCACCGCCAACCTTGTCTTCCTCTGCTATCACCTCCGGAAGCTGCAGGATAGCCGAGTCGGAGATGAACTCCTTAGCCTGCACAACCGGGGAAAATCGAACGGCCTTGCCGCTACCATTGGGGATTTGCTCTTCGGGTGTGTTGGAAGGGCGCGCTTCGCCATTCTGTGTGATTGAGCGCTGCGAGTCCAACAGCCTCGCTTCTTTGGCTTTTCTCAGTGAGAACTTCTCTGCCGATGTGTCTGCGGACGGCGATTGAGAGGGCTGCTCGACAGACAAATTGTCGCCTTGCCGGGCGGCTGCTTCGGCCTTCAGTCGTTCTTGGATGGCCAGCTTCTCCATGCGAGCTCGATCCATCTTCAATTCGCGACGTTCTGTCCGGCGCTGCCGGGTGACCTCCTCACTTGTAGTGCCACCGAGCAATCCGCGCCGCTTCTTCTGTCGCTCCAGCCAGCTCGGTTCACTCCGACTAAGATTACCCTTGCCAAAGAAACCCATCTCCCAGAGAGCTCGGATGGCCTTCGGGTCCGTGACATGGACAGATGACGTCGCAGAGTCAAAATAAGCCTTGTAGACATGCTGTTTGGGTGGTGCAATGAGGTATGTCAAATAGGACAACAGCACGCTGACAATCGACAATGGATTATGAGGGATCAGAGGCGGCAAAGGATGGACATCAACGGGGAGAGGGAAGCGATGGATATGTTTGTAATTGGGCCGCGGCGGCCGCGAACGACGAGCAGGCGATGCATTTTTCTGGGACTCGGCCTGGATACTAGCAGGGCCAGAGCTAGCACCACGGGAAGAGTTAGGAACAGGAGAGGATGAAGAAGCCATATGGTACGTATAAATTAAAATTGATTTGATGAGACTCGATAGATTGATTTCTAACTACTGATAAAGAGTCAGCAGGCAACTCTTCGTTTACGAGATTGAACAGCCATGATGCTTGTTGCATGCAAGAGCGCCCTGGATGCTATTCATATTCTTCTCAGATACCGTTGTAGTCAAATAAAGCCTTCATCGACAACAGCGAAGAAATCAAAGTTGCCATTGTCTAAGCTTTAGGTATGTTATCATCACCGAAGAAAATGAATAGACTCCTGAACAACCTCTTGCTTGCAAGTTCGATCAATCAACGCTGCTTTGCTAGCTAAAGCTTACCCGAAATCTTCCCTAAGATCTGGGTTGATTTGTCTGCACGAGGGAAATTACACAAATGAGGGAATCGATAGCATAGATAGGCTCTTCCCAGATCATAATAGTATGATATGGCAGATGCGCATCAGCATCAGAGCCGAGATCCTATCTCTTCACTGTCAACATCCGAGGATTGTGTTGTGCAGACAAAAAAAGTCGATAATCGACACTCAGAAACACAAGAGGAAGAAAGGGAAAAAAATATTCGCTTGACCAGCCTTAAATGGGGTGTGACGGCTGACTCAGCTAGCCTTCCCCGGGCGGTGAGCCGAGTCCCGTGCGTTTTTCTGCGGCGCCAAAAATTTCCTGCGGACTAGGAGCTGTTGAAGATTGTTCTTGCAATTGAACGTTAACCCCGCGACGACATTCGTTTCTGCCTTTGTTTATAAATCGACAACCGTTTTCGAACACTCATTCAAGTAAGTTGTTTTTGGAATGAGATTATTCAAATGCAAATGTTGGTGCTAACCGCTCGACTCTAGGATGCATCTTATGGTATGTCCGCACAACTCGTCATGTGCACCACAAGGATTTCTGTCTAGCAGGGAAATTGACTGGTGAAATAGTACACTCTCAGCGAGGATGGCAAGCGGATCTACACCTTGAAGAAGGTCCTCGATGGCCGCACCACCAAGTCGGCCCACCCTGCCAGATTCTCTCCCGATGACAAGTACTCCAGGTGCGTTCGGATAACAGAACCCAAGATGATCGTTCATCTTCACCACATTCAACAAGTGCTGACATCGTGTCTCTCCGTACAGACATCGTGTTACCCTCAAGAAGAGATACGGTCTGCTTCTCACCCAGCAGCCTGGTACGAGCTCTCCCGAGACCGCACATGCCTTGATCACAACTAACTCCACCCTACAGAGAAGGAGGCTGCTCAGTTGTAATAAGCGAGACGATGAGGCAGTAGTCGCTTGATATACACACAGTGCTTTTGAATCATTTATTGGCGAATGGTGTTATCAATGGTCTTTGAATGGATGATGAAACCCTTTTTTCTATCTTTCCAGTTTGTGCGGTGCCCGATTATTTCACAGGTGGGAAAAGTGATATCATGTTTGCTACCCATTTATTGGTGATTTAGCTCGGTCCTAATCTACCATCTACTAATGGAAAGGCACTTGTTCCATCTATCTCCATTGCGTAGTGCATGTTAAATGTAGTATGTCTATCCAAGTCATTGAAGTCAATCACCATTATAATCCCGTAGTCATCCAGACCCTTGAAAGAAGCCAGAGGATCATCAAACTTTTTTGCCAGACGCCAGTTCCGATCAATGCAAGAAGGAAGAAAGAAATCAACGAAACCCCAAATGGGCCATTACCGCTTCCTCGAGTTCACGTTCCTACCAGCTCCGACGCGCACACGACCATGTTGTTTACGCTCACCACTCAAAATGTTGGGGAGGTAATCCTCGTCCATGAGGTCATGCTCTTTTCGCATTCTGCGGGTCTGCTCCGCAGTGGCGCGACTGAACTCCTTTTGATCCTCTGCGAAGATGAGCTCCGTACCCCAGCCACCCTTTCCACCGCCGCCCTTCCACTTGCCGTTTGAGCTGCCATGGACGGGCTTGGGGACGCTGTAGACGTTTCCTCGGTTATTCCACTGCATGTTCTTCTTGAGATGCATCGTGAACTGCCCACTTGAGTTCGTCGTGCAAGACACCCGGGTGAGCGTATCCTTGCCACAGCGCGGGCAGAATTGCTTGTTCATGTCCTTGGTGGTGGAAAAGCATGCGTGACAGCGCTTGACGAAGGACTTCAGGTGTCGGATGCGCTGCAGAGTGGTGGTCGAGAGGAGGTTCAGGTTCATCTGGAGAAGAACGTTTTGGCACTACATATGTGATCAGTATATGAGTCTGCTGTCTTAGGCGAAGAACGTACAGCGAAATCAGTAGTCATGGTAGCGACTTGCATGACCTTAGGCTCAGGAGCCGCCGACACAGAACTGGCTTCGTCGCGGGCCTGCCGCTTCTTCAAGTTCGAGGGCGTAATCCAGCCATGATCATCGTCGTCGTTCTCGTCGGAACCTTCCTCCTCGTCCTCTGCCGGGAGTTCAGCATTTTCTGAGATTACAACTTCTGGTTCAGGTTGCTTCTCGGCATCATGCTGGTCCTCCAGCTTTGCGTCCTTCAATTCCTCGGCGACAGCGTCGACATCCGTACGCTCTGCTTCAACCTCGGTATTCTTGGCCTCGACGGCCTCCTCAACTTTCTCTTCGGCAGGCTTGTCGGCCTCCTGCTCAGATTTGTTCTCCTGCGCAACAACAACAGGAGCGGGCGGCTTGCCGTTCACCTGCTTTTGACCGGGTACGCTGCGAAGTCTCCAATCGCCACCGTTTCGCTCACACTCGATCTCGTAGGCAAGAGCGATAACTTCAAGATCGGTTCGACTGAGCACGGCCCGGTCACCAGTCTTGCGGGCGAACTCGCTGATCACAGCGACACTCTTAGGGCTCGGGGTACGTTGCTTCAGGAAAGGGAGATAAAGGGTCTCAACACGCTGACGAGCGGCAGGATCTCGAATTTCGCTCACAACGGAGGGAGTGATGAGGAGTTCTTCGCTTTGGGCGAGCAGGGTTGAGAGCGGCGGGGTATTCTTGAGGATTGGGCCGGCATCGAGCACGATCGTGTGGACGGGCTTGGGCGTTGTGGTGGCAGGGGCAATTGAGTCCGCCATGATTACGGTCGCTAGAGTCGAGAACCTAAAATTATATCCAAGGATGAGAGTCGCCGATGGTCCGGGTGACAAGTGTGGAGGCTTCACCTGGCTGCTAAATTGAGGGGAAAAAAAGTTGTTGATGTCGGAGATGGAAAATGAATGCGATGGGATTTTCCCGCTTGGTCTGTGCGTGGCTTATCCTTATCTTAGCGTCTTTTTCCCCTACTGTAACCACTCCTTCTTTCTCTACGGTATTCTACCACATCTTCCAGTCTACTTCTCGAAACCCGCCGACTAAGGTATACATCTTACTTATTTAGACTCGAAACCGTATCATCAGGTCTAAAGTTGATCATCTCAGTGGATCCTTGACGCATCATATCAACGCCATTGATGTCTCCCCCATTCCCGGTTACGCAGCTGCTTCGATTCCAAATCACATGGCAATGACAGGTCAACTCAACCAATCCCTCGACTTGTCATTTAAGACAGCTCCAGAAAATATCGCATGGCATCTTTGTTGCAAAGGAAGAAAACTTACTCGCATACTTTTTCTACATAAAATAAGAAGAGCGCATCTGCCTCAAAGCAAGAACCACACGAGGTTCTCCAGAATCACGACGATTGCATACATAGCTCGCTTTCGCACGGAGTTCTCCGACTAAGCAAGGGCCTGTCTGTCTCGTATCCCAAAATGTTCGAAGTCAAAGCAGTCGGCATGACTCGAACCGAGCAAGTCCGCACGGCGCGCTTGACACAAAAGTACCTTTCCTGCGACCGTGGTGTGGCCATGCTGTGGATCAAAGTGCAGATGGATGTTACAGTGAGTGGCGAGCTGGAAGAACGGAGACGGAGTTCCAGGGACGGAGCCATGACTGTCTTTTGTTTGGCATGATGCGCTAATGCAGGCTTCCATGATAAACTGCAGGGTGACTGACAGCATTGCAGCTGATGCGCTGACAGGTACGAAGATATTGGTATCTGGTCGGGGCTACTGAGGAACTAGAGACATCATGCAAGCCTTCCATATAGTCTCGGTTTCTATGCAGCCTGAGGCAATGCACAATTGGTTTGGAGCCATATAGCCTCATGCAACACAAGGTGCTGATGCCGCCAGAGCGAATCTTCTGGTCCTCATTGCGAGAGGCTGGACTGCTGGGCTGGGCTTGATTGCGATCTCGCGAAAAGTCGACCAGCACGACCTTATCACATGGCGATAGAGCCTTCACGTGTCGGCCTTGGTTTCACCTCAGCATGCCTGGTTCATGCCGATTCCTTCCAAACCCAGGGCGCGACATTGGCACATCCCCCGGCACGGTCTCACCTCATGGCGATACACTGCCTAGCGCTGCTTCTCGTCGATTTGGACATGAATCATCGAAGTTCAAAGTAGATATGAGCCCTGCCCATGGAAGGAGTAGTTATTTGGTGTAGTTGTCGAAACTGGGAGCCAGCCGAAACCCTAGGCGTCGCCATTGCCTATTGAGCACTTGGATGCGCTTAGAGCTCATCGTATCGCCTACCCAGGAGCCTTGATATTCCATTGAATTATACTATCGACGGACAGAGTTTGAATCTTTCAATACCGACAGACGTGGCGTTCTGTGTCGGCTAGGATCATCTCTCTGGCCAATCCAGGAGAAGGAGGCACCGATCAGCCAATTGATGCGGCCTGAAGTGAGACTATGGCTGCAGTCACGGCTGTGATAGTCACTGCATATGCCAAACAACATGCTTGTTTCCCTTAAACAAGCATCATTGTGGCCAGTTGGCCTGTCTCTCCAACAATCAACAAGTTTTGAAGCCCAACAATGCGACAAAAGGAGTGAGTCAACCAAAATCATCTAATAGCGACTGGTAGTATTGGCGCTGGTTGGTTCTTTTCCTGTTCGAAGGCTTAGGCGCATTAGCGGATGTGATCTATCACTTCTTTATTTACCTTCGGCGTTTCAAGCCAATGACCACAATTAATCGATGCAATTAATCAAGCAACCGCAATTTCTCGACCTGCATTGTTTTTCATGTCAACTCACGGGTCGCACTGTACTCCGTACTGCACGGCTACACGAAGACCCATTGCTCGGTACTTTGTTCCCCAATTCTCCCCCTCTCCACCCCCCTCCCCTGCAGGTCCGTTATTTCATGTGGCTCATCTCCGTGCAGACCCAGAGAAGAGGTAAATGACAGATCGCCACGACCAAGAAAGGGAGTGTCAAAGTATTTCACAATACGTACGGAGTACCTCAGACAGTCTTATGGAGACTGGGATTATGGGATTGCTCCACTTTCCCCTCTCTTCCCTCCAACTGAAGTCTCGCGGGTCACTCGTATCCCTTGCTCTCTGTCACTCATGTTGAGCGAGTGTCTAGTCCCTGCTTTGTGCGACAGAAGCTAGAAGTGCCCTTGCTAGGATGGAGAGATGGAGATGCCAACCCCAGGGGAAAGTGTTGGACATTGAGAAGGTGACCGGAGATAATCCCTGCTGCAGCCCTCCTAGGCTCTGCGCCGGGGGGAAAGGGGATTGACAGCTCCGCTCCAGTGTCAAGAGAGTAAAACACCCATCCAGGACCCACGATCTGCCTGCATCTGCCATCCCTCTAGATTTCTTGGGTACACTGAGGGTACGCATTGTATCAAAGATCCCTCTTCAGACTTGGGGGCACAGGTACTGTACTGTCGGGGGCGAAGAAAAGTACTGTGTTCCATACGTTGTGTACGTATGAGATATGCAAACATCAAACCATATGCATAGTCCAATCCTCATCTGCGCCCAACCAAAGGGAGGCGAAGAGTCTTGGAATAACTCGTCGATCTATCGCGCAGCTCCACTTTTCGTCTTACTTGACTGGCTCGGGGGATTTGGCATCCATAGACTGTGGATACTGTCATCATTAGTGACACCAGAAGGCTGGAACTGGTCGCTTGGTCCTCTGCTGTGCGTCGGCCCTAAGTGCAGTCTGCGTTGCAGCCAAAATGGTCGATATCACACAGAAAGGCAAACAAATATTCCGCTTCCAACACCAAAGGAGAGCTGATGGGAAATCAAGGGCCTCTCCACCGACAACTATCTATCGAACTAAAAGTCTAGTGTGGCTGTTCTCCATCATTTGCTTGATTGCCCTCTCCCTTGCTTGCTTTTTCTGCCTTCTCCTTCTCTGCGACTCCCATGATGTCTTAGCGTCTGCCCGCAGATCCGGAGAAGGATTGAGACAAGAGCGAAGATCTACACGGGTATGATGGCGTTGGTCTGTGTTGCATCTCGACCTTCAGACCGTTAATGGGGTCTGCAGGACCACAACTGTTTATAAATCTACCCTCTCCTCCTTCCCCTGTGAGTAATCCCCCTCTTTGTGAGATGCCACACACTGCTCGGTCGCTAATCGGGGTCACCTAGACCCCAGGGTTTATATGTATGAACCTCCCCGACTAGCATCACGGAGGCCGTTATACCATTGGGCCATCCATCGTCGATCGTGGGAAGACACGGCAGTCCTGCACGCAACAATGACGGAATCCTACCTCTTTCATGTCAGCCGCTCTGAGGATGCAGCAAATGGATCGTACTTGTCCTCTCGAGGAGCTCAAGCGCTGTCTGTCAGTGTTGTTTTCACCACGCTGGCAACCCTCTTTGTCAGCGCTCGCATTTATACTCGAAAAACCTTGATGAATCGCATGGAACCCAACGATTGGATGATCTTGATCGCCTTGGTACTGACCCTGTTGGAGTCGTTGCCCATATTTCAGTACACTTGACTGACGCTTGTTCAGGTCTTATCATTTGTCTTCATGGCGTTGTTCACTGTGGAGGCTCTAAATGGGATGGGAATGCGTCAAGTAGACATCCCGCCTCTCATTCTCGAGAAGCAAATGAAGGTATGTGCAACATGCTCCCTAAGCAATTAATTAGTGGCACTAACTCTTCGGCATTATGAATCCTAGGCCTTCTGGCTTACCATCCCCTTCTACAACGCCGCCTTGCTTTGCGCCAAGGCCTCGATTCTGATGCAGTACTTCCGTGTCTTTCCAACCAGACGGATGCGACGCATCTGCTGGCTCATGATTGCCGTGTTGGCTACGTACGGGACCTGGGCTGTTCTGAGTGCTTTCCTCAATTGCGTCCCCGTGGCCAAGTTCTGGGACCCATCGATCCCGGGGTTCTGTCTGAGCTCGGAGGGTCTGTGGTTCTCCAATGCATCGATGCATATCACCACCGACCTAGTCATCCTCATCATCCCGATCCCAGCGCTGATGGCACTGGAGCTACCGAAAAAACAGAAGATTGCGCTGATTTCAATCTTCGCAATAGGCGGATTGTGAGTCAGCTGTCACCGGAGACCCCTTGCCGTATCCTTTGAGCTGAGCACGCTAACAACCACAATCTCTTCAGTGTGTGTGTCACCAGCATCTGCCGCCTAGTTGCCCTCAAGAAGATCGCCGACTCCTCTGATCCCACCTGTAAGTCAGATCCCCCTTGTTCCCCTTCCCCCGCAAAAAAAAAAAAAAAAAAAAAAAAAATCAACCAGGCCTAATCGAAGACCGTGAAAACAACAGACGACAACGTCGGCGCCGCCTCCTGGTCTGCCATCGAATGCAACACCGGAATCATCTGCGCCTGCCTCCCGACGCTCCGCCCGCTGGTCTCGCGCATCCTGCCGCATCTCCTCTCGACCCTCAGCGGCGGCCGTCAAGCCTACGGCACGTCGCCCCTGTCCGGCGCCCAGGCGCCCACCTACTGGAACGGCACCGGCGCCACCGTCACCACGACCATCACCACCCACCTCGACGACCTCGAGTACGCCCACTGCGCCGGCGACGCCGACCGCTACCTCACCTTGGTGCCCGGCAACGACGTCAACGGCCAGGGCAAGCTCATGGTCCGCGAGACCCATCACCCCGCCGGAGGAGGAGGAGGAGGAGGCGCGGGGGACTTGAAGGAAGCGTTGGCCCGCGAAGAGCAGCGAGGAGACAGTTCGTCCTCCTCGTCGCCGCCCCGCGGAGCCGGGATTCTTCTCGGATAACCAACCAATTGGATTGTGGGAGTTGTGTTGATGCTATCGCTAATCGTGACGGTACAAAATCAAGGGACAGCTCCTCCGGGGCGGGTGAAGAGCAACGGTCGGTTTTTTTTGTTTCACTTCAGTATATATATCCAGGAAACGCTATACCCACTTCTCTCTTTGTCGATTCTCTGTCACCACAGACTCCATTGACCTTCTTTTAGCTACGGCTGTGGTCTCGTTCACTTACTTTTTGCGAAGTAGCACGTTTTGCTTTATTTTTTTTGTCTTATCTTTTTTTCATATATACCTTTTACTTGATATGTCTTTGGCATGATTGAGGCAGTGATGGAATGGATATGAATAATTTTAGTCGAATGGGGAGTAAAATATAATCTATGGTGAATTAAAACTCGTGTGACCAAATCACTGGGTTCACATGAGAACCTATTGCGCGCCCGCAGAGAATTTGAGAATATATCAGGATCACGTATCGTATCCCAACCGTGGGAGGGGTCTGGTCTGTATCACTCTATTCACAACCGCATGAAAGTGTAGAGAGTATGGAGTAAATTTCTAGCCTTCATATCATAGGCTTGTATGCAATGCGACCCTGCTACATCTTCTCGCCCCTCTCTAGCTGAAATATATAGTCTAGACAAAACATATACCAGATTCTACTACCCCGATCCAGACCTACCTAGTACATCCCCGACCCGAACATTCTTTCAGACTTCGGGTGCTATGCTCTAGAAGGCCGCAAACTCCGCATCCACCTCCTCGAAGTGATCGAAGAAACCCTTGAAGAGCTTGACACCCAGACCGGGATCCAGACTACCGGTGGTGGCACGGATGCTGTGCATGCTGAGCTGGGGGATGCCCATGTCGATGGCGCGCATGCCGATGCGGGCACTGGTCATGGGGCCGATGGTGCCGCCGCTGCGGGAGTCGTTGCGGATCTGGAAGACCTGGAGGGTGGCGCCGCACTTGTCGGCGATGCGCTTCATGAAGCCGTGGCTGACGCTGTCGGTGGTCATGTGGCCGTTGGAGTCGGCGGAGACGGCGACGCCGACGTTGAGGCGCGGGGCGTGGTTCTCCAGGTAGACGTTGAGGAAGTTGGGGTTGACAGCGTGGATGACGTCCGAGGAGACGAGGAAGCTGTTGGCGACGGTCTGCGAGAGGAGGTTGGGGCCGTATGCGGCGGCGGCCGGGTCGGCAAAGGCCTCGGTGATGCGCTCGAGGATGCTGGACATGAAGTTGGAGCGCGCGCCCTGGCGCAGCAGACTGCCGATCTCCTCGTCGTCGAACATGCCGACCATCTTGATCGAGGCCGGCGAGGTGGAGTCCGGCGAGGCCAGGAGCGCCTCCTGCGCCGCGTAGCAGCAGAGCTTGTCGTCGATGCGGCCCGCGAAGATCAGGTCCTTCTCCAGGCCCCCCAGCTGGGCCGGCTGGCTGTCGTAGAGCTCCAGTTCCCACGAGACAATCGTGTTGGGGTCGTGGATCTGGAGCTCGCGCGAGATGACCCGGACGAGTTTCTCGGGCTGCGTCGCGGCGAAGCTGCCGGGCTGGAAGGCGGACGGGGTGTTGGCGGACGTGGAGAAGAGGTCCGAGTTGTCGACGCCGATGATGGGCACCATCTGCGTCTCCTTGTTGAAGGGACCCTGGCTGGGGGCGCCGAAGTGCGGCGCCAGGGTGGGGACGCGCGCAATGGGCCAGTCGAGCTTGACCAGCTTGGACTCGATCTTCCCGCTGCTGGGGTCACGCACGAGCACTCGCCCGCCGATCGAGAGGTCCCGATCCCACCAGGTCTCATTCAGGGCCCCGGCGTAGGGCGCCACGCCGAGCTGCACGAACCCGGCCTTCGTGGGCAGCTTCGACACCGGCTTCAATTTGGCGGTGAGGGCGTCGATGTGTCCGGCCACGATCGCCACGCCATTGCCGCTCTTGTACTCCTTGCCGACTGAGAAGGAGATGAAGGCGCTGGAGTTCCGCGTGCAGTAGTATTTCCCACCACGCACGAGCTTGTTCGTCCAGGATTCGCGCTCATGCAGGCGCTTGTACCCTTTGCTTTCGAGCTGGGCGGTGAAGGCGTCGACGGCGTGGAAGATGGTCGGGTTGGCGGTCATAAAATCACAATACGGCTGGGAGTACGCACTCGGATCGAAGGAGGCGGTGGAAGGAGGTGATACCGTGGTTGCTTGCGTGGGATAGACATGGTCGGGGAGCGGGCCGGTCTGGGAGGCTGGACGATGAGCCAGGGCGGCTTCTCGAAGCTCAATGAAGCTCTTCTTGGCCATTGTGCAGTGAAGAGGGTGGATACGGTTTGAAAGCGTGACTTGAGACGTAGAGAATAGGTAGAGATGTTGGAAGGAGAGGATAGAGAAAGAATAATTGAAGATGGGGGGGGAGGGGAAGAGAGTTGAGGGTAGGTGGAGAGTTGAGGAGCGTGAGGAGCGTGAGGAGCGTGAGGAGAGGCTTGGAGACACGGAGCGAAAGGCGGAGCTCCGGTGGATCAGTCAGTCAGTCAGCTGGGGAAGTCAGTTGGAGATGTGATCGCCCCTCGGCTGTCCCTTCTCTCCTCCTCTTGCATCCCATCCTTGTATCTTCCGTCACCTTCTCTATTCCTCTATTCCAGTCAGCTTCTCAATGCGACTCAATGCGACTACAGAGTACAGCTCTAGGCATCATGGATATTGTCCATCTATCATTCTGTAATCTACCATCAGTTTACAGTCATCATCCGCTCTAATCAGCTATCCTTATCCGGAAACGGCCCTCACGATAAGCGATCCGATCCATGATGTCGCCATAGTTATCAACCCCATCTAGTCGCTTGAACCTACATAACAATTCCAGTTCACATTGCCATCCTGACATTCCTCTGTAATGGCCGGTCCAGTTGCCGATGCCATCACCTGCTCGTCGCGCACAATCATGATCTGCACGGGTCCTGTTTCTCCATCGAATGGAACCGAGCAGTGATGAACGCCCGCCCCCAAGACTTGTACGATATTGAGCGTTCCATCCCCAATCTGGATATGAATTTCGCTCGGGCTCCCCACAATCACGCTGACAAACACCCGATCCTGTGATACCTCGCCCGGGTGCAATGCCTCTTGGCCCACCCCCGGGTTATTGCCGGTCGTCCCATTGGTACTGCCAGCATGACTGGGGTTCGTGCGATACCAGTACACAATCTTATCTGCAAAGGACAAGTGAGGTCGGGGCTGGTTGGGATCCACCACGCCGCCGTTCCGGTAAGCGTCAATGTAATGGGGCAAAAGTGCCCGCCATGCGTCGTGAGGGTGTCCAAAACAATAGTGACCGGCTCCATCAGGTACCCCGGCCTCGTGGATGGGTCCGATATAGTGTGCTTCGCCGTAGTCGTTCCAGCTAATAATCTGTGATCAACGAGGTTAGTTGTCGAAGAATGAGGGGTTGGAAAAAGCCCCATACCTGAACCCAAGCCGGCTGCAATCTCATCACCTGCTCCCACCGATAGTGCCAGAGATCATCGCCGCGCCACAGCCAATTCTTGTCCCATTGGGGCAAGTTCGTGTAGAACCAAGGTGAAACGGGCATCATGTACGGTCGACCAGCCAAGGACTGCATCCAGTGTTCATCGTTGGCGGTGTTCTTCTGTTCAGCGCCTACGGGCCATGCGTCCCAACTGAAAGCACCATCCACAATGTCGAGGTAGTTGGCGATGGCGGCAGGGCCGCAGTCGGGCCAGCTAGGTACGAAGAAACAATTCGTGGCGCGCTTGATGTCGACCCAGTCTCCGGCGCTTGAGACGCCGATGAAGGTAGAAACCAAGGGCCTTCCTTCATAGAAATACTGGGGGCTGCGGTGTGCGAAGGTGTTGATGTAGTGAATGACACGGTCCACCGGCCATGGGCCCCCCGAACCATAGTCGAAGGAGAGGAATAGGGTAAAATTCCCGACTCTTTCCGCCGCGCTGTACGCATTTTCCAGGACACGCTCGGTGTAACTATCCTGGGGGGCGATGTTGAGCGCGAAGCCATCAATATGGCACCTTTGGGCCTCGATGATATCCGACTCCCATTGCTCGGGGGTCATGGCAGCCGCGCATCCCACCTAGAGTGCAGTTAGCTGAGCACTGTACTAGTCATTATCCACAATGATTTCCCTTACGATAAAATGCGCAAACACTGTCTGTGGTCCAGCTCTGGCGACCGCAGGGCTTGCTCCTAGTAGCAAAGGATTTGAGTCACTAATCAGCAAGACGGCATTTCCGCAAGCGAGAGGCCGTCCACCCGCAGGAATTCGATAAACCAACCTGGAGGGAAAACAGGAGCCGTCTCTGGTGTCGGCCAGGGACCATCTGGCTGGTTCGAAGGCGGGCTGTAAGGTTGAGGAGAAGCAGGTGGGGATCCATACTTCTCTTTGACATGCTGGTGAACGCGATCCAGGAAATTCCCGAATCGTCCCATGGTGGCGGTGGTAGTGTTTGATGTATCTCCTCAAGAGTGAAGCCAACACCCGACTCACGTGTACAGTTCCAACTTCATGAATCTAGATAGACAGCAGATACTGTGTTTTTGTTTTTATGAAAGCCAAGAGTCGGGGGAAGTTGATCCGAGGCTGTTTTTCAATAGTGGGGGGCAAAGCCTGTTGCCTAAGGGTGAGAACAACCGCCTTTCCATTGTGTTGTTGTGTGTCGATGTATGTATGCTTCAATAATAATCTCTACCAGCAACGATCAACTTAAGTTTAGGTATTTTGTGCAACTGCATTGGATTGGGACAATGCAAGATTTGTCATCAATATCGTTCCTTGATGGAACCGAGTCAAGTTGTGCGGGGGAAGCTGGTGATAAATGACGTCATGGCAGTTCCTTTTCCAACAGCTGAACCGATGATGGGGATTCGTATTCAAATGCCCTGGCAGTGGTTGCAGAACCCTCACTACCTATAGCTGTTCAAAGCTGCAAGTCTAACCACTAAGAGCCAGATGAGAGAGATAGCATACTATACTCATTGGAATTAATTCCATGGAACCGGGTTCATACGAGAATGAAACAAACGACCTCACTGTGATGTCAGCCGCAGGCGGCGAACTTGACTTGACCATTGATATATTATCTATCAAACCCTCCAGGAAGTCGTACCATGAGATGATTTCATGATTCTCTGTACTACTCGAATTTACTGACTACATATCATTGATCCACAACAATGGCAGCAACAACCCAGGCTGCTAATTTGGTCGAGAAGCTGGTCGGACACAGTGACAATGCCACCGTCACCACGGATGTGAGCAATTATGCCAAGGGAGAGAGTGGGGAAGAGACCGGAGAGAAGATCAAAGCCACCATCTGGCAGGGCAAAAACACCGTTGAGGTGGTGGAAATGCCCAAGCCAAGAGTTATCGATGAAGGGGACGTGATTGTGAAGATCACCGGTAGCACGATCTGTGGAAGCGATCTCCACCTTTATCATGGTATACTACAGTCCGAACTTGCTATGCCAAGCAATCAGACTGCAAGGTAGTTCTGACTCGGTGCATCATAGGTGTTGTTCCTCAACTCGAAAAAGGTGACGTGCTGGGACACGAATTCTGCGGCGTTGTGGACAGCGTCGGACCCGGAGCAAAGAATGTCAAGGTCGGAGATAGGGTGGTGGCATCTTTCCCTATCGCCTGCGGCCAATGCACGAACTGCAAGAAAGAGCTGACTTCGGCCTGTGAACGGACCAACGAAAACACCATCACTAATGCCATGTATGGGAAGCGCACTGCAGGCAAGTCTTCCAGACAAGGACATCGATTTCTCAGCGCTTTAAAGGGCAGCTTGTTAACCAGACTCTTGGACAGGTATGTTCGGCTACAGCCATTTCACGGGTGGCTTCGCTGGAGGCCAAGCTGAATATGTCCGTGTGCCATATGGCGATCAGAACCTGCTGGCACTTCCCGATGATGTCCCTGATGAGAAGGGTTTGTATCTCTCCGACGTCCTTGCCACATCGTATCACTGTGTGGTTGACACCGGAGTCGACAAGGGCGATGTGGTTGCCATTTGGGGTGCAGGGCCGATTGGTCAAATGGTGGCCAGCTTCAGTTTTATGCAGGGCGCCAGTCGAGTGATCCTCATTGACGGTGGCGACGCAGCGTGGCGCTTGGACTTTGTCAAGAGTAAGTTGCCCAAGGTGGAAACGATCGATTTCACTAAGCTGCCGCGTGGTGAATCCATAACCTCCCAGTTGAAGAAGGTGGTCCCCGGTGGACCGGATGTGGCGTTGGAATGTGCATCGGGAGAGTTCGCAAAGGGATGGGCGCACTACTTCGAGGTTCTCCTGGGATTGGAGACTGATACCTCGGAGATGTTGAACGAGATGATTACATCCGTCCGGCCATTTGGACGGGTTGGCGTTACCGGGATCTACACTGGCTTTGTAAGTGTCGCCACACGACTAACGTGACAGCGGCGCGTTGCTGATTGATGGACCATAATTTAGACCAACCACTTCAATATTGGTGCTCTGATGCAGACTGGCATCCGCTTGATCGGCAACGGTCAAGCTCCCGTGCACCGCTACTGGAAGCATCTTCTGGAACTCATCCGCAAGGGAGAGATCAACCCCTTGGACATGGTCACGCATCGAGTACGTCTAGAAGACATGTCTAGACTGTACGAGCTATTCAATAGCCGCGAGGGAGGCATCCAGAAGGTGTTTGTCGCAACCAAGCATTCATTCCCCCCAGCCGAAGGAGCGCCTGCTCTGGTTGATTTGTGATATGCTTGGGGGGTTCACGGACGTATATTGACAGCTTTCATGTTTATTGTATCAAGGATGACAGTGTATGACTCCAAACTGTATACTGTAATGTGCAAATGAAATCTAATCCGCATGCATACGACGATCTGCCTAAAGGAGAATTTTCGGACAAAGGACGGGAATCGAGAGGGTCGAGCGAGGCGAGCATCGGGGGATTTTAGTGAGTCACTAACCAGTCTTGCTTGCTGGGAGGCATGACTGCATTGAGAGCTCGACTTGCTACGTCTGAACGCCGCTAACGAGAGTAAGTTACTGGCTCCTAATATTTCGGAGGGGGCTTTCTCAACACGTGTGCACGTATTCTACACATGGATATAAAGATGTATCCAACCTCCTGCACACGGCCGCGCTGAACTGGTTTCTCGAGACTTCTGACGACAAGCCCAAAGGAAGCCGAGCCAGATCGGCCCGTTTTCGCCCTCATCCTTCCGTTCTTCGGCATTTGAGGTCGAAGTGGACTCGGGGAGGACTGGAGACGCATGCAAGGGCTTTGATTGATAAGAAGAAGAATTTTTCTCCCGACCCTCTTCCCCTCTCTTTCAAGTTGTCTCAACCATCCCTCTCCATTTGAGCTAAACTGAACCAGGTTAAGAGAAGGAGTTCTCGAGACTGATCATTGACGGTTCTGGTTGGTGCATTACGAGTCTATGACACATTTCGCACACCGGGGATTCGCTGGGATTCCCGAAACGGGAAAAGTGGGATCAGATAAGATCAGGCGACGGAGGGAAAACTCCTGCCGAGGCCGTTTTCACTCTCGACTTCTTGCACTTTTGCACTTTTGCACTGCACGTTCCAAGGGTGACCTTGCGAGCTTCATTACTAACAGTATCCTCACCAGCCCCCATTTCCCCTCCGGCTAATCAATCCGCACTTTATGAATGGAGTAACCTAGCCCGAACTGTTTCCGGCCCAAGCTCGGATCCTCCGCCGAAGTTCAGCGTTCTTATGTGTCAGACCTCGTGCACCAAATGGCGAGCATGGAATTTGGTTTTGCCCTTGCCATATGCTAAAACGCTTGGCAAGGAAGAGGGATTGTCGCTTTCTCCATCACCGGATGTCCGCGCTCATCGCGGATAAAACTCTAGCAGAATCCATTGACCAACAGGATCGTAAACAAGGGGAAAGAAAAACAAAAAAAAAAAAAAAAAAAAGGACTCATGTACCCACACGGGTGGTTTTGGGAAGAGGAGCAAAATTTCTTCTTTACCATGGGTGATGAACGAGTCATGGAAGTCATGACTTTTTCTTTTCACTGAAGCATACTATACAGAACACAGTAGCTTCTCCGTTTGAGAATGGAACTGCTCGTGGTAGACTGAGTAGAAGGACATGACTTGTCTATAAGCTCTTAGATGATGCTTCTACCAATCGTGATGGGACAATGATAAAATCAAGGGTGTTTCTGCATCAGCCCTACTGAGAAGAACTCGATGCTAGGCCCAGCATACGAGCTGGATGGAGCGCCGGAGCATACCCTAAACCCCAAGTTCGAACCGGCAGGGAATTATTGATTGATAACCCGCAGTCTACCACGGGACGGACGAATGAGGGTGGGCAACGAGTGGGGGAGCCACTGGAACTCCGAAGTCGGTGAAAGCGCACGATAATCTAATCTGATCCGATCATTCATTTTTCCCTCTCTGTTTCCCCCCCTCCTTCTTTCCTTTTCCCTTCCTCCATTTCTTCTCAGCTTTCCTTCTTCCTCGGTCGCTTTTGGTGTCTGTCCGTCCTACTCCTCCTCCTCCTCCTCCTCCTCCTCCTCACCTCAAGCCTACTTGCTTCGTTTTTCCTTCCACTCATTCCCTACCATACTCACTCTGCTATCAATCTATCTATACAGGGTCAATTGCTGTCCCTTCCTCTCGAAACAATTGGTTTGCAGCCAGCAATTCCGTTGTCTCGCTTACCGGCTGAAGGGGCGCACTTCCGCTCTTCCGGCCGAAGCGATCCAGTGACACCACCACCACCATCACCGCCTTTCCTTCTGCCGGTTAGCCCGCCTTTCTTCCTTTCTTCTCCGAACATCTCCTCACCAGTTCCTGAACCACCCATCTCCATCTCCATCTCCATCTTCATCTTCACCCATGATATGTCCACTGATCATACTACAGACTTCCTCTAAATCAATAGAGGATTTTTCTTTACCATGGCCAGTCCGACTGCTCTCTCGATAGCCCCTGGTCCGGGTCCAGCGCCGCTGGCTCCCGCACTGGCTGCCAAGCCAGCTATCTCACCGTCTCCTGGTCCGGGCACACCCGGCTCCGTCACCTCCAAGGAATGGGTGATTCCTCCTCGCCCCAAACCTGGTCGCAAGCCGGCCACAGACACTCCACCCACCAAACGCAAGGCCCAGAATCGAGCCGCTCAGAGAGCGTTCCGCGAACGTCGAGCCGCCCGCGTCAACGAGCTCGAGGATCAGATCAAGAAAATCGAAGATGAGCACGAGATTCATATCGCTGCCTTCAAGGACCAGATTGCAAGCCTGTCCAGCGATGTCGAACAATGTCGAAGTGAGATGGCTTGGTGGCGCGACCGATGCCATGCCTTGGAGAAGGAGGTCTCTGTCGAACGGAGTGCGAAGGAGACTTTGGTGCGAGAGTTCCGGACAACTCTTACCGACAAGAGCTCCGACAAGGCTCCTCTGACCCGAATCGCTGCGAGAAACCCGACCGAAGACCGAGCGGCCAGTGATCGCGGGTTGCCGACCGGCAGGTCTACCGCCGTGGTTGAAGAACCACGGGAGGAGGTTCCGTTGGGCTGCGGGGATTGCTCCTCTGTCCACTGTCAGTGTATTGAGGATGCTTTTGCCATTCCGGGAGTTGAGACTCGGTCTTCGCTGGGCAAGCGGCCTGGCAGTCCTAGTCTCACACGACCCGAACCAGAGATCAAACCGGAGCCTGAGGAGATGGAGATCGACTTCACCACGCGGTTCGCCGCACCGCATACTATTCAAGACGACCATAGCACCTCCGTCTCATCGCCAGCTGTAGACCCCTGCGGGTTCTGCCAGGATGGAACACCCTGTATTTGCGCCGAGATGGCGGCCCAGGAGGAAGAGCGTCGAAGGAATTCATTTGAGAACAATCGGCTGGCGCCCATTCAGAACCTATCTCAATTCACACCACCCCCATCGGAAGGCGACGTTCGGTCCGACGTCACGCTACCCCCAATCAGTCAGGCCACAAATCCGTGTGCCAATGGGCCGGGAACATGCGCTCAATGTCAGTCCGATCCACGCCGGACCCTTTTTTGCAAGACGCTGGCGGCCTCCCGCTCCGCCAGCGCTGCCTCCTCCGGTTGCTGCGGCGGTAAGGGCGCCGATGGCGGGTGCTGCATGTCTCGCGGGAGCAACCCTCCCCAACCCACTGCCAGTTCGCGTCGCTCCAACACGCCCTCCTTGACCCTCTCCTGTGCTGATGCCTTTACCACCCTCTCCCGGCATCCTAATTTCTCTCGAGCAAGTGACGATATCTCCGCCTGGCTCCCTAAACTCCACACCCTCCCCAAACCCCAGGAGGTAGCTCCGCCCGGCTCCCGAGCGGCCCTCGAAGTCGAGGCTGCCAGCGTCATGGGCGTCTTGCGATACTTTGATCGACGTTTCGCCGATAAATAGATGGCGGACGAACCCTTCTTTCTTCACTTGTCTGCACTTGTCTTTATATTCTCAGTGATACCCAACACCCGATTCATGAATGTTTGAGTTTGTATTATACAAGACTATACACTCCCGAACCTCTTGCCTCTGTCTCCTCCCTCCATCCTCCTTTCTAACCAATCTCTCCCCCTGGTGTCTCCCTTCCCTGTCACCTCCTACGTCATCCCCGCCAGTCTACAATTTTAATGTAACTCATTCACCCCATGACTCTTCACCTCTTACCAACGGGTACACTTTACCTCCTTTTCCTAACCCCCGGTTGTCAACCCTCCTTTTATGGGTCTTCCTGACAGAACGACTCTCTTCATCCTTCCCATTCCTCTTTCCAGTCCCCTCCACACCCCATGACTGGAAATAAATTCCGATCTCAAAAGCAAAAAGTCAATCTACCTGCAACCATAAACCCTGGATATTTACGATGTGCTACACAATGCTACGCTACGCTATGTTATGTTATGCTAGGCTATGATTCTATCACGAACCCCGCCCAAAAACAAAAAAAAAACCAAATCAAAACCCTCCACTCACCCCAGCGGTGATTTCCAACGCGTGTGCCAAGCCAAAGCGTCTAATGAGTCTAGATGGGTTGAAATGAAATGAACTGGCGTTTTGTGCTGTTATCTACTTCGGTATTCATGTTTCGCAACGTGATGTGTGTATGACCCGGAAAGCCCGTTCTTGAGATACATGTCCAACGACAATGAATGTCTTTTTGAATTGATCGAGCAGAAGCGGGCCCAGGTGCAACGTGTCACAATTCGAGCCTAGAATTTTATGATTTTGGGCAATCGCCCAGGGGTTCATCCTGTAAATCTGGCAGGTGCCTTGCTTGCCTATATCTATACTAGATCACACCGCCCCCCTTGAAAAGCCCAACGCCGTCCGTCCTTGCTCCGAGTTCATTCCGCTACATTGAAGACAGGAGACAAGTTGATAGAAAAGAAGCCCGATCCGAGAAACATGTTGATGGAGAGATAAAAGTACATTCCGTAGCGGCGTTAGATAGTATACTGATATTAGAAAGTACACCAGACATCGTTCCACTGGTAGATGAAGGAGCGGAGGGGAGGATAGTAGGAAGAAGGGTAAGGAGAAGTTGAGATGGTATAGAAAAACAAGTGGTAAAAGATGGTGTGTGCAGGGAAAAAAGAAACGTCGTTAAGGTGTTTTTACAGATCGTCGCCGTGTGCATGAGCGATGATGTGGGGTGCGGAGGGTGCGGGGGGTCGTTGGCTTCTTTTGCTTCACCCAAAAGAAATCGTGTCATGATGAAGTTGTTGGGAGCTTGTGGAGAGGTTGGCTAGCTTGGCTTAGCTGGAATATTGAGAATCCGCTTCGTCGTCCTCATGTCCTGCGGTATTCTGAGGGGTCTCGGCAAATTGTGTGGGATTATCAGCCGAGTCGGCAAGGGTACGGGCTTGGAGGGCTTTGGCTCTGCTCTTTGCATCCGACGATGCTGATATAGCTCTGCAGCTGGTTTAAAACCGACCTCCGCTCATCCTGGCATCGTCGTCGCCGGCCACGCCGACCGTGCCAAGTAGGTTGGCGCCCCAGATACCAGCGATCCCCCACATGCCGATGCGCCAGCCTCGGTAGAGACCTTGAATTCCCTGGCCCTGACGCTTGCGCTGAGTGACGGGCTTCTTCAGCAGCTGGCGCGCCCGCTCAACTTCCGGTGTGACTTGCACTCCTTCCTCGTACACAATCCCCCACATAGTACCCACAATACCCCGGTAGGTCTGGGGGGTTGGGACGATCGTCTCGATCTCCGAGGCCTCTTCCGCGTTCGCGGAGGTTTCAGCACGTACTGAACGACTTGACTGCTGGCGGATGCTAGGGGAAGTGAACGTCGCAATTTGGGCGCGGCGCAGTACAGTCTCGAGCGGGAACCGGACCGCCAATTCTAGACCGGAGCTCAGGAAGGTGAACAGGCTCCAGATGGACGGATTGAGCACGGGATCGAGAGACAGATACGATTTGAGGATTAATGGAGTTGTGTTGGTGATGAAGTTGGGCAGACTGGAGTGGAGGACGGTGATGGGCACCAGGTGGGACGGAATGGTGCAGTTGGGAGTCGGGATTTGGCGGATAGCTCGTAGCAGGGAGCGCGGGCCATGCGTAGCTGGGGTTAAGATAAGGAATGTTCGCGCGGTATCAATCGGGGAGAGGAGCATTGCCGACAATGAGGAGGAGATGAACGACAAGAGTAGGGTCGCCATCGGGGAAGTCGACGTCAGGATGTCGGCTGTCATTGAGGAAGTCACATCCTCCTCCGGCAAGCCGACAATCGCAGAGAGCAAGCTGCGGATAAATGTATTTAAGGTGGGCAGGAGAAGGGAGTAGATGAAGGTGGCATTGGTCGCCTTCCAGGGCGAGGTCGGGCCACTGGTGGTCCAGAGCTGCGACAAGACATCCATGAGGGAGCTTGGGTTCTTGATGGTGAGGGCATGTCTCGATGAGGTCGTGGAGGGAATGTAGCCGCTTCGATCGGTGATATGGCGGCGGTGAGGCTTGCGGGATCGGGGAGCTGAGGGGGAGGCTGCGGCAGGTGCTGCGGAAGTAAAATAACTGCTTTCGTCATCCGACGACAAGGAGTCCTAGAGCCTGGAGGTGAGCTTCCGATTCTTGGAAAGAGCTGCTGAAACATACGTCTTCATCGTAGGAATCAATATGGCTTCCGGCACCCGATGCTCGGCGATCATGCATAGCCCATTGGCCGTCTGTCGCATCGCCGGGCGCGACATATGCCTGCAGGATGGTTTTGGCGACATCGAAAGGCTGTGAGGTCAGGACACTGGTGTAGCGCCAGAGGGCTTGGTCCAGAGCATCGCGAATCCAGCTGGAGACTGAGGGAGAGCTTTCGAGGTAGTCGGAATAATCAATATCGGGCAGCAGATCGCGTGCGGAACCGCCAAAGACTTGGGTGGCCGAGGATGACGCATCTGGAGGGGAAGCAGCATGACCGGTGTCCAACCCCAAAGATGGGGGGAAATAATAGGGGCGGAGGGGATTGGGCCCTTCCAGAGGAGAGGACATGATAGAGAAAAGGAGAAGCTAGAAGATGAATGGGGAAGAGAGAGAGAAATGGAGAGAGGAAAAGGGTGTGGTGGTGACTTGATAGTACTCCGTAGTAGTAGAGGATTTGAAGAGAAAAGAAAGTAAGGTAAGGTAAGGTAAAGCAAGGTCGGTCGGTCTCCAAAGAAGTTTAGTGAAGCCGAACCTCCAGCTCAAAAGAGGCAAACGCCGGCGAATGACAAGCCGCGGATTTCCCGCTGGTGTTTTTCGGGCTTTTCCACTTTTCCTCGCATTCTCCGCCATTTATTGAATTCAATCCAATTCAATTCGATTCATTCATTCATTCAGCTCCCTTTAATCTATCTGACGTCCCTCTCCACTCCTCTATCTTTGCTCGGATTCTTCTTATACCCCCCACCCTTTCATCACGCAATCAATCGCCATGTCCTTCCTGAGAGAAGCCGGACTTAACCTGCGCCATGTCCTGCCTCGGGCCGGCGAGAGCGTTGTTCGCGCTCCCTCGTCTCAGTTCCTTGCCAACCGATTTCCCCTTCAGTCCTCGCGGTCAATGAGCTCTGGTTGTGCTTCCCTGTCGTCCCGGCGATCTCTAGTGACCCCGCGCATCCAGAACCAGCGGCTGTCCGAGCGTAGGAGCTTCTCTGTCACCGCCGGAGTACAGCACGGTCACATCACGCCTCCCAAGCCTGGAGAGGAGTGAGTCACTCTCCCTCCTCTCTCCATAGACTACAACCTTCGATAAGAATCATTGCAATGTGCTAATTGTTCGCGCAGGATTAACATCTCTTTCATCGACAAGGATGGCGCAAAGTACGACTTCCAGGTCTCTGAGGGCGATAACTTATTGGATATTGCACAGGCTAATGACCTGGAGATGGAAGGTTCGAATAACATTGCATGTTCATGTTGTATGTGATTGATCAGCAAACTGACGGGAATGGAACACAATAGGTGCCTGTGGCGGATCGTGTGCCTGCTCGACCTGCCATGTCATTGTCGAAGATTCCGGCATGTTTGACAAGATGGAAGAGCCATCGGACGACGAGAACGACATGCTTGATCTGGCCTTTGGTTTGACGGAAACCTCCCGCCTGGGTTGTCAGGTAATCATGACTAAGGAGCTCGATGGTCTCGTGGTCCGGTTGCCATCCATGACTCGGAACCTGCAGGCAAGCGATTTCGAGCCGAAGCACTAATTCAATATAAGCGCGATGGAAGTGATTTTTGACTAGAGAATGATGTACGATATGTCTAGCGTCTATAACGGGGGGCGGTTATGTCACGAGGTGGCAAGGGAACATGTTTCCATTGGGTATTTCCGATCTCCCTTCAACATTCAACATTTTGCGGCACGAAAGTTTGTAAATAGAGCATATCACTTTTAATGAAAAAGAGTTGATCAAAGTAGAAAGAATAGGAACGTAGAGTAGCCCACCCCCCAAGAACGCCATGAATATGCCAGGTATACACACACGTTAAAAGCAACTAACTTCCTTCAGCATCACTCAAGCCTCCTCGATTTGCAACGGCTTGCCCTTCTTTCCGCTGATCAGGTCCAGGAATCCCTGCTTGCTAACTTCATTCACAGCCTTCTCGCGCTCGCCCATACCAATTGTGCCCTTCTTTCGCTCCGCCTTGGCGGCTTCCTCTCCACGAACCTGAGCGGCGCGGACAGCATTGAACAGTTTGACCACGCCACGCTGGGCGATCTTGCGCAACCGCTTCTCCTCCTCGGCCACTGGGCCAGCCTGGCCACGCTCCAATCCCATCACGTCGCGGATACGGCCACGATCCAACTCCTCCTTCTTCTCCGCCCGCATCTTAGCCCGCGCCTGGCGATCCAGCTTCTCTTCCGCCACCTGGGTACTCTTCTGGGCGGCGTCTCTGCTGCGGGACAGCACCGGGTCCTCGCGCATCGAGGAAGGGAGCTTGGTTGCCAAAATCTTGGCCATTGAGGTCGAGAACGCAGTGGGATCATGACGCTTAGGAACCGCCCGACCACCTGCCGTCGAGGCGGGATTGGAAGTGTCGGACTCTGCGCCCACGTCAAACTCATCGTCCTCCATTTCTTCCGAGTCGTCTGCATCCGAATCGGATGCCATATCTTCGTCGTCGGAGCTTTCCTCTTGCTTTTTCTTCAGCTGCTTCTTGGGGAGAGCCTTCTTGGTCGATTCGCCGATAGACCGGGTCTGTTTCTTGGGCTGCTTCACAACTTCCTCCTCGACGTCGGAGTCTGCCAAACTGACGGCTTGGAAATCGGTGGGTTCGTCGTCGTCATCTTCGGAGCTGCTGTGGTATGCGCGCTGCTTGCGGAACTTTTTCTGGGGACGGGATGCGATCGAGTCGAGGACTTTGCGCTTTTTGACGTAGGGGGCCATGGTGAGAGAATTGACACCGTAAGCTCGGTCTCTCGTGTGTATAAGATTTGGGAGGCTGTGGTGGAGATTGGGATTAAAATTGGTCGGTCGGTTTTCTTTCTTTTCTGTCGTTTTCCCGGGAAATTTTTGGAGGGTCAGCGGGCGGTGAGACACAAAGAGGCGGTGATTGGCGGGGCAGGCTCTCCGCATCGCGTTGGCCTCATTGAGATGGCCCAGTGGAGTCAAAACGCCATCCAAACTAACTTGCCTCCAGCTGTCTTCATATCTCCTTGTCGTCTTCCCAGTTGTTCCAGGCCATTCTCCTGATATTCAAAGAAATTTTTAAACTGCGCAACCTGCTACGAACATTCTAACCTTCACTTCCCATTGAATATCCCATCTCACCATGGTCCTTCAGGATCTTGGGCGGCGAATTAATGCCGCCGTCAATGACCTGACTCGGTCTAACAATCTGGACGAGAAGGTGTGTGGCTGTCCTGCCGTGCAACTCCTTCTTAGCTGCTGACTCCATGATCGTAGGCCTTCGATGATATGCTCAAGGAGATCTGTGCAGCTCTGCTGTCTGCCGACGTCAACGTCCGCCTCGTCCAGTCGCTCCGGAAGTCCATCAAGTCCAGCGTCAACTTCGCCTCCCTGCCACCCGCCGTGAACAAGAAGCGCCTGATCCAGAAAGCCGTCTTCGATGAACTGGTAGCCTTGGTGGACCCGCACGCCGAGCCTTTCCGTCCCAAGAAGGGCCGCTCCAATGTGATCATGTTCGTGGGTCTGCAGGGTGCCGGTAAAACGACCACCTGTACCAAATTGGCTCGCCACTACCAGATGCGCGGGTTCAAGACCGCCCTTGTCTGTGCCGATACCTTCCGTGCGGGTGCCTTCGACCAGCTGAAGCAGAATGCCACCAAGGCCAAGATCCCGTACTACGGTAGTCTGACGCAGACCGACCCCGCCGTCGTGGCCGCGGAGGGTGTCGCCAAGTTCAAGAAGGAGCGCTTCGAAATCATCATCGTGGATACCAGTGGTCGTCACAAGCAGGAGGAAGAACTGTTCACCGAAATGACCCAGATCCAGACCGCCGTCACCCCCGACCAAACCATCCTCGTCCTCGACAGCACCATCGGTCAAGCTGCTGAGGCCCAGTCCTCCGCGTTCAAGGCCACCGCCGACTTCGGGGCCATCATCATCACGAAGACGGACGGCCACGCGGCGGGCGGTGGTGCCATCTCGGCCGTCGCCGCCACGCACACGCCCATCATCTACCTGGGTACCGGTGAACATTTGATGGATCTGGAGCGGTTCGAGCCCAAGGCCTTCATCCAGAAGCTGCTTGGCATGGGTGATATGGCCGGCCTGGTCGAACACGTTCAGGCTGTCACCAAGGACTCCGCCTCGGCCAAGGAGACCTACAAGCACATCGCAGAGGGTATTTACACGCTGCGCGACTTCCGGGAGAACATCACCTCGATCATGAAGATGGGTCCTCTGTCCAAGCTCTCCGGCATGATCCCGGGCCTATCCAACTTGACCGCCGGTCTGGACGACGAGGACGGCTCGCTGAAGCTGCGCCGCATGATCTACATCTTCGACAGTATGACTGCGGTCGAGCTGGACGGCGATCCGAAGGTGTTCGTCGAACAGCCCAGCCGCATGGTCCGCGTGGCTTGCGGCAGCGGTACAACCGTCCGCGAGGTCGAGGACCTTCTCTCTCAGCATCGCATGATGGCCGGCATGGCCAAGCGCGTCGGCGGGCAGAAGAAGCAGATGCAGCGCGCCCAGAATATGCTCAAGGGCGGAAACAAAGAGCAGCAGCTGGCCGCCATGCAGAAGCGCATGGCCGCCATGGGCGGGGCCGGCGGCGGCGGGTTCCCCGGTATGCCCGGCATGGGCGACATGGCCAAGATGATGCAGATGCTGCAGGGCCAGGGCGGCGGCGGCGGTGGCGGTCTCCCGGGCCTCGGTGGTATGGACTTGCAGAGCATGATGAGCCAGATGGGCGGGCTGATGGGTGGTATGGGCGGTGGTGGTGGTGGCGGCCGAGGTCGTGGCCGGTGATCCTGCTGCAACCCCCTCATTCAAGCTCGTCCAGCGGCCTTGCATTCTCATTTTTCGTTTCCTCTGGCCTCCATCCGCCCTCTCCCTCAAGTTCCCTCTATCCTCTTCGCACCTTCTTGTCTATATCTGACCTTTTCTCACTATTCTTCCTTTTCATGACTCCGGTTTTTCTCCTCCGCCGGAAGCCACGGCTTACTGCTGATGTCGATGTCGATTGTATTAGCATACTATGGTGTTGGGCGTGTTCTATTTTTTTTTCCTGGTTTCTCCACCGGGTTGTTGATTCATTCCATCCCAATCCATACCGAAATAATCTGATGATAGATGAGGCTTGCTTGCATTGAACCAGATTGGCATGTAACCATCTCCTTTGAACTACGTCCGTTCCGCGAAAAAGCGGTAGATTGCTCATTCGAATGATACCTATCAATCTATGATTTCTCAGTTCAACCCATCTTGTGGCGAATAACTAACAATTGGTGGACTAATTCCCGATTAGCATGTTTTGCCTAGTATCCAACAGATTCTTCCGCAAGATCATAGCTGCAAGAAGTAGAAAAAGAAAAGAAAGAAACTTAATCCAATCGCTCTTTCTTCTGAATCACATCCAAAACATTATACACTACCTTCAGGACACCATCTCTAATCAACCCGACAGTCTCCTCGACTCGTCCGACCCACTCTTTCGCCCACGCATCCCAGCTCTGCTCCTCCCTCGTGTCCAGCAACAGCTTTCCCGGCGGCAGTCGCGGGTGTTTCCACGCCGCCACGTCCGCGACCCGGCTCTCGTACCCGGGCAGGGGGACGCTGAGCTCGTACTGCCAGACCAGCTGCGTATCAACATACATCGAGTACGTGAGCACCGAGCTGGGTACGGTGACGGGGTGTCCGGATTGGGTGGCATCGATGACCGCGTCGCGGACCTCGATGTCCACCAGGCCGTACTTGGTGTTCCCGTCGGGGATGTACTTGATGGTGACGTCTTCGTTGTCCGTCTGCCGGTAAGTGCGCACGGGGAGGTAGAACATGTTGAGGGGGCCGACGCAGAATTCGTGCAGGCCCTCCCCGGCGGTGTTCGGGGTGAGCTCGGTCGCGGGCAGGTCGAGGGAGGGGTCGGGGAAGCGCGTGGCGCCGAATTCGTGGCGGTCGCCGCTGAGGAGGACGATCCGGATGCCGAGCTCGCGCTCGGCGCGCCAGATCGCCTCGAACACGACGCGGCGCTCGTTCAGGAACCCGCCCCAGGTGTCGGTGGTGCCGACCCGCCAGTTCTTGGTGAAGGGGACGCTGGAGGCGATGAGCTTCCAGCGCACTTCGCTGGGTTCGGGGCGCGCGATGTAGGCGAGGAGGGATTGCAGCTGGGCGGAGCCGAGGATCGTGGAGTTGTACTGCGACGGGGCCGATCGGTAGGTGCGGGTATCGAGCATGAAGAAGGAGGCAGGCCCGTGGATGAAGGAGAAGTAGGTCGTGTTTTCAGGCGTCGCGAAGGGAACGGGTGGGATGGGCGGATTGGGCCGGACATGGTAATGGATGTAGGGCTCGAACGCCGCGGGGTACGGTGCAGTGGTGTTGCCTTTCGACCAGTCATTCTCAATCTCGTGGTCATCGAGAGTGTGAATCCAAGGCAGGTCGATGGCGGGCGTACTATCCTCTGGGCGATTCCACGAGGGAGATGAGTAGACGCGGTGGTACTCGCTGCGATAGTGCGAGACAGATGACCCGAAGCGCTGGGGGACATCGACGTAGATGAAGTCGCCCAGGAACAGCATGAACGCTGGTCGCAGCAATGATGGCAGTCGCGCCATTGTTTCCGTCATCATCTCGATCCCTGGGATGCGCAGTGGGTGCGACAGCGGGTTGTAGGGAAAATTCGCCTTCATGCAGCTTGAGGTCAGGAAGCTGAGGCGGTTTGCCTGTTTGGTGCCGGGCATTGGAGCAGTGACGAATGAGCCTGTAAGATTGTTGGACAGGGAGTAGCGGTAAGGTGACGACGGCTTCAGGCCTTTGATTGTCACCGTGGTCGTGTGGTCTGTTGACTCGTCCAGAGCATAGATCATGCCCTCTTCCGTCCATCGTGTCGAGTCCTCTGTATCTGTTGGCTGGTAGAAGATGACAAGGGGCAGCTGTGCAGGATCTGGCTCGCGAACCAGTAGATTGGCGGTTGTTGGTGAGACATAACCGATCCGAGAGAAGGTGACATCTGCGCTGGGGTAGACAACCAGGCCACGCAGCATGAAATCTAGAGTGAGCAATGCAAGCCCAATGTTGATGAGAACAGTCAACCGCGTCGAGCGTGGTAAGCTGGCGGACGGCAGGCCAGTGAACAATGTCTTGAGTACATTATCTGGATTTCGTGGTGTTGTGCGCTCTGATTGTAGGAGTTAGAAGGCCGCCGGAAATGCTAATTGGTCTGATCACTCAACTTGTGGTTTTTGGAGAGTCTTTAGTATTGCTGCCGGTGGTACTCCGCTCAGTCTGTCGAAGGAGCGTTACGACAGCAGTAAGATACACAGCCAATGCTGTGAAGACCAGAGGCGGGAAGTGGTGTCCGGGAATCTAGAAGAATCACATAACGAATGAGTCGGGGAAGATTCTTGCGGCGAAGCGATTGCATCAACATACCCAGCGGAGGAAGAAGAAGGCCGCAGCCCGGACCGTTGCGGAGCTCAAGGCAGCGGCAATCCGCGCGACAGACACCATGGTGCTGGGGGTGGTTTCGATGATATTCAACAGGTAGTGATCATTGCCAGGTCAGTAGGCTTTCCCGGGAGGTGAAGCTTGCTGCTGTTCAATTCGCAGCTCGAAGAATAATGAATAATGAAAGGGCGTTGAGTGGTAGGTAGTAGGTTTATCGGTAAGGAGGAGAAGCCGGCGGCGGCGGAGAAGTCGACGATGACGACATGCCGAAACACCTCTTTTTTCTGAACTGACGCTCGGACACGGAGACACCATGCATCGTTCTTAATTCCATCAGCCAGCAAAACATTATACGTGCAGCTATAGACTTCCAGCGGAGCGATGGATACACATCCTTATAGTTATATTTTACTCTACATTTCTCCCCGTCTATCGCCGCTGCATCATGTCGCGAAGCACGTTCATCAAGCTGCTGGTCATCGGTCCTGAAGTGAGCTGGCGCGCTGCATCCACGAGATCTTTCATGTGCATGCTCAGGGACATCTCCGCTGCCCAGTACCATGGGTGCTCCTGTTCCCCGGGTTTCGAGTTGAAATACTCCCAGCCCATGACGCCCCCAAAATCAGGATATTGTTCAATCAGCATGGCCAGGATAGGTCCGATTTTCTCGGGGGGCACATAGCCCTGCGACCCATTGCCTGGATTGGTCAACATCCCAAGCACCACCCGGCCTGGGGACCAGCCCTGTGCAACGATGGCAGCATACATCCGGGGATCATCTGCGGGTCCCCAACCGTTGTAGAACTGCGTGTTGTACCAACCGATCTTTGCGGCTCTCTGTTGTTCCAGCTCCCGGTAGTCGAACCCCGACAGGTTTCCCAGGCCCAGCATGGCCGCCGCAACTGGAGCCAGCGTCACAATAAACTCGTCTCCCAGATCCAGCTTGAGTCGGTCAATAAGTCGGATGATCCCTGCCAACGACATTTCCTCTTCCACATCGAGATCTAGCCCGTCCAATCCATGGCGCCGGATCATGGCCAGCAGGGGTCGGTAGTACAATTCGAATTTCTCTGCATTTCCATCCAGGGAGCGGAACGAGCCCTGCGCAGCGCCCCCGAGCATTCCCATGATGCGTATCCCCTGTTGTTTCATGCGGGGTACCTCGGCCCATAGGGCGTCGTACATGCTGTGTTGTGGGGGATCATTGTTCAGTGTAATGTGTTCCGGGTCTGCGTTCAGGTGAAAGGCTGCGAGGATGATGTGCGTAACGCCTGTGTTGTTCTGGACTAGTGGCATCATCGAGACATACTGGCCTCCGTTGGGACAGAGAGTCTGATGGTACAAGATAACCCGACACCGGTCGGACGACGAAGGTACGGGAGGCATTGTCAGAGATATGGTAGAGGGAACGATGCGCAGAGTGGTATTCCACTATTAAACCCAGATCTCGAGCCTGGGGATAGCAGAAGAGGAGGAGGGAGAAGGGAAAAAAGGTGGAGAAGCGAGATTGCGACACAGCGAAGGTCGCCGCGATCGGTCGGGTGAGGGGGAAATGGGGGGAAGCGAGCAGTGCTGGATTCGGCCGGCGACGGTCTGGAAGAAGAATAGCCCACCTTAACAGCCCCGCCGCCGGTGTAGGTAGGCATAGAACTTCATATATAGTACTGACCTTCGTAGACCATGACTGCTGAGCAGAGAATCGCACATTCTCGAACCTCAGGGTCAGAAGCTAGGGACAGAGACGAAGAGCATTACGTCGAAGAGGCTCATAAGACACCCCCAGGTTGCGCAAAGAGCTGACACGTGACGCACTGCTCTTCATCTCAGTCGTAAGTGATAGTACCGTACAATACAATACTTGAGCAGATGGTTGGAGGACAATTCCATCTACGTTGATAGTCATCTGTCATGAGAGCACGATCTTTGCAGGTGTGACCCGGAGGATTCATTGTGACTCGGTATAGAATCATCTGTAATTGAGGTGCGATGCGGTCAGCATGCTCGCTGAGTGAAACTGCTGACAATGATGATTCTACGCCTGAATTGACAGGCAGCAAGGTCCCTGGTGCCTGACGACCGGTGTTTACCCGACCAGTTGGTGTTTGTTATCGCATCTTCCCCGGCGATAACTCATTCATTCATTCCTTCAACGACTCTGGCTTCAATTCTGCATTATTGGTCGACCTATGTAGTAATTCCATCAAGCCATGATACCTCGGCTACCCTGAGGCCTATTTTAGTATCTTGTCCTATATTGGTCACCTCGATATCCTTGAGGACAATCCACCCCCCCAGCATGGCCGATACGACCACCCATGACACTGTGGGCGCGTCAACTCTCGCGACGCCTCTCTTCATGCCCTCGTCACCCCCCTCTCGTCGTCAAAACGCACAGAGCTACTCTCCCCTGAGCGCGAAGAGTCCTCGTACTGTCGATCGCGTCGCGACCACAACCTACGCCGATGATGCCCGCTCTCCGCTAAAACAGAGCTACTCGCCGCGGTCCTCCCGAGCGTCGTCGCTCGAGCGCGCCGCGAACGACATCGACGCCCGTCTGGCGCAATACACCGTCGATTTCAGCCAGTACCCGAGCACCCAAGCGCTGGACGACCATGTGGATCCTCTTGCGGAATTCAAGTTTCCGCATGAAGACGACCTGTCGGATGTCGGAGGTCCAGCGGATTTCACTGCGAATCTGGAGAAATACCTGATGGACGACGGCGATACTATGGAGGATAAGCACTTCATGGACTTTCGGCATGATGGACACGACTTGTCGGAGCTTGAGCCCCTGTTTGATGATTTGGAGGAGCAGGAACGCGATCTGCGCCACCTGGAAAAGGAGGAAGACGAAAACCCCCTGCCTCCGCTACCCGAATCCCCTGCCCAGCCGCGAGGCCACAGCAGGCAAAACAGCCAACGGATGCAGCAGCGGGAAGATACGCGACCGCCACAGCGCGAGCAGAGTTCTCAGTTGCATCAGCCGGCTATCGAGGATGAGCCCGAACCTGAACCAGAGCTTGGCGAATACAGTGAATTCGGCCCACCGATCGACATGTCTACACCATCGCAATTTCTGCGCCGCGCCAGTGGCTTTAACAGGGATACCACGCATCTAGAAAATATTGAAGAGGATCCGGACGATGAGATGGAGGCAAGCACGACTACCCCGTCAGTACGGAGACACAAGACCCCTTCCCCTCACAAGCAAGAACCAAGTACAGCTGGAGATCTACGGAAACAAATACTTGAACTCGAAAACAAGCTGCAAGACCGCAATGAGCAGCTGGAGAAGGGTCGTAGGCGCGTGCTGGAGGCAGCATCCGCTGGCGAGCAAATAAAGCACCTTCAGGGCGAGCTGCAGAGGAAGTCTGCTTTGTTAGATGAATTCTACGCCAATCGTACTGACGAGACTATTCTGCGAGAGCAAGTCCACATGCTCCAGAAACAGAACGAAGAAAGAGAGACTTTCTTGCACAAGTCCACCATCAATGCCTCCGAGCTAAGTGCTCTTCAGAAGCAGATTAGCGATATGCAGAAGGAGCTGCAGGACCGTGGATCATCACACCCGAACCTCGATGCAGAGCGGCTCGACACCATTGCATACTTGCGACAGCAATTAGATCTGGCCCAGGAACAGCTGCGTAAGCGCGACGCAACCCTGGACGAGACGATCGCGAAGCTCAAGGAAGTCACCGATGCCAAAGAGCAGCAGCTCCGAGAGAAGAACACTGAAGTGGATGAATTAAAAGCCCAGATCAGCAGCCACCTGCTCGAAATAGAGAAGTTAGACACGGAGCTCGAGAACGTCAATCAAGCCTACGAGACTCTGGAAGAACGAATCGTCACTCTCGAGACGAAGAATCGCCCCTTGGAGGAAAAGAACAGCACGCTCGAAGCCGACCTCACCCGCGCGCAGACCCAAGTTACTGCGCAGGAAAACGCCCTCAAGGCCATGGCCGCCGACCTTCCCCTCGAAACCGGCGGCAACACCTATACAGAAATCCTCGAATTGATCAAGGATCTGGGCCAACCCAGCCAGGGATCTCGGATTCTGAATCCAGGCTCATCAAGAAAGGACCCAGAAGAACAACGTCAAGACCCGAGCCAAGACTATGACCAGGCCCCGGACGAAGAGCTGAAACGCCTCCGAGACGAACTCTCCAAACTTCAGTCCGAACTCACTGAGGCCAACTCGGCTAAGAGAACCCTCGAACTGCAGCTCTCGCGCTCGGAAGACCAGGCCGTCGAAGCGCAAACCCTCATCCACTCCATCGAGACCGAAAGCACCCGCCTCAGCAAGCGCGCCGACGACCTTCGCTCGAACCTCACCAAGACCCAGCAGGAACTGACCCAAATGAAAGAGGAGCGCACCAAAGCCCTAGAAGCCATCGACCGTCTGCAGAAGGAGCAACAACAACGACAAGAGGATGAGAAGAAGAAACAAACCCGGCAGCAACAGCTGCAAAACCAACAACTCAGCCCCCCTCCTTCCCCTCCCGTCCCACAACCACAACAGCAACAGCAATCACTACAGCTTCAACGTCAGAAGGAGCAAGAACTTCTCGAACAAACCCACTCTCTCCAGTCCGAACTCCGCACTCTGAAAGCGACCCATGCCGCCGAGCTCGCGAAGCTCCGCGAGCTGCTGGCGGCGACGGAACACCGGGAATCCCGGTACAAGGCGCAGGCGGGCTCGCTGCGCGAGCAGCGCGAGCGGCACCAGAGTGAGAGCCGCGCCCTCCGCCTCCAGGTCGAGCATCTCGAGTCCGTGCTCGCGACGAAGGAGGAGACCGCCGCCGCCGTGGACGAGCGGATTGCGCGCTCGGTGGAAAAGCGCGAGAAGGAGTGGCAGCGGCGCGTCGAGCTCCTGCTCAAGGAGCGGGAACGCATGGGTCGCGCGCTGATGTGGTCGTGGGGAGAAAAGGAATTCGGTGGTGGTGGTGGTGCTAGTGGTGGCAACAGTGGCAGTGGAACAGGGAAGGGAAACCTTGCGGTGGGAGCGGACGAGAAGGGGAGGCGGAAACAGGGGTATCGGTACAAGTATGCCGTGTCGAGTCCAGGGCAGGTGTCGACTTCGGTCTCGTCGTTGTCAAGGAGTGGTGAATCTGGGAAGAGAGCCTGAAATGAATAGAACGATACGGATTTGGATCGGATAGGGCTGGGTTGGGTTGGGTTGGGTTTCGGTTATAATGGCACAGACTATGGGAATGGAATGTCTTTTTCATCACAGGTCTGATTGACTTGAATGTTTCGGGCTGGGCGGAGCCTGTTTGCTTTTTTTCACGGGGTGCTTCATGGTTTGTGTTTACGGTGCTGGTTTTCCTTTCGATTTTCTTTTTTTTGCTTCCTGTTTCTCCTTTTCTGCTTCGCTTTCACTATGATTCCCTGCTTTCATTGTGCTCAGGATGGTTTTTACGGTGTCATGAAAAGGCAACTTACGGTCAGAAACTAAGGAAAGGAGTGGATCTCGCGTGTACAGACGAGAGTCGCCATGTTCTTAGCTTCTGTTCTCAGAGCTTGAATGCGCGCTCAGCTAAAGCAGATTACTCCGTTAATGGATTTGTTGCCATTCGGGCAAATCAAAGAATTAGGTATGGCATTTTAAAATGTCTCAGATCGTGGTATGACAAATCAGGGGCAAATACAAATAGGGGTCGTGAGCTTCAGAAGTACGAAGACGAGAAAAAAGTTTGAAAAGACCGGTTGATGCAAAATGTATATTGAGAATCGAAAATTAGGGAGACGGTAGCTCTTTGATGAGAATTAACAGCCTGACCCGCAGGCTCTAGTATCCACTGGCACTGTTCGTTCGAGTTGTATCGCAATACGCATTCGCCTCAGACAGGTAGCTCTCCGGGGCTTCATCAACAGATGTGCCCGTTTCGCGGATGCTGTCTAGTCTGCTGGGCGCGGAGGCGAGACCGCCATATGTGTTGCTGCGGGGACGACGCAGGTTTGAGTATGTCAGTTCACCGTCGTTTCCACGGGTTGATGAAGACATGCGGCGGTTGTGCTCCTGATACCATCGACGACCGTAGTGATTCTGATGAGGCTGGTGCTGGCTTTGAGTATGCCGCGGAATTTGGGAGGAATCAAACTGATACACCTGACTCTGCCGTCGGTTGCTGCGCCTGGAACTCTGCCGGCTGGCCACCTCACGATCAATCGGGACACCTCTGTAGCTAGAGGCCTGGGCAAGAGCTGGGCGCGCTGCCGGGAGCGGAGGGGTTGCGGTGAAAGCTCCCTGGTACGGTATATATGCGCTCCTGGGAACAGGAGCCGTATGCGCAGTATTGGACCGGCGTACATTCAAAGGTTCCGGCACGAGGACTTCGGGAGCATCGGCTGAATTCATGGTCACAGATCGTGTGAGGGCTCTTGCTCGCAGCTGATTTCCTTCGAATGTGAGAGCTTCGGCTGTAATGGCTGGCAAAGGTTTTTCCACAGGAGCTGAAGCCAGTGGATGTCCAGGAGCATACTCTTTTTTCGGGGTTGGTGGGCGTTCAGCCACTAAGGCTTCTTTTTCGACATCTGCTTCAGTCGTCGAGTCGGCAAGGGCACGTATTTGAGGGTCTGCTGACAATGGTTGTGAAAATAACTTGGGCAGCAGCCGGCGCAAAGACGACGCGGAGGATTTGTGTCGTTTGTGCCCGGGAGTGGAAGGCGATGCCCCTGGTAACTCTACCGGAGCCATTTGCTTAGAATGGTCACCATAAGAGCTAAATGTCGCCGCGGTGGGCGTGCGCGAAACGCACGAAAGAAGATCCGAGCTAGTCATCACGCCCGGCAACTTCCTTATAAGAGTTTCCTGCGGTGTAAGGGTGGTACCCGATAGCAAATCCGTTGTATCCGAGTCATATTCCGCCTCGAGCCCCGGGTGGGATTTGTGGTGGACAATGTTCGGGTATTCAATGCTTGCGGACATTCGGATGGTGTTATCACTTGATGACATATAGAGCCCTCGGCCATATGTGATGTCGGGACGCCGACACACATAGTAGATGTCATTCTTCAGGCTATTGTCACTTTCCGTGCTCCAGCTGCTGAGGATGCTGTCATCGCAGATTGAAAATGAAGGCTGGCGTGTATACATGCCCATTAATGAGACATCATAAGGGCGTCCGCAGAGTTGTCTGAAGCCAAAGAAGAGAAACAACGTTATGCTGCATCTTAATCAGTAAGTGCAATCACCCAGCGATGTCGGAGCATAGCATACACTGAAACAATCGAATCGATGATGGATGCACGATAAAGTGCGCAGCTTACGCCCATCTTCCAGAAGTTGTCGTTGCCTTCCTCGGCAAGACACGGTAGATGTTGCGATATAACCGCCAGGCCTGTAGCACCGGCGGCTATCGAGATCACAATTGCAACCCCCAACACACAGCTACAAACGATTCGCAGCATGGCCTTTTGGCTTGTAAACCGTGCTACTTTGTTGTACTGCCAGGCAAGAAAGCTGTGTAAGACGACAAGCGGCACAATGAAGAAGGACTAACTCCCAGTTTTAGCATTTGAGGTTGAAGAGAGTGCTTCACAACTTACTGCTGCTAGAGCGAGAATCAAACTAGGAGTCATTCTCGCATCCACGTGTCGTTCAACATAAAGGTAGATCACAATCCCCCATTCGATGAGAGACTCGAGCAGTAAGGCGTACAGAGAGACGAGGATCGCGCGTTTCACCCACGCGCCTTCTGCGCTGGCTGACACATAGTGGCTAGACATGGCTGGGTTCGTGGTTAGAGCAGTAGCAGGCTGCGATGCACAGCTTCAACACGTCGAGGCAATCGAGCTTGGACATCCACGCATTGATAGGCACCCAAGAGTCAATGCGATCAGATCAGCTCTAGCTAGCAGCACATCAGGCGACTGGTGCCGACAGGTGTGAAAGGAATTCAACTACCAGACGAAAGTCCACTTAAGATATTAAGATAGGGCTACGGCGAACTAAATGGGGAGAAGGTGGTAAACATCTGGCGCGTCGACGCGCGAAGAGGGGTCGGAATGGATGAGCAGCGGTATGTCCATCTCCGATCAGATGGAGGGGAGCAGCTAGATTGCAAGAAGACTGCCTCTGGCTTCTCTTTGGGTAGAAGAGACAATAGTCTCATCGTGTGGAATGTAGACTATGAAGAGTCCGGCCGAGAAGGGTGGGCGAGTTCCTGTACTGTACTCCAGTAGAAGCCGACCATGATTAGTCATTGCATTTTTCAGGAGCTTCACGGTCTATCGTGAGTTGGTTTAACGAAGGTTACAAGTGATCAAGATTCAGGATCGAGCGTAGACATCGCCAGCCCTTCGTATGCGCAGAATTGCATCCCCACGCTCTACTACGGAGTACTCAGACACCCCTGCGAGGGATACACCGTCATCGTGCGCAAGCTAAGTGATTGTTTGGTGGAAATGGGTAAAGGTTGAGACAGGAGCAATGAGACAACTTCAATTTCTTGAATGAAGGATGAAAAGTAGAATCCAGGGCTGATTACCGGGGATGTTCTAGGGATGAGGGGATGAGAAGAAGAGGGCGAGAGAGAAGCGGTGCTGCGGCTCAGGCACTCAGGCCATCCATCAACTATTTCTATTTCTTATCAAAAGAATTCAGAAAGGGGTTGGGAGGATGGATGGCTGCAAGGGCAATCGGAATTCCATGCCACCACCACCAGCTTGCTGAAGAACTATGGATGTTTTCTCGCGTAGAATGGAGTCCCTTGAGTTATCGCATTGGTTTTAAATCCTCACTATCATCGATTAAGGAATTCGCCTATGAATCTCGAATGAAAGAGCAAGCTAGATAGATACTTTCTATTGTGATGTATGACTCGGGAGTAGCATGGAACTACTAGGTATCTTATCGCATCGGACAACAGTCATTTATGTACACCTTCTTGCAACAGGTACCCGAATCTCAAAGCTGAATTAGCCACCGTCGGGACGCGGTCAATTCCTGCGGGGCTCAAGACAATTTGCAAGGTGGAGCTCAGAATGAGGGGTAATTTACTCCAAGCTCCAAGGTTACAACTGTACAGGTTGCTCCCGATAAGATCTCAGATAATGAGGTTCGAGGCCGATAACAATGACAGATAATCCAGCCGTCATCCACAATCATTACGAAAGAGGCTCGACAATTCAAATATGCTCGACAAACCGTTTAGAAAACTCTGGGTGCGATTATCAATTTATCAGACACGGCAAGATAGTGGATTATTGATCACATCCCGCTACAGGCGTGCCATGCATTCGATCTCCACGTCTGCTTTCAAAGCAGGGTCTTGACAGCCGCGCAGCTGTGTTGTTGAGTTGTCTCCACTAGCCACCAGATCGCAGCTCAAGAGGGAGTAGTTGAAGCCATAAGGCACGTTCGACAAGGCATCATATCGCTGTATGGTCCATCTCGGTAAAAATCGTCCATGATGGAAGAGGAAGACGGTTGGCCTTGAGCACCATGGGGCGAACAGCTGGCTCGTATCAGTGAGGAGAGAAACCCTGATAAACCGGCTTGTGTTCTCACCCCCGCTCTGCTCTAATCCTCTCTTGCTCCCTTGCGTTTGAAAATGCAACCTTCATGCAACCACGGGCTTGCTGCCCATCAAGATAAACGGAAGCATTGAGCATTCATAAAGTTCGTCTTGTTCCCCGTCAACTTCCATGCGTCTAGTGCACGTACCCTTTTCCCAAGCATTCATCATAACGTATTCACAATGTCCATCAGTCATAGCCCGGCCGACCAACCGCCCTACCCTCTTCACCCCTCCGTGATAAACAAGCTCGACCCAGAATATGTGGATTTCTATAATGCGCATGTAATCGACAAACAACAAGTTCATCTCCAGCCGGTGGAGGCTTCCCGTACAAGCGGCGTCCTGATCCCCGGCGGAGGTCCTCTGCTCCCCGTGGGGAGAACAGTCGACCTGCGCATTGGTCGCCGTGTCACAGAGGGACCTGAGATTCCTTTGCGCGCTTTTGTCCCGGAAGGCACAGCACCAGCGAGCGGATGGCCACTGATGCTGTATTTCCACGGGGGCGGATGGGTTTTGGGCAACATCGACACGGAGAATCCGGTGTGCACAAACCTCTGTAACCGAGGCCGCTGCGTAGTAGTGACTGTCGACTATCGGTAAGCATCTATGCCGCTCACCAATGCAAAGAGAGTCGCACCCTGACTGGCCCTCCTCTAGTCTCGCTCCCGAGCATCGCTGGCCCGCCGCCGTCCATGATTGCTGGGAAGCCCTTCTCTGGCTGCTGGCCGACGGTCCGACACATCTCCCCATTGACACGAAGATTCTCGCAACAGGCGGCTCCTCCGCAGGCGGAAACCTAGCTTGCATCATCACCCAAAAGGCCCTCACTCTCTCGCCGCCCGTTCATTTCCAGGCCCAGTTACTGTCCGTGCCGGTGACCGACAACACCGCCTCAGTATCTACCAACGACGCCTACCGCGAGTACGAACACACCCCAGCTCTGCCAGCAGCCAAGATGCTCTGGTACCGCGAGCATTACCTGCCTGACCAGAGAGATTGGGCGAACCCGGAGGCCAGTCCTCTGTTCTACACTGGAGATTGGTCTGCTCTGCCGAGAGCCTTGGTCATGGTGGGGGAATTGGATGTGCTAAGGACGGAGGGAGAGCAGTATGCGCAGAAGCTACAGAAGGCAGGCGTACCAGTGGACTTGCAAATAATGAGAGGCATGCCTCATCCGTTTTTGGCAATGGACGCTGTTCTGAAAGAAGGGAAAAGGTCTATCACATTGATGTGCGACCTGCTGAAGGAGGTGTTCTGGGATGAGCACAGGTAAGCATTGGCTGGTCTTGCTGTAGCCCCGTTTCAGTATCAAATAGACTTGTCAAATTAGAGATTTCCGTCGAGATCCAGCATTGATGAATGGAGATGTTCACGCCGCGAGTCTTCTGCATCACATAGGGTGGTGACCACATGAGAAAATATGAGATATATTGGACACACTTACATGTTCTTGCGTGCAGGTCAATAAGATCACCAGGGACTAGATATCCGTCAGAACATAGGTACCACACTTACCTTTGAGCATTCGTGTCGCCTGTCCCGGGCCCGATCAGTCACCAAATAGCATTCGTGTTCCACACAATCCTATTTCGCAGTCTAAAGCTCTTTCCAAGCGGCGCGATAGGGATTACTCCAAGCCCTTTTGCGCGTGTCATAAGCATTGCTTGTGCTAACGTGGGAACAGGGGGCGCTTCCCGATTTTCAGCTACACCTGATCATCCTTGAATGCAGGTTCTGTCCCACCCACGAAATGCGTGGACCAGGCCAATCTCGGGACCAGGGTCCTTAATTTCTCGGACATTTGGGATCATCAAACCTGAGGTTACATCTAGAAGGTATGAGTGGTGTTTGTTATATGGTGTGACCGGTATGTCTGAACAAAGAATGCTGGGAATACCCGCTGGACATGTAAGCACAACCTCTGGGACCGACATGAACATCGATCAGCAGAAGTCATGTTTATTCCTCAGGATCGGCTACACGTAATGAGAACTTGGGGAGAGCCTCGAGCACAATTGGATCCCACTGTTTCCGAGGTTGAAGATAGGTCAAATTCCAAAGTCATGTCTGTACGTTCTCATTGGCGACAAGGCACACAAGCACGAGTATCCCTCGCATACTGGTGCGAACATCTGCGGGCTTGGCTATGGCACATCAGAACGCTGACATACCGTGCCTCTATAACTATTCAAGCACCCGTCGGATCTTTCAGTGCTTGTTCGATTTTAATTCAGTCTCCAGTCCCCCTGTTCTGCACCGCAACCCCTCCCTGAGCGGGCGCTTCTTCGCTTCCATTAATGATGTCCGACCTCGGCATACCGGCAAGTGAAAGCGCTGCGGCCAGTGAAGCAACTTAGTACTCACCCTTTTACTCTTTTCGTATGGTGCTAGAGAGCACAATTGGGCTCAAATTTTAGAATCCCCACTCAGTAAATATGATGTAGGAAATGGCAGCGGAAACTGCTCCCCGGCAGCCACAGTGGCTTCGGTTGTTGCACCCGAATCCAGTTTCTGTCCAACGTAGACTAGTACACTTTCAGTCCGGCGTATAATTTCCAATCCCTTTTGCTATTATTGTGCTAGAGCAAATAGTATGACGCTGCAACTCCTGGGGGAGAATGAGAGGCTTCGGCTGCGGAGCCTCAGCGTTTGTTCAAGGGGAATGAGGGTCTCCTGAATCACAAAGAAGCAAAAACCCACTCCAACCCGGTGGATATGGTTACAAGCGCATCGAATGGGGCAAATGTACATGCTCCAGGCTTGGTGGCACAACTTCACGGACGAAGGTGCTCAGCATACAGAGTCGGCGGGAGTAGCGGTCATATCGGCCGTGTCAGTCCATCGCTGCTGGGAGTGACACGGCAGGCTATGGTGAAAGCTTCTTGAGGGGCACTGGTCAACTGATTCTTCGGCATGGTGCCAGGCAATAACATATTCTGGATGTGTGTCTGTGCAGGTGTAATTTCCTCATCGATGCAGCCACCACAACAAGTGAGTGCGACTGGATATCACGGCGCGAGGTCGGGTATTTCGCAGGAATCAGTCGAGGTTAGCGCTGGGTCTTGATTGCACTAGTTTCTTGCACTATCCGCCGCACGCTCCAGTAGGGCTGGGCGAGGAGGACCCTCTCTAATTAATCGGGAATGAGGGTCTGTGTGAAAGCCTGAAAGTGAAAGGCGATTGTTAGTGACTTTAGTCTAGTGTAGGTCAGTGAGCGGTGTTCGTTCGGTGCCCACTCTGAATCTGGGACTAGCGCCGCTGGTTCTGGTTAAGCTAATATAGCCGAAGTATGACTAGTAAAGTTAGACAGAAGGAGGCGAGGAGGGGTCAAGTTACTTCCTGCTCGTGTCTCCGGTTCAGGATACGCGCATGGTGAATCACCTTGATTGTTTCAAGTCGAGTGTTTGTCAAGATGAGAACTCTTTCTAGTCTCTTTCTGCATGTTGTTGATCGAAGTTTCTCTTTTCTCTGACAGCGAATATCAACGGCCTCAAAGGTGGTGTCGATCGGATGATCCGGTGATCTCCGGACAGTCTCCGGCTCAGGGGCAGATCGTTTCCACGGATCACGTCAGGACCGAGCTTTTAGGCAAAAGTCAACAAGATGTTACCTGGGTCGTTACTAGTCACCGTATCTGGTATCATGCTATTCCAGTTGGGGTCTTCGTATAAGTCGCTCTTCTAAATAGATAAATCTCTAAGCCTCCCAGAGACGGTGGACACGACGGTGGACACGACGGTGGCCACCAAACCGGATGCGGCGGAGGGTCCGCGAAATTTTGCACGGATGGAGGCTGACTGAGTACTAGACTACTAGTTGCTTAGCATGCTGGTATCTATTATCGAACCGCTGTCATTGGTGTGCCTGAGTCAGAAATGGCCGACCTCCCTTCCCTCACTAGTCCTATTCCAGTAACTGCCACATGGACCCGTGACCCCGGCTAGTCCTGTTCTGAAAGTGCTCTCACCAGGCTAGTATTCATCTGGACTCCTGGAGACTTCCAGAGATCAAGACTTCTTTCCAACCTCCATCCATCCTATACGCTAAGACTGCCACTACCCAAAGGGTCCATACGCCACCTACCCTCGCTTTGCTCTCTCGCTTTCAAAAACCAATTTCCCTTGTCATCCCAGGTCATATTTTAGCCGGCAATACAACTATCCGCCGCTCGCAAGAGCCACTCCTTTTCTCATACGTACAGTTGACGACGAGCTCTGACTGAACCCATCACGGGCTACTCCAATTACAAATGAATTTCAGCGAACACTATGGTGGCGCTAGATACAGTGGAACACTGGAAACCCTCGGCTCTTACCCATATGCCCCTCCTTGGGCTCTTACAAAGAGACTAAGATGATGGAAACTCTCCGCTTGAGGCGTGCGAAATTGTAAGTCGGCGTTGCTTGGCTCTCCTCGCCCACTTTTTCAGAGGCTAATGTGGCCAAAAAAGTTAGCCACCTATGCGGCTCTACAGGCAGGTACTGCGGAAGAGCAGTCTGCTGCCTGCTGCTGCCTTGAGCATCATGTTTGGTCTATTTTCCGGCTACACCACGGCATCCATCCGTTTTCCCCGACGGAGTTTTCCTGGGTCAACATTTATTTGATTTGATTTTATTCTCCCACAAAAGGACCTAGGCCTTAAGCGTCACCGTTAGTCTCCCAAAGAAGGTGCTAACTAGCATAGCCCATAAGCACTGAAGACCGAACTAGGAACTTTCAAGCTGGCGGTCCAGGCATGTGGTTGCACCCGCCAAGGCGTTGACTCCGCATGCTAATTTCGGCTGTGTTCGTGCGATGAACGGTCTACCAGCATCGTGGCCAATGGTGAGCCAGACATGGCATGGAAAGCTGTCCCAGGAGGCCAAGGTCCATAGCAAGCTCGCGCTTATAACTCTACTTCGTCTTGCCCTTTCCCCCTTCTCGAGATGTTCTTCGTGTCATCCCTCTCTATCTGCTTTGCGGGGACCATCCAAGCAGCGGACTTTTGTCTGCGTCCTTTCTTTGAACCAATCCGACCTTCGTTTCCACTGGTTTGAGCGGCTCTCTTGTCTCCACCAGTCGACATTCTTTCGCCATGGTGTCCCAATTTGTCACCGTCCTCGCTGCTCTATCAGCTGTCACTCCTTTGGTCTCTGCTTTCGATCCTCAATCGAAGTCGAATGTTGCTGTCTACTATGTATGTGCTTCCACATGATTGGAAATGGTACAGCCTCCTTACCGTACGAAAATAGGGCCAAGGAACCGATCAGCAACGTCTGAGCCATTTCTGCCAAGATACCTCCTTGGATATCATCAACCTTGGTTTCGTCAATATCTTTCCTGACCAAGGCGTTGCCGGTTGGCCAGGAAGCAATTTCGGCAATCAGTGCGATGGCACCTACTACACGGTTGGCAACCTAACAACGGAGCTGCTCAAAGGTTGCCACCAGCTAGTGGAAGACATTCCTATCTGCCAGGCTGCGGGCAAGAAAGTGTTCCTGTCTTTGGGTGGTGCTTATCCCGCCACTCAGCAAATCTTATCGGAGGACTCTGCCAATAATTTCGCCGACTTCCTATGGGGTGCCTTTGGCCCCAAGACCGACGATTGGGTGTCCAACAATGGTCCTCGTCCTTTTGGTGATGTTGTCGTGGATGGTTTCGACTTTGACATTGAGCATAATGGCAATTACGGTAGGTTTCTTAGGGCTCCGCAATCTTCAAAGCTCACTTCTAATGTTTCAAGGTTACGCAACCATGGTCAACCGACTGAGATATCACTACTCCTTACAGCAAGGTCGTACCTACTACATTTCGGGTGCGCCTCAATGCTCGATACCTGACCTGCAGCTTGACAACGCGATTGCCAACTCCCACTTCGACTTCATTTGGGTGCAGTTCTATAACACTCAGGGCTGCTCCGCCCGTGACTTTGTCGAAGGCACGGTAGATGGTTTCAACTTTGACAAATGGGTGGATGTCATTAAAGCAGGAGGTAACCCGGACGCTAAGCTCTATGTCGGATTGCCTGCCAGCTCGAGTGCCGCCGCCAGCCCTGACTATTACATCACCCCTGTGGAAGCCTATTTGCTGGTTGCCGAGTATATGGCGCGCTTTCCAGATACCTTTGGTGGAATCATGGTTTGGGAAGCGACGTATTCGGACGAGAATAAATTCGGCGACGAATCTTTCGCCGACGTGATGAAGCAAATTCTCGTGACCCTCGACCCTACTCCTCCTCAGACAAGCACTGTTCTGCCCTCTAGCAGTGCACCTACGCCATCACCCTCCTATACTGCCACAAGTACACCCGCGGTGCCCACTATTTCTGTCTCGTCTACTGCTTCCACCGTGCCTACTCCTTCGGCTGTGTCGACTCCTTCGGCTGTGTCGACTCCTTCGGCTGTGTCGACTCCTTCGGCTGTGTCGACTCCCTCGGCTGTGCCTACTTCCACCGTGGTCTCTAGCCCGTCTACGATTTCTAGCCAGTCTGCGATCTCAAGCCCTCCTGCGGTGTCTACTCCTTCTGTGGTGTCTAACTCTGTTGGCTCGGGATCTTCTGCCCCGTCGAGCATTGCTTCCGTTGTTTCGAGCTCATCTGCGGTGTCCAGCAGCTCTGTGGTGTCCAGTGCTTCTGTGGTAACAAGCAGCTCTGTTGTTGCCAGCATCGGCGTGAGCACCCCTGTGGTGTCGGTCAGTTCTGTGGTGCCTAGCTCTTCCGTGGTCTCTGCTCCACCTACAGTATCAGGTTCTTCCGGTTCAGCCAGCTCCCCTGTGGTGCCCAACACTCCCTTGACACCTAGCTCTTCTGTGGCTACCAGCTCCCCTGTGGTCTCCAGCTCCCCGATCACCTCTATCACACCCGCTATTACAACCAAGACTGTGCTCTCTAGCTCGCCTGTGATTCTTAGTTCCTCTGTTGTTCTAGGCTCGTCTCCGGCTTCTAGCCCTCTTGTTGTGACAAGCCGTCCTGTCGTTTCCACCCTGCCTGACGCGTCCAGCGCGCCCGCCAGCTCGACTTTGTTCTCTGGTCCCGTTGTCGCCACATCGTCTTTGGCTACCAGCTCTCATGAGGCTCATAGTTCCTCTGTGCTGAGTCCTCCTGCGGTGTCTAGTTTCTCTGTGGTCACGAGCAGACCTGTCATTCCAGGGCCTTCCACTTCAACCGTTGCTACTCCAAGATTCTCCGAGACATTGAGCTCTTCCATCATTCCCGGTGCATCCAGCCAGGTGTCCCCCGGTGCGTCACAGCTGTCTACTACTTCGCTCATCTCGAGCTCCGTGGTTTCTTCGGCGGGCTCACCTGTCACCTCGGGGGTGTCTGTGCCTTCGAGCTTGGTTATCGGAGCTTCCAGCATTGTGGCTTCGGCTTCCTCTAGTGTGGAGACTTCTAATTTCAATAGTCAATCTCACTCCTCGGGCTCCGTTGTGGGTTCCGCCACGTCGGCTGTCTCAGTCGTCGCTTCTGAAACCGGCACCTTCACAGGCCCGTCCATTGAATCTAGCACAGCTGCTTTGACAGTTTCAACAGTGCAGCCCGGTGGCTCTGTTCCGTCGGTCTCAGGAACGATCCCAAGCTCCGCTCTCTCTAACACTCAATCGGGGTCGACCGCTTCGCGCGCCGGCACTACGTCGGGCACGGAGTCTTCCTCGAGCGCAGGTGCAACCAGTGTTCCTATTTCTAGTAGCGATGTGTCCTCTTCCGCAAACTCAGGAAATCCTTATGGGTCTGGTGTTACGAGCTCCACGGCGAGCTCAAGGACTTTGACAGTCTCAAGTCAGCCCGACCATGGAAGCACGGCTTCTTCGTCGAGCACAACTCACGCTGTCAGTAATGTGTCAGACCAGACAGGCAAGCCAACAACAGTGCCCATTAGTGCTACATCCACCGATAGTGCTGCTTTTACTGTCATTACCCCGGGCATCACATCTGGCCCTGAGGCCACTTCTGTGTCGCCCGCCGGATCTGCGCTGGAACAAGCAACCACGACCACAATCATTGTAACCTCGTACATTGATATCTGTCCCGAGGGCTTCACGACCATCACTACAACTTACACGACCACCTACTGTCCTGTCACGGCTGCTGCCGCTGCCGCTGCAACTGCCACTGCCCCCGCCACAATCCTTGGCGTCGCAGGTTCCCCGGGTGCTGACACAGCTATTGCCCCCGCCAGGGTGACGGGCGCTTCCGCCTCCCAGGCTTCTACCACGACTGTTGAAATCCCCGAGGGATGGACTACGACGGTCACGGTCTGCACCCACTGTGCTGCAACACCGACTACAGTTACTCTGACTCGGCCAGCCATCACCTCTTCATCGGAGCCGACATCACCGACCGCGGTCTCAGGCTCCCTGTCTGGCTGGACAACCACGGTTTCTGTCTGTACCGAGTGCGGGCCGACGCCGACTACAGTGACCGTCACGGTGCCTGTGAGCACTGTCGCAGCGGCGACAGGCATTCACACTGGCAATCCTGAAGGTGTCGATGCTGTCCATGGAGGGTCAACGGGGCTCGATACATCTTCGACTTCGGTGAATGTAATTCCTCACTTCACATCCACTGCTCTTGTATCTCCGAGTCAGGCACCTCCCAGTCAACCTGGAACCGCGGGAGCCGGAGATGTTCGCCCTTCGTCGACACTTCTCGTTCAGCCCTCTGCAAGTGGCCTCCCAGGATCGGTGGTACCTAGCAGTACACAAGGAGGTGTGTCGCCAGTATTCACTGGCGCAGCTCCTCGACTGGCTGCCTTCAAGCATGGGGCTGGGGCTCTCGTCACTATTGCCCTCCTTCTGCTGACTACCTTGTAAAGAACTCTTTCCTCTGACTCTCTACTTCTTTCTCTTCTCATGTCCTGTATAACCTCCCACCTCATGGTGAGGTATACAGCTTCACTTTACCCATTATCGGTTTGAAATGAATGACCAATGATGTCCGATGGACCAACGTTTAATATTGTCGCATCAGCGCAAAGATCTCTTGGGCGTGTCTTCTGCTCCTTCTTGTTCCATACGCAGTTACCCTAGTCAATAAATTATGATCCTGCAACCAACATAACCAAATCCGTCCCCTACCACCTATAGAAGAGGCGAGCCAAGCAGTGAGCCAAGACGGATCAACCCGGGCATGCGGGCCTGATTCCATCGGCCTGGGAGTCTACGATCAACTGATAGGTAGTCAACAGGGCGATGGTAGCATACTGATTTCCATGTTGGTCTCACTCTCGCGTGGTCTGACCAGGGGGGGGGAGGGGTTGGAGGGGTTGGATTGGAAAATGAACGGAGATGGTTCCCAAATTTTGCCAGAATAGCTTGAAGAAACATCCAGCACGGTTCTCCACGGTCAGCGGTAGTGGGCTGCTTACTTGCATTGGCGTGCTGCCGAGGTACTTTTGGCCCCTCGAGGCATGCTCAAATGATAGGCGACGGAAGGCTCCCGGGTTGGTCGGTGCGCTAGTGGGTGGCTGGTGCTTACTGGATATGGTTCGATTTGCCTGGTAATACGGGAAATTATAATCGAACTGTGTCGCGTACTGTTAATACGTATGAGTGCTTGTTTGTTTTTTGGTGTAATGGGTTGACTGGAGATGGTGTGGCTTCTTGATCGAGGTGGGATAGTATCCTAGTATGAAGTCTATTCCGTAGAGCACGGGATATATAGCCACGAGCGGGTGGTTGACCATGACCTCATCCACTGCAAGGGCTTGACAATCGAAAGCGAACATAGATTATGTAGCAGTATGCAAGAAAGTGAGAGCGATAAAAAGCAAATTGAAACAGGCCTGTCTGATTCGAAGATGATAATTAGAAAGTCGAAAACAGACAAGCTGAGGGGTACAAAGAGGTAGGCAAAAATAAAGAAAAAAGTAAACCTTTAGCATGTCCTGGTTTCGATCCAGGGTCCTCCGGGTTATGAGCCCGGCGCTCTTCCCCTGAGCTAACATGCTTGGTAGATGACATCAGTTTTTTTGATGAAAACTATAAGGCGTCTATAGAAAAAAAAACAGCCAGCTACAAGTTACACATAGTTACTCGCCTCCTCTTTACTCCGTACTCACCTTCTCTGTTCTCTCCTCTTCCCCACCTCCCGGACCTCGGCCTCGGCTGTGGAGAAGATGTAATGAATGGCTCTCCATCAGTGCTTGCTAGCTACATCTTACATTCCATATCTGGCCGAAATCACTCGGTGCATATCTCGTCTGAGTCCTCTCGAATTCCAAGTCCCACGCGATCGAATAGAGGAATAACTCCAAGAGTTGCTGCTGTCTTACCATGTCCGCATCCTCATCTGCGCCGCTGGCGGGAATCCGGGTGGTCGAGCTGGCGGGCCTAGCTCCTGGTTCGCCCCCATACCATATCTCTATCTCGGTCCCTCCCTTCTGCCCACTGACCCTCGAATATCAGGTCCATTCGCCGGTCTACTCCTCGCCGACTACGGCGCATCTGTCTTACGGATTGACCGACCCCAGGCTCCGAGCCCGGATCAACTGACCCGCCACAAGACGTCCATACCGTTGGATCTCCGCGATGCTGCCTCCCATAGAGTTCTCCTCTCCATTCTGACCACGGCCGATGTTCTAATCGACCCTTTCCGCCCGGGAGTTTTAGAGCGCCTTGGCCTTGACCCCTCGGGCGTCCTGCTGAAACACAACCCGCGTTTGATCGTAGCACGGTTGACGGGGTTTCGGCGCGATGGGAAATATAAGGACATGGCTGGACATGACATTAATTACATTGCCGTGTCCGGGGTGTTGTCCATGCTCGGCCGATCCAATGAGCGGCCCTATGCCCCCGGTAACCTTGTAGGTGACTTTGCCGGCGGCGGGGCTACCTGTTTCCAGGGTATACTTCTGGCGCTGTTGTCGCGGGAGCGGACCGGCCGCGGTCAGATCGTCGAGGCTAACATGGTCGATGGCTCCGCGTATCTGGCCTCGTTCCCTCGACTGGGCCGCCAAACGCCCATCTGGAATGCCCCGCGCGGCCAGAATATACTGGATGGGGGGAGTCCATTCTACGACACCTACGAAACCAAGGACGCGGGCCAGTTTTTCGCGGTGGGGGCTCTCGAGCCACAATTCTATGAGGCGCTCCTGAAAGGGCTCGGGTTTAATCCCCAGGAGCTGCCATCGCGAGAGAACAAGGACAATTGGCCGGCACTGCGTGCTGCGTTTGCCAAGCGTTTCCAGGAAAAGACGCGCGCTGAGTGGGAGACCGTATTCGATGGGACCGATGCCTGCGCCACGCCCGTGTTGGACCCGGATGAGCTGCAGGCGGGTGGCTACGAGCTACGCCCCGTGGTGCATCTCGCTGATACCCCGGGACTACCCATCCCGACCGACGACGGAGGGTGGACAGGCGGTGGTCTGATACCCGGGACCGGAGGACAAGAGACCTTGAAGACATGGTTGGGTTGGGAACAAGGCCGGGATTATGATGTCAGGCCCGATGGGGCTTTTGTGCGGCTTGAAGATGGAGAATCGAAGCTGTGAGTGTGGAATGAGGTATTTTAGGATGTCTTATCAATTGTTACTCATGTGGGATGTGGTATTGATAATCGATGATGCGTTGATCTATTGTAAGGATCAGATTGTGTTTTGTAATTTGTTTTTGTTTTTATTTTTCTTTTTCCTCCAAGGGTGGGGTTGTACGCCAGATAAATTGAGTGAGCGTAGGGCTGACCATCGGCTTCCCCGGCGATAATCGCATTGTTGGCTGTCGCACCAGCTTCGTTCCGTTGTACTCGGTAGTACGGTAACCATGGGGCGTGGAAAAAGTCTCTCCCTCGTTCGATGCGCGATTTGAGTCAGTCAAATCATCAATCCCGTAGCGGGTATCTCCGATCGAGAAGGCCGCATCATAGAATTCGTTGTGATGAATGAATGTCTACTCCGTACTTCGTCTTGAATCAACAAATCGATGACTGCTGCCGGGCTATTGTCGCGTGGCTCCATTGCCGGATGCGATTGGGACTTGGGAGTAATGCAGCAAAAGATACGGTTCACTGGTTTAGTGGCTAGCTGAATGTGACCCTCCGTACGGAGTAGATACTCAAGTAGACCAAGAGACTACTTATTCACCGGGATGTAACGCCGGTGGGGTCAACACACTCAAGAGAAGAAGGACACTTTCCGTTTCCATCGACTTGACCTCTGACTTTACCTCTGGACAGAAGTCCGGAGCAACTACCTAGTGGTCACTATTCCGGGGTTTCTTTTGGCTTCTCCTGTTGACAAACCATTAAACAATCGATGATTCCACCCGATGGAAAGAATGATCCAGTAAATGCAGGCTGTATGAAAAGAGTAAGGTAATGCCTTCCACGTGATTGTTCGAGTTGCCAAAGAATGACGGCATATCGCGACTTTGCTCCTCATTGTCTGTTAGTAGTCAAGAGAGGTAGTAAGAAAAAGTCGACTACTGGTGGTCATGAATGAGGCTACACAAGTCAATCAGATTAACATGGTTGACAAGTGTTGATCAGGGCGATCCGAATAATCCCATCGTAGATTTCCCCGCCTGTGCAACCTTACTCGCAGTACCCAACTAATCACTGCAGTGAATGATTACTGTACAAAGTAAGTCGCTGATTAGTTATGGTCATAGTCACGTCACCATTTAATACACGATTACACTGCGGAACTCGTCTCCGACCCAAATCCCAGCAGCCTTGTGTACGGTACCTTTCTTTACCGGTATTCTGGATGAAACAGATTGAGAGTTAAGGTCGCAACGGTGAGTGGGAATGGAAATGAGAATGAATGGATGGATGGATGGATGGATGGATGGATGGATGGAAAAAAGTGGGCACCTGAAAAACTGGAGAGAAGAGAGAACAAATATGGGACCACTTATAGCATTATTATTCAATTGATTTATGACTTCTAGTTTCCTACTCTAGTAACAGTAAGCAAGCGAGTACTCATAAGTGCTCCCAGCCTACTTTTGGATGTCCATGCGAGAGCGCCTCCATGGATGTAACCATAAGTGTGTGTGTGTGTGTGTGTGTGTGTCTGTCTGTCTGACATACTGACGGTCTGTTGGTTATCCTGCAGCATTGATCCATGACTAACCGAGATACAGAGAGTCTGAGTAGGACTGACTCTCTCCGTGAAACCCCTCTCCATATCCAGTCAACCTTGGGGAATAAATCTTCATTCCCGGCCTTCCGAGTGTTTCAGCAGTGGAGTCAGGGACGTCATTCATTTGCCCCGAATCTGGGTAGTTGTGCATCTGAAGCTTGGGTCGACCATCCGGTTCCTAGCATTGACTACTACCGTACATGTACTTTACGGGCCAAAGCGACGGTATCTTCCGTAGATTGCCAGGTCAGGTATCCTGCCCGGTATGTCTTTGTATCGCGGACGTACGGTACTAAAGATGTATGGAGTACGAAGTACACAAAAGTCAAGATGGAATCCCGCTTGCGTCCCCACGTGCGGGTTGTGGCGCAGTCGAATTTTCTTTACACTCTCTTAGAACTCTTCAATCTCGTTTGTCATCATCTGAAACAATACAATGGAGACAGGAAGAAAGAGGATTTATACCTCTTGCAAGACGAACGAAAGAGATTCAACCAAGGCCCCATCTCCGCAAAGAATGAAAGAAAGAGCAATGCCCAAAGACAGCCGTGGTTTGATCTGTGGCTGTGTGTCTAAAGCTGGTTGACTTTCGCCGGTACGGAGACCTTATCAGCAGAAACTAGGAAATTACGAGGTACGAAGAGGCTCAGGTATCGAGTCGTATTCGGTACCGCCGTCACACTGGGGCTTTTCTCTCTTTTCCTCTGTTTCTCTCATCTTCCCGATCGATCA